ATAAATCATTTGTCTATCGCTGGATAAATAAAATTACTGACATTATGTTGGCATGAAATAAGCTTACAAAAGACATGCACTAGCAGATAACGGAAGGAGGCCCCCATGTATATGGAGTACAAGGCAGCCGCGCTCCGCTGCGGCACTTAGGGCTCTCGTCCTACCATTTTGCTCAGTGAGAATCGCAATTGCATTGTACTGGAAAGGAAAACTCGAACACGAGTGGACCCACTGCGTGTCAATATCTGCCGTGCAATCTAGAGCCCTACATCGTATATACAAATACCGAGCACTAACGTCAAAACGAGAGATATACCACAGCCACAAAGCCAAACATGTACAATGCCAAGCCGGGCATAATTTTGAATATACGAGTAATGACAGAGCGTGGAAACATTACACTTGGGAATCACGCTCAGATGGGGGGAAGCCGCCGATTGCGCTTCTAGTCGATTCTCGACTACTTTTATACTAAACAGAATTATATACATTTCTAGGAGACTTCTCCTTTGCTTCTCCTTAATGAATAATAGGGTTTCCGCAGTATAGGGCTTGGTTTGCCATCGAAGCTCCGGCAGGAGCCTTCATATATTTCTCGGAGCTTACACGCAGCCACTGCTGCCGGATCTCAAATCCAACACTCCCCCTCAAACCTAGCCCATGCCTTACTCGGTTTCGCAAACACAAGTATTCCTGGCTGGCAATCTCGGTTTGAGCTTTCCATGGCAGCTATTGCCTTATCTTTATTACTTCACTCTTTTTCGCGTTTATTCTCTGGTTATCTTCTCACTTTGTATAGCTAACTTAATAGCACAATTTAACACGTTGTTATTCAGTATTTTCAGAACATTTAATGTATATTTCTGCGTGTGTTGACTTAGCAATGGCCAGTTGCTTTTCTAGTCTTCACTTTCGCGCTTTTACATGTTTTTATTATCTTTTTTCGTTTTAGGATCCGCTATGTAATAACATAGATATACATTTACTTCGAAGGGTTTCTTTATAAGCGGTGAGCGCTTTTTTTTAATATTGTATGACTTCAGATTTTGACTTGTATAAGTGTATAGTTTTTTATCTGATTAGGTCACGCGAGTGCATCGTTGAAAACCTAGTTTATATTGTCTCGTAGATGTTTGTAGAAGTTAAAGTCTGGTTTGAAGTATGATTTATCGAGTTGAACTGTTCAAACTGATATTTATTTCGTTTTTTGATATTCTATACCGCCAAGTTTGGCGCTGTTCTGGGTCTCGTTTTATTTATGCGTCTGGTTGTTTTACTTATGCCGGTTTTACTTATGCCGGTTTTGGTGCGGAATCTACCGCTGACTCCCCCTCGCGCCGAACATCCGGCTTGGGGAATCTTATTATTGAATATCTATGATCTTTCTGTATACATATATATCTGATGGTTTTACATGTTGGTTTTTACTTCTGCCTCACTGCTTAAACCAGGTCTTGTTTTCTCTCAGTCACGGAGCAACCCACTCAAGGGTTATCTTATGGATATGTTTTCAATATCGGTATTGGTCTTTGACTCTTTCGAGTACGTTAAGTTTTGTCGGAGTTTAAATTCCAATGCCTTTTTCGGTGTTCACTTGCAATTTGGTTTCGTCTCACTGGCCACTGGCTGGGCTCTGAGATATAGTATGTATGTCGGAACTACTTATTCATCAATATCAGACCTCTTTTGATTGTTTATCATGTCCAAAAATGTCGCCTCTGAGATCGGAATTATCTCTGAGTTTCAATTATTGCCGCATTTAGCAGGCTTTTGTTATCCGAGTCTCAATTGGTGCCATTTCTGCAAGGTCCTCATAGTGTTATTCGTCTCAATCTTCAGGTTTATTTATCTGATTCTGAAGTCTTTTATTACTGTTTATGGCTATCAAGTCTCGCCTGTGAAGGCGGAGCAATGTCTGAGTTTAAACAAGTGCCACTTTCGGCATTTAGTCTGATTATCATTGTTATTTTTTGTTTTATTTCTAGGCATGGCCTCCGGCCCATTGCCTTCTTCTGTTAATATTCGGTTCCAGGTCGTGTTATACTTCTTAGGTAATATTTTTAACCACTTTCGAAGCGTCGTAGTTTTTTTCTGAGTTTGGTTGTACGTGTCTGAGTGTATGTAGTTGCCATTTTTGGCACTCATATTCGGTCTCAGTTTCAATTCTTGCTTATTTCCGCAGAATATTAGTCTTGCTCCCCCTCGCAGCGAACACAGCTCGGAGGGTCGGACTTATAAGTCTCGGACATATTTTCTGTTATATTATATAGTAGTTTTATGTTGTTTAAGAGCTTATGTGATTTTAGATATGCTTTGTTCTTTTTCGTAAGCAGATCACTTTCTCGTTCTCGGAGATTGGTGTACAAGTTGGTGTACACTGGGTTTATTTATATTCCATTCTTTCTTTGACTGGGTCGCGCGGCGCGTCGGCAAGTTTTCTGTATTTATGAAGCAAAGTTTATGTTATAGTTTAGACGTCTGCTGAGGTTTTCGGCCATGTACATATTATGTCTCGATCTCACTCAGCCTGCCGGGCATTTTATATGTTTTATTCGCAAATATTATTACATCATCAACCCATCCGGCCATATTCTGGACCGTCGCAGGGGATGTTTGAATATAAGTGCGTGAGTCTGGCTTTCGCCATTCTTGTATGGAGTATCTGAGTCCAAATGCGGATGCACGTGATATGCCGCTGGTGCCGTTTTCGGGCATGGCGCGTACACGGTGCGGGGATATGTGGCAAGCAAGGAGAGAGCAAAGCGATGAAGGGCAGATATATGCGAGCTTGAGCGCGGGGCTCATAACCACTTGGGAATCACGCTCAGATGGGGGGAAGCCGCCGATTGCGCTTCTAGTCGATTCTCGACTACTTTTATACTAAACAGAATTATATACATTTCTAGGAGACTTCTCCTTAATGAATAATAGGGTTTCCGCAGTATAGGGCTTGGTTTGCCATCGAAGCTCCGGCAGGAGCCTTCATATATTTCTCGGAGCTTACACGCAGCCACTGCTGCCGGATCTCAAATCCAACAATTACCATTTAGATTACAACAAGAAGTAACCAATGTCGCAAAAGACAGGCACACAAACAGCGAACGAAGGCACCCCTATCCATAACCAAAAAAAGCGAAGAGGAAAGGGAGGCACATGGTTCCTACGTAGATAGTAGAACACAGACACCTTGAAAATTACTCACATATAAACGGCAAACATCGTTGACACAACACAGGAATGCCGCTGAACCCCCCAGGTGTTTCATAAATGACTCCCTCAGGTCCTTCGCACACTTGTGAACCGACATTGAATATCATGGCCTGACGCGAGGCAGAGCAGCATAGGGTATGGACATGATTGCGCGGCCAAAGCTCTCAAAAACGTCCTGTGTTGGCGCATTCTAGCGACTCGAAGCAAATGTATCGCGATATCTATTCACAGACAACATGCTTTTGTTAAAAGTCGTATCAACGGAACAGACTCCATGTAGATCATAAGGTGGTGAACGTGAGAGATAGGGACACAGTGACTCGGTATTACGGGAGCAAGAGGTATGATGACGCGAGTTCAAGAACAAGAGAAAGAGAGGACAAGGTGAACAAACTACGATACCACTGGGTAACGAGAGCGAAGATGAGACAACGCCACCTAAAGTCCACGATCACATAACACATTCAATTTTTCCAAGCCGGGATTTATCAAGAATGAGAGTGCTGTGATGAAGACGGAAATGAGTACCCTATTAGACATCGTAGTCCCTCTCCTCATATGGTGCGGGACGCAACTTCGTGACAAGTCCCGGACCCCAATCTTGTTTGGCTCATAACACTACCAAACTACTTTTCTTGTAATTCATAATGCACGGGGTAATACATCTTTGTATCCTCTATCGTTTGGGTGGATTAGAATTTTATTATTGTGACCTCGAGATCTGACCCCAACCAATTTCGCCGTTCTCGGCACCAATGGCTTATGTAATCACGTGCGTATGTCAGTTTCCGGTCGCTGACGCCCTATGCAACCATGGCACCCCGCAAGAAGGGCTCAAAACGCGAACATGGGTCTAGTGGGAAGTTCATATCAAACAAAAAACCTCATATTGATCACTCAGACATCTCTGAAAGCGGCCACCAGGACTCCAGTGACTGGGACTTAGAGGCAGATGACGAACATGAAGATCCTGGTTACATCTCAGACTCACAGTCAGACTCAGGCTCAGATGACGAATATGCATCCATTCCATCTCCATCAACATGGATCTCAGCAGCAACCAAAGCCAAAGCCCTGGAGGTCCTTGAGCACAGCCGCATTTCAGTGACTGTGGGTTCAATGCGAGGTGCCGAGCTGAAGTTTGATGGACCAATCGACAAGCCGGGTGGGGCCAGGGACAAGACAGGAAAAGCGAGGGGGCCTTATGGGGTTGGTGGCTTATCAGCAAGGAGAGCAAGGGAGCTGAGAAAGGCAGCTCGGGACAAAAAGGAGAGTGGTGAATTGGATGAGGGGCGCTTTCAGAAGGAGGTGGAAGCTGTGAACGCGTTAGAGAAGAAGAAACCCCGTGAAAACACGAACCTTGCCTCGTTTTTTGGTCCCAAGCCCTCCACCCCATCATCTGGACTCCGCACTCTTCGCCAGGGGTGTGTTGGGGTTGTCGAGATTGAGGATAACTCAGATATGCCACTGGCACACCCTCTTCCTGTCTCCGAGAACGGGCCAGTCATTATGTCGATTGACTCAGACCAAGATGAAGAGTCACTCACCCATGTCGGATCTGCTGCTCCATCTTCACCCTCTGATGAGCAGGAGGTTGAGGTCGCAGACGGAATTGCTGAGTTTGTCGAAGGAGTGCTGGATGAAGGGGAGCCAAAGACTTGGGAGGAACTGCAAGCGTTAGCAGAGGAGGGATTGAAGAATGCACGGAAAAGGAAGTCTTACCGAGATGAGGTGGTCTTTGCCTCGTTAGTTCAACTCTATCGCTTTGCTCCCAGGCAAGGGAGGCTCCGAGGATCTCTTCGAGTGGCTCGGAATCTTGGGCGAGGACCAGCATTTGCACGCGTCTTGAATGCACATGCTCGACATTTTGAGGCAATGGGGAGCTTGAAGCCAGGTCAACAAGGGAAGCGGCCATCTGGCTCCAGTGGCTCTGGGGAATCTGCATTGGATGACGAAGCCTTCAGTCTCGGTGTCAAGAGCTTTTTGCGGACACTCGCACCTGGAACAGTAAGGATGCACAGTGATGATGGACAGGAGCAAGCTAATCAAGGGTTTGCACAGGTGACCCCCACGCTTCTGCAGCATCATGTGAATGAACATTTGTTTCCCTCACTCAAGCTCCGTAAAACTTCGATCTCTAAGCGTCAAGCTAGACGTTGGCTTTACCGTTTGGGCTATCGACTAAAGTCCCACCAGAAAGGAGTTTATTGGGATGGTCACGAGCGCAAGGATGTCCGAAAACATCGCCAGGAGTTTTGTGATTTATTGAAATCCCTTGAACCGTAAGCTAAATCTATTGGATTATGCATATTTAATACCTAATTATTTCATAAAGTTACATGGCAATGTATGAAGGTCCGGAGATGAAAGAAGTCCCACCTAATCTTGCGGAAGGGGAGGTGGAGCACGTGTTTATTTACCAAGATGAAAGCACGTTCCACGATAATGACTTTCAGGGACAAGGCTATTATCTCAAACACGGAGAGCAAGTCCTCAAAAAGAAGACACGTGGTCGGCTCATGCACCGATCAGGATACATCTGCGCACGTTATGGTAATTTAGCACTCCCTCCAGAAATGGTGGAAGCAAATGCACGGCTTCCAGAAGGTGAACGTCTCACAAAGACGGACTCTGGTGTCACGATTTTTCCCTCTAATAAAGACGGTGGTGACACTTACTGGAATACTCAGCAAATGATTACGCAGGTGAGCAGGCATGTTTTAATATTGAATTCTTCATCAAACCATATTGTTTTCAGCTTCGGCATGCAATCTTAATTGCACGTCGGCTTTTTCCAAATGCGGTAATCCACTGGGTGTTTGACAACTCTTCATGTCACGACAGCCGAGCCCCTGGTGCTCTCAATGCACGCGAGATGAATGTTGGGCCAGGAGGCCGTGTCCGACACATGCACGACACAATCATCCCTTTAGGCAACCCTCATGGACATGGGGGGAGCTTCAATCAATGCAGTTCCCTGCGCACATTCCCGATAATCATCCTTATAAAAAGTTTGAAGGTAAACCTAAAGGAATGCGTATTATTCTCGAAGAATGTGGATATATTAAACCTGGCACTAAGCTAGTTGGCGATTGCAAGCTATGCAAGGCCAAAAGGGCCAGAAAGCCAAAGCTTGCCTTATCTCCGGAGGAGATGGACCTTGCTGATTGCGAGGACCTTGTCAACGACTCAGAGGATGAGTCCCGTCCTTCCGATTGCTGCCTTCTTCGCATTCTCGAGCTCCAAGAAGACTTCCAGAATGAGCTGTGTCTCCTTCAGAAGGTTACCTTTATTTATTTATTTTGGTTCCCACAAGTCGCTCACAGAACTTGTGCAGGTTGTTGAGGAGGCCGGCAATCAGTGCCATTTCCTGCCGAAATTCCATCCGGAGCTAAACCCCATTGAATATTACTGGGGCTGGTGCAAGAATTACTTTCGGGAGCGCTCCAATGGCAACTTTGAACGCGGCAAGCGGCTTCTTCAGGAAGCAGTTGACATGTGTCCCCTCATAACCATCCGCCGCTTCTTTCGCCGAGCCTCGCGATACCTCAGCATCTATCACCTTGGGGCAACAGGGGTAGTTGCAGAATTTGCTGCCAAAAGGTATCGAGGCCATAGAGGTGTTATGCAGAAGGATATTGACCAAGCCCAAGCGGAGTGGGAGGTAAAACAGACCAAGCTGACGGTTGGACAAAGTCTTCATTAGGTAATATTTGCAATACAACAGTGCTATGTATCTACTTGTGCCCCCTTCCGATGTTTGCCAGACCCGGTCCTGGAGGGCGATTTCGCTGTTTGCTTACGTAATCCGTCCTTTTCCCTGGAAATGCGAGATTTAGCCTAAACTTGGCTAAATGAAAGTGTTTGGCCATGGTTCCACACTAAAAATCGCAAAATTGCGACTTGACATGAAGTTGCGTCCCCAACTATACAACCGTGTATCGCCGCCCTACAACTTCAAACTTGTTCCCATGCGCTGTACGCATACGCGTGTTTGGGGCTGTTCGGAGCGCGTTCGGGATAGGATATGAATGGCAGGATTGGCTAGAGAGCCATCATTGTGCATCATGCAGGATGATGGATTGAATAGAGCGCAACACACATGCACAACCTTCGAGTCCTGCATTGACCTTGGCCTACGGGGCATGCTATACTGAGGAGACGGGCTCCCGAACGTGATAGAAGTAATATTGATGATATTTTGTCACCATACGTGCAACTGTCTAACGTGTGTTTTTGTCCTCAGCTAAGCCTCATGTAAATTCTGACATGCCGTAACTCCGTGAGAGGCGCTTCTGTCTTGTATGAACCTCAGAATGGGATGGAGTGTTAGAGTATGAACCTGCACTCTTGATACACGGTCAGATAGCCTAGTGGTAAGGCAACCCAGTACTAGTGGGAGGACCTGGGTTCAATTCCCGGTCAGACCAGACATTGCGTAAATCTCAATATGGAGCACTACCTTTACGTGAGGTTGGAGTAGTAGCGAGCTGCGAGCATGCGCATGAGCGCTTGGTATCCTTCCCTTCCCTTTCTACCCCTCAACCCAACCTCAACCTTCCCAAGTAGGCCCTCGTCCTGTTATCACACGGCTCATACTTACTCGCAACCAAGCAAGCACAATAACCAGCAACAATGGTCGAGTCGGCCCGCTACGAGGCATGGAAGAGCCTCGGAGAAAAGTGCATTCATAGTGCAAAGTTCGACTGCGCGGAACGACAGGTACTCCGGCAGTCTCTTCCTGATAATATCCGGAAACTCTCCAAAAGGCTTCACACGCATCTGCATCGCATCTACGATTCTGAGAACTACAAGACTCCCATCATCTGGCTCTCCGATGATTCGAGCTCAAGAACATCCGCCGCAGCGCATATGCTTGCACAGGAGCTCCACGATAATAGCGCGCTCGCCGCAACTTTCTTTTTCTCCAGAAAAGAACCTCTCCGTAACACCGCCGATCATGTCATCCCCACAATCTCTTATCAACTTGGCCTCCTTCATCATCGCGCGAAGGACGTTATTACCAAGGCAATCATCGATAATCCCCAGCTCCTCAAGCGCGATGAATCTCGGAACGTGCAGTTCACCCACCTTGTTCTCAGGCCGCTTCAAGTCCTGAAGAATATCTGGAAGGAGTCGGGCAACGCCATGTTTATGGTCTTTGGTGCAATTGATGAATGTGACCCCGGCGAGTACGATTCTCATGTCAGACAGCTTCTTGACGATCTTGTCGGTGCCCTTCAGCAGAGTAGCACCGCCGACTTTCAAATCATATTTACCAGCCGCCGCGAACTGTACATCCAGAAGATCATGGCCGAATATCCCCTCGTTCTGCCGCTGAAGCTAGAAGTTTTCGATGTCGAGAATACGGGCAAGCACTAACTCCAGGCATCCTCCGACGATGATCCGCCAGCTCAAACGCAGGACTATGCCCTGTACCGTCATTTACGGGTGGCTGACAAAGTTTCAAGTCTTCTAGTCGTGGGCTTCATTGTGGTAACAGCGATGGAACTCCTGCCACCCGTAGTGACGACCTTTTCCAGCGAACACCTCCGTTTCCGGGTCGAAGTTATCATCCTCACAGGTGTATTACTAATCTTGAGCCATCGTATCGCCTCTCTTCAGCGAAAGGTCGAGACATCCACAGTAAGTCATCCGGGCGAAACGAGCATCAACGGAGAAATTGAACAAGTCATCTATCGTCTACTAGCCGTCAAGAGGATTCATACGTGAAGGGAGGTATCAACTTGTTCAGCTTGAAGGACGCGCAGCTATGGATTTATCAAACGACGATCATCGGACAGTCATAGGTCAGTTTCAGCTGGCAGAGCACTGGAGCATTTGGAAGTTTAACTGAATGTCACTCAGGCTACGGAACTCAAGAATCGGATAATCAACAGGTGGGTGCTTATGAAGCTTGACTCCTCCAACTTCTTTACAATGCAACCCTCATACAGTGGGTAATCGCTCCACTGGGAACTGGATACTGCATCTAATCCGCGTATTCGGGGTCGTACCTCACCTGCGAGAGAGCACGAGTGGGTGCAACCGTGATTGGAAACCCTGATCCCGTTATGTGGGACATCGAGAATGTTCCGGGAACACAAGAGCTTGGCATTCGGTACGCTTGTTTTTCACATAAACTAAACACAGCTTCGTCGGGATCATATTGATCTCGTGTCAATTTCAGGATCATATGGCCAAAGAGCAAGTTGGCGATAACGCTTGTAAGCCCACACAAGACCAAGGTGGTAAGGATGCTTGAGTACTTTAATGGATAGTGATTATAGCATCACTGACGGATATTATGGTTCAGAAGGTGATGTTGTCACCCGTCGGTGAGGCAGGACAGGAATGGGTGGCTCGCCGTGTTTGGTATCTCTAAAGAAAGGGGTGGTTGGGGGTTAATTTTGAGGTCGGACCCTTGTCCATACATATGACTGAGGCCAAAACATGCCCCGAGCCGGGTACTATAATGCTCAGATACCCGTGCGACCCTCGTCACCGCTGCCATATATGATTCACGATCAGTCTATACCACCTCATGCTCGTCTATGCCATATGCTCCTCATATGATTCCTCCGGTGCCTATAGATACAAAGTCTGGTCTCACAATATTTAAGACTGCGTACACTTCCTTTATCTACAGCAACCAGCTTAGCGGACAGTCTAACAGCTCGACTCGATAGTTATGGCTGTTCAATTGCTCACCGAACGATTCCCGAACCGAACACTATTGAGATTTTTACGCAAAGTCTGGTCTGACCGGGAATCGAACCCGGGTCCTCCCACTAGTACTGGGTTGCCTTACCACTAGGCTATCTGACCGTGTATCAAGAGTGCAGGTTCAAACTCTAACACTCCCCCTGAATCTGCACTCTAGGCAGTTCATTAGGGAACCAGACCGGCCTCTGGATACATACTCATTGATGGTTCTCAAACGGATACATCACTCAGGTGGTTCCAAATGGATTCATCACTCTGGTGGTTCACTGTGGATTCATCATCTAATGGTGTTCACAGGCCTGCGCTAACAGGGGGCAACCAGTGCCAGGCTCTGGATTCATACTCATCTGATGGTTCACAAGTGGATTCATCACACAGGTGGCTCCTAATGGATTCATCACTCTGGTGGTTCTCTAGTGGATACATCATCTAGATGGTGTTCACTGGCCTTGCGCTAACCGGGGCTCATAACCTATTGAGATTTTTACGCAAAGTCTGGTCTGACCGGGAATCGAACCCGGGTCCTCCCACTAGTACTGGGTTGCCTTACCACTAGGCTATCTGACCGTGTATCAAGAGTGCAGGTTCAAACTCTAACAAACACATGTCCCGTCTTCGCTACCACAACCCAGAAACTCCCGTTGCCGTCTAAGGCAATGGGTTTGGAGGGGGCCGCTAAGGAGCAATTTCTCTCGAGTACATTCAAGCTGTGCACATTTCCCCGGATAATTTCATATTTCTATGTTTTACATTCTATGGGCTTGCCATTCAAGGTTGTGGTTGTCTCTATTTTGCATGATCACCTCGTAATCTCTGCTGCATCGAGCCTCAGAGTGATTAACGTAAACTCTTTAGGCAGAGCACCCATGGCTGACATGAGAACACGAGACGACAGGTACCCACAAAGTCGAGAGTAGCACACCCATACGTACAAAAATACATAAATTTAGGCGTATAATGTAGTGCTATAGCCAGTATACGAAGCAGCCATGGACGAAATAGAAGTAAAGGTAGGAGGTAGATAGGTATCCAACGATGGTCGATAGTCTGTGGGAGCGGCCCACCCATATGCATCCAGCACAAGCACCCTAGCGCCCGCAACAGCACGACCTAGAACATAAGCATAACCATAAAAATGCACGTAGGCCCTCAGCCTATCCCCGCTCCCTATCCTTGGTACTGCTCTTCCGCAAACTCCGCGGTGTGCCCACTCCTCCCAGCCCTCCTTTGCGTGGTGTGGACGGGGGAACACCGACCATCTTTCGCTCGCCCGCGCCCAAACCACCGCCTTCTTGTACACGCTGCACAGCACGGACCGCACGTCGTGCGGCGTCACCCATCTGCACCGGTGGCCGGGCACTGTCCACGCGTGATAAGGCGCGGAAGAGTTCGAGCGGATCACCACCGGCTATCGAGCGTGCCTGCGATGTCGACGCAGCTGTACCAGCACCGGCAATGGGATCGGTAGCAGACCGCCGAAGCGATGATGACGATGCCACGTTCACAAAGCCCACCAAAGAAGCCGACCCGTCCGCAGGCTGTGGCTGATGGTGATGATTCAACGCCCGAGCGCGATCGAGCGCCTGCCCGAGGAGTGAGAACCGCAGATCGAGCTCGCGCTGCGCCTTGTCCGCCGTCTGCGCAGCAGCGCTGGCGTGTGCCCAGAGCGCGTCCGAGCGGAATCGCAGGTCCTGTATGCGCTCCGCAGCGCCTCCTGCTGGTATTGGTCGGTGGCCCTTCTGCCCCTTCTGGCTCTTCGACGTCGTCCCCGTTCCGGTGCCGCCGCGCATGACGCGCTGCACGAGCTCGAGGTCAACTTCCTCCTTGAACTCGGGGGCCATGTCTTCTGGTCGTGGGATCATCCATTCCCATTCATCGTCTGGATTTGGGGGTTCCTGCGAGGCGGCGCGTTGTTTACCACGAGCCTTGGCGGATGGAGGGAGGAGGGATGCACGGCGCTTCTCAAGATCAGCGGAGGTCTGGTCTGAGTATGAGGTATAGAAGTGGTCGACGCGGGACCAGGCATCAAACTCGTTTTTGGCACTGAGAACATAGCGTAAGTCATGTGAAGGACAGAATGAAGGATAAGGCAAAGTAGTAAATCTCGCTGCATGATTCAGAGGACGCATATATGCGCAGTCTGGCAGCGAGAGGAACCCATGACGACCATGACAGGCGAGTTGGGGATGGAGGGAAGAAGAAGAAAGCACGGGCGACTCACCGCTCGATATGCTCCTTGAACCGCACCTCGCGCGCCTGATTCTTCACATTCTGATCGTTGGCCCTAAATCCATCCCTCTCTTTCCCCGCTTCCGCTCCCAGATCCCTACTCGATGCCCCGGTGACACGCGTATCAATCCTGCCTTCTGCCAGCATGTGGATCACATCCTCATGCACACGCCTCAGCACCTCCAGTACCGTTTCCTCCTCTTCCACCGATGCAGGGGGCGGGTCCTTCCCGTTCGCGGAAGCCTTGCCTTTGTCAGTCTTCTGTCGTTTCGCAACTGGGCTATCGTGGTCGCGTGATGATGATACTGAAGAGGAAAGACGAGACATTGCGCGGCCCGCGGCCCAGATAAGGAGTTGCTGGGCACGAAGGGCCTCAGGAAGCTCAGCGTCGATGTGTTTGTAGAAGGCGGAGTCGGCGACGGTGTTATGGGGATGTGCTATCGGGATAACAAAAGGTCAGATTGCTCGGCCAAGGACACCGTTAGAAAGGGAGAATAGGACAGGGACGCACGGACGGCACCGGTATTCTCGAACGAGGAACTCGCCCGCTTTCCCCGCGCGCTCATCGAGCTCCGGCGGGCGTGAGCCGGATTCTGCTGCCGTGGTGTTTGAGGCGGGACCCGTGGCTGCTGCTCGTACTCATGGGGTGGTTGTGTTGGCACGAGCATCGACGACGATGCAGGGTGCTGAGAGGGCGCGCGGTGCCCGAGCTGGGGCTGTTTCGAAGATGCGCGGACGGGTTGCGGCTGCGTTGAGGCTGCTCGGGATGGTGGACGAGCGTTGAGATCCCCATTCGGTTGTAGCGAGGTTGACGTTGATGTTGACTGGACAAAGGAGGTGGACGATAAGGAGGAGTTGACGGGTTGTGACGCTGGTTTGGGTTGAGATGAGGATGGAGGTTTCGCAGTAGTCTGTGATGTCGACGGTGGTTTGACGGACGGCTGTGCGGACGTGGAGCGTGGTCCCGCGCGTACTATGACAAGCCCTCCAGGCTGTTTCTCGCCCGCATCTGAGATAGACCCAGTTCGTCAGGAAATATATACGCGACGTGCGAACTGGTGTGACTCTCACATTTACGTTTGCGGGGAGCGGCTGCCGTCCCGTTCATGATGGTCGGGACGGTAGGTGCTAGGACGGTTACTTCGCGTGTCTGCAGCGTGGTGGGCGCGTCGGGGGCGTGTCTGTCGTCGTGCACGACGGCGGCGGGGCGCGCGGTGGTGAGGGCCGGTGCGAAAGGGAGGACAGGCGGAGTTGCAATTAATCTTCCCACGTAACACGATCAACAATCGTTTCGCGTCTCGGCCCCTTTTCCGACGCGTCCCTCCGCCCCCGCATCGTCCGTCCCCTCTCACGGTTTAAAAGGTAACACAACTCCTCCAGACAGCTTTCTCTTCTTTATAAAGCCTTCAAGACCTATCGTGCGATTATATAACCTCTCATCAACCACCTCCACCAGTGGATTCAGCGAGCTTCAACATTCCAACTCGGGATCTGATACATCGCGGGCTGGATAAGGGCAGGGTAGACTGTTGTATAATGGCATTGTACATTTGGAGTTCACGTAGAAGGAAAGAAAGGGATGGGCGTCGGTCGCACGCCATACATAGTCCATACCATAGGGGACAGTACGCAATGTAAAGCGACTATAGACAACATGCGACACTTCAGAAATAAGAAAGTGTGTCTAATACCACTGAGGTTTCTCGTCACCCTCCTTCTTCACAGCCGTGTGATATGTCAACTCGTGCCCCATATACCATCTGTCGTTGAGGGCCGCGAACAACGGTGTCCTATGGAAGACGTCATGGGTGACCTTGACTCCAGGTAGCGCTTTCTTAATCTCTGCAGAAAAATTAGAAGCCCTACGGTAAGTCGGGTGGACTAGTTCAACATCTCCTGCTACCATGGAAATGCGGCTGAGAGGGCACTGAGACCTGCGACAGAGCTCGAGGAAGCGTGTTGCCCATTCGTCCGGGTTTTTTGATATAGCGTACACCATATCGGTGTAGAAAGAGAGAACAGAGAGGGCCGGGAGTGTTGCGTGATCTAATAACTTTCTCATGCCAACCGGGGATCTGTAATTAGGGGTCTCAATACTGAGCGTTTTTAAGCTGGTATGCGTTCCAGTGGCCTGGATCTCATCCATATGGACACTTTCAGCCCGCAGGTGCAGCTCCTGGAGAAGTGGGAAGTTACGGGCCAAGCTAGGAATATCCAGTGTAATAGAGCACGAGATTTTAGCTGTGTCAAATATGACGATTAGTGTGGTAAGATGGATCCACTCATGAGCAAGAGCCCATGGATGGAAGTCCCACGAGCCCTTGATAATGTGGACAGCGAGATGCGTAAGCTTGGGGAAGAAGTTGGGCCCTACATAGAATGGCATTCCTTCTTGGTTGGTAAGCTTGAGACGGCGTACTCCCGTCGACTGCCGGCTGAGAATACTAGTAAGTACCCATGCCAGAAACTTGAAGTCGTTCTTATCGCCATTAATTTCGATGCCCCAGCAGGCCTCCATCCGCTTTCCGAGCGGTTCGTCGTCGAAAGGAACAGTGATCCCCTGAGCTTTGCTTTTGAAGCTTGAAGGTGCGCTGCTCAGTACGAGGTAGAGAGGTCCGGGAATGCCTCGCAAGAGAAGCTCGGCGTCATTTTGAAAGATAGTTACTGCACTTGACGAGGCCTCAATGTACCTTGGCTGGGTAATCTCCCAAAGTCGAGGGGTGGATAAGGCTATGGTTCTCCATCGCCGACACACTTGAGCGACGCTGAGAGCGAGGCTCCGTCCCTGAATTGTCCCTAGTTCCTCGATCAAGTCCACCGAGAACGATGTCATCCTCAGGGGCGAAGCTCGTTGGAAGATGTCGGACATCACCTCCGGAGGAACTCGGCAGGCGACACGAGAGAGATTGGAGTTTTCGGCATGATTCTGTGTGAGCTGACTCTTACACGAGTTCATGGTATCCACGATGGTCTCGATGGTGGAAATGACTTTGGACAGGCTTTCGAGGTTCTCTTCTTTGTGAACCATATCTTCCCGAGACGTCGAGATAGATGAAGGCGTATTTTCGGCATAGACTGGTGTCGTCGTTGCCTGGTGACCATGGTGAAGTTAATCTCTGAACTTCATGACAGAAGAGGTGAAGATTGATTGAGCTTACGAGAGCCTCTGCGACGGCGTCAGGAAGCTATGTCGCTGCATAAGACGGATGCATGTAGATGTTCGTGCAGCCAACTCACGAGATCTATGATCTGTTGGAGAGCCATTATCCTATGATATGGAAGTAGCTCTGACGCTGATGAACGTTGCAGATGAAGTGGGGTTTGGCACCGATCGGATGGCGGACACTGATCCGAGTAAAGCGATTATCGGTTTTCAGCCACCTGGATTTGCAAGTGACGTAATTACAGGAAAAGAGGGGTGCGTGGTATGATGCAGTGCAGTACTTCGGTCCTAGCCCTACTAATACAAGATGTAGGAGCTACGGTGATCGCCCCTATAGCTGGGCCAGAAGACTAGGATTGATCTTCGAGTTTCTAGGAATGATGCGACAAGGGAACGGCAATGGACATCTAGTCAAACTTCAGTACTCTGATTGAGGGAACATCGGCACAAGGATAGCTACTCACGACGTTACTCCAGATGACCACTTAGGCTCGATAGCTATCTCAGCTCCGTGTTCATCACTTTGTTTCTCGAAGCGGAACACTGCAAGCAATAACGATGCGGCTGCCCATACCGATGCATCAGAAAGGTGTCTACCAGGGCAGATTCGCCGAGCGAAGCCGAAAACGAAGTCGACAGTATCGCCGCTCAGCATTCTATCCTCAGAGATAAAACGCTCAGGTCGGAATTCATTTGCTCGAGGGAACCGTGACTCGTCTCTGGAGATCGCCCTATCGTACCGCATTATTGGACGCAATCCAGAGCCAAGAGAAAAACGCAGCTTACCACCCATTCACTATGATATTGGTGCCTAATATCAAAAGTCAGATCACCAGCTGTTGAGATCGAAACAGGAGGCTGACCCTTGGGAATGAATTGATCCCCATATACGTCATCCTTGGTGACTACATGTGGGATTCCTACGAACCTCGCTTTGTGGATGGCAGTATACGTTGAAAGCTGTGAGACGTACCTAAAGGAACGACTGGGTACCAGCGGTGCATCTCTCGGACGACAGCATCAACATATGGTAAAGCAGGTCGATCTTCGAACGTAGGAAGACGATCGCTACCACAAACGCGACAGATTTCTGCGAAAGCACGCTCCTGAACCTCCGGATGAAGTACCATGGCAAGCACGAAGACAATCAGTGTCGAAGCAGTCTACAGTGCGGGAGGTAATGAGATGCGGCTAACGGCTGAGCGATAGCACTCTGACTCACCGTTTCTGCTCCAGCTACCAGAATAAACACTGCGTTAGGTTTGGGGGCTTACCGTAAAGGGAAGATATCATTTACCCGTAAACGCTGATCAACATCCTGGACTAGCTCAAGATATCCACAATCAGTCGCCTTAGACTTCCGTACGTTGGATAGTGCTTCATATGTTACACTTGGGATCAAAGAATCGGGCTCCTAAGGAAGATGTCAGTTTGGAAGCAAAATATACAAATGCACCATAGATACGAACAACAGTTTCCTTGAGGTGATGAAAAGGACTCTCAATGAGAGTTCTGGAGTGCCTCCTACACTTAGCGGCATTCATTTGGCCTCCCGGTAGCCATGGAGGGATGTACTTGACTTTCAAAAGCTCGTTCATATAGCTCGTAGTAATGATCAAACTTCTCACCAAAAGGCAGTATCCCAACCAAAGCTGCCTTCTCCGGCGAGGCTACTTGAAGGATGACGTGAAGAGTCTGGCTAATCTTTTCCACAAGGGGATCCTGAACGGCCTGGGCTTGGTATCCATATGCGATAGACATGATGATAGCAGCCGCAAACCTAGTGCTTATTAGTAAGGAGGCCGACATGGAGCATGGTTAGGCACGTACGTCTGAATGTGGTCTCTGAAGTCTTCAGGGGTCTCGATGATATTCTTAACGAGTTGATGTGTTTTGCGCAGTTGCATATCGCGGTATTTGCGCGACACATCCGCTCGGAAATGCTGGTGCAGGACACGCCGATGAGCACGCCATACATCCGAGTAGCCTGTGATGGCTGTCAGAAATCCAAATCCGTATCTGAAAATGAAATTTGTCTGAGTCGATTCGGAGAAACCCAAGAGAAGTGGCATAACGCACGGCTCAGTAGTGGGCAGGTGCATCCTTCCTGAGTACTTGCTGGACCGGCTGTGGAGTAGATCACGAGCTATATCCTCATTGCTTATAACAACGATGTCGAGACCAATATGACAGATGCGAAAGATCCCTCCTGTCGATTGATCAAGCAGCGAGTAAGTGTGCGTTCCCCATAGATGTGAGAGATCGCTTGCCATAGGTACGACTTCACTTTGTGTAGCTCAGCCAAGGCGCGTTGACATCTATGCCGCGCAGGTTCCCAATAACCGGCCACCCTCTGGGTCCAGGAATCGTACAGCGCCCGCCCCTTGACCTTCGTAAGTGCCGGAGCAGAAGTAGACTCAAAGTCAAAGAAATAGCAACGACGACAGTTGCGATCGAGGGTTGGCGGGAGATGTCCAATAGAGGCATGTTAAGGCTCAAGCAGATGGATCGAGGTGTTTCTTTTATAGTCGGGTCGCAGCGGTTGGGGTCTCAACGTCAACGGTGCAAGTCACCTTCCTGGATAAAGCGGGCGATAGACTCCCGTTTGATAGGCGCTGACAGGGAATGCATCCTTGCAGTTCTTGCAAAAGCTGCGGCGGTCCGACAACCCGTTATGATCGCAACAACGAATTCAAGGCGTGAAGCGAACGTCTCCTTGAGCGTTTGGCCTTATCTGGGAACAGAATTTCCTCTGAAAGCTGAAAGACTAAAAGCGGGTTCAGCGTGCCGTCACTGCTAGAAGACGCGTCAGAACCCTTCACGTCAACAGTACGGATTAGTCTTTGCTCGAGACATGGGAGAAACATCGTGCCGTAAATCAGATGAAATCAAGACATTTTCACTCGTCAGCGCTGATGACTTGCGCTATCTCGCCGCTGCCGTTGGTAGGCCGGCATTCGCGGGCTGCAAATGTGGCGTTAGTCTCACCGCCTTCTGGTGCGCTTTAACCAGTTTTTGGGAAGACGAATTCTTCAAACCGATTAGGGCTATTAGCGGCAAGAGTGCTGGGACATCGATAAAGTACAGTAAGTATGGACGTCTGGAACTTAGCGTGTCCTGCGTCGGAATTCGGGTGACACCGGGCACGCTCGGGAATGCTCGGCCGGTCTCAAAGCTTCCAAGGCGACATACGATGGGAAGAGATGGGAAGTGTCTCTCATTACCGCCACGTCCGAACCTGCAAAGGCTACGAAATCAACGTGTGACTCTCAACGTCTCGAAAAGCTGAAGAAGATAATTAAAACTGGTTCAGTGAAGCAACACTTGGCTTGGCAATTATACATTGCTTCGCCAGCGCTGATAGCAAAAGCCGGACGTAAATCAAGCGACTTTCCGAGTCGGACGCGAACACGTCCTCCCCCAAGCGTCATATGGCCCCGGCAGCGATCTCATCATTAACGCGTGCGTCCCACGCACGACGATCAAAGCAAGATAGAAGGACTCACACTGCCCTAGGTTGACGTTACGGCTCTTCAGACTCCTCTTCGTCTGTCAGCTCCTCCCCCGCGACCACTCCGCCATGCCGATCAAATCCATCACGTCGCGCCCAGGAGCGGCCATCGGTGTATGATGGTACACGCAATGGGAGGAGGAGGGTATACCACGGGCTAGAGAGACGTTCCAAAAGTTAATTGCAACAGAAGATGTTATAGAGCAATGGAACCTACTATCCGTCGGGCCCTATGTTGAAGAACACTTCTAGATTCCGTCGTTTCCTATGGTATTTGCATCAGCAAGGCCACTTCCAGCGGTGGTCCCAAGCAAATGTACCCTAGATCATAAGAATTGACGAAGTTCTGAACGCAGCCCTCGTCAGCTCGGCGCATATATGCGAACGAGAGAGAGAGACGTACGTCATTTCTGCTCCGCGCTATTTTGCGGTACACTTCGTGATCCTGACTCTCGACAGCCGTCTCGCCTTTAACGACACCCCACATGTGCCATAAGAGCATGATACCAACCGCAAGGCACATGACGACTGAGAGCATATATATGAGCACGTAAAGAATCTCTGGGGTAAGATATGGCCAATCTGCCTACCAGCCATTCGTGTAAGCAGAGGTCACAGCATATTATGCAGGGGAGACTTACGATGAAGTTGAAACCAAGCGCATCAAGAGCCTTTTGAAACCCACATACGCTGAGAAAGAATGTCGCAAGGACAAGGTATGCCCTAGGTACGGTTAGATCTCCATAGTTAAAGAAGCAAAACATAACTCACATAAAGAGGACGAAATGCCGCTCGTTATGAAGTCCCACACATTGGTTTATCCCTATCCCAGCCCACCATCAGCCACCATACGCATACGCATTACGCGTATAACCGGATTGCGACGCACACTATAGGTGGGAGTTAGTCAGTAATATTGTTATCGCATATACAGAGTATGAAAATACTCAGGTACTCACAGGACAGTGGTGGTCGTACTTCAATACGCAGCGATTACAAACTCGGCAGTGATGCGCCCTCTCATCATGTCCGCCTGAGTTATCTTAGATATGAGGTTTCAGACTATAACTCACCTCCGGTCGCACAACCCCACACTTCTTGCATCGGCTCATGCTTGCAGGCGTCACGTTCAACGCTCGCGTCCACCTTACGCCTTCCATGTGGTCTGTTGCCCCCTTCCTCTTCGCCCAAAACAACCCGGGTCCTCCTTCTGGCGGTCGCTCGGGTGAGGAAGACACCGGGTGGACGTCATCAACAAAGCCTGGTCGAACAGTACATACAGTATAGTAATGAAACCCGAGATTGGCGGCGATGAGAGCGCAGGGGAAGAAGCTGAGGATGGGATGGGACATGGTTGGAAGAATAACCTCGACTAACACACGACGGTCAGTGAAGATCCATGTCCCGAGAAGGATGATACGTACAGAAAGCGAACGCTCCTGCAGAGACGAGGATAGCAGCCATGCCGACGAACCAGGGCCCCGCTGCGCCAGTGACGCGATCACCGAAGCGCTCTACGGCGCGAAAGCACCGAAATACTTGTCGTGCGCATATCATGAGGTAGGAAAGGTAGAAATGGAGTTCTCAGCCTTAGCAAGACTACAGAGGGGGTAGATGAGGGGATGGCGGTGAGCACCCGCGAGCGTTGCTGACGGCGACTTCGGGCAAGGCGGTGACGCGCACCGCGTTGGCTGCGGAGTTTCAACTCGCCAACTGCGGTGGATGTTCTTCTGTTCAAACCCACCGTCCGTAAACTACAACTACTCTTATTCAAGTCTGGTTATGCAACGTTGACCCCGATTCCTCACACTCTAACCATCAACAATCCCATCGCTAGCAATGTCCCGCTCGGCAAGCAAATTCACCAATTGGGACTTGAAAGTCTGCTTTGATTCTCGGACCGAGGTCAGCCATAATTCTGAGCATATTGTCCAGCTGTTCGAACATGTGAATCTTCTGGCTGTCACTCTCGGTGTTACGGCTCTTCGCTTTCTTGAGATGACCCGTCTTCGTCACCCATTCGAGGAAGTCTCGATATTTCATGCTCCTGAAGTTGCCCATGTCATTTAACCCATCTTCCTGAGCTCGGTATGCGCAAGGGGACTGAGCTGATCGAGAATGGGAACAGTATTCAAGGTCTCTTGGGGTAACGTCACAATAACTGCGAGGTACCTCAGAGAAAAGAGCTTGGCCTTCTTGAACAAAGCTCCACTGTTGTCCTCAGGCCTTCCTGGACGCTCAAAATGCTCACGCATTCTAATTTAGCGTGGGTAGCTTCAACACGACCAATGCGAAGGCTAGCACCGACCCACAAAAAGACTTCGACGAGGATGGAAAATCTTTGGAAGAACCTTTCGAGAGTTCTACAAGAGCGGAGCATCCAAGAAAGAGTGATTTTAGCCTCGGCATACGAATTTCCGAGTCGACGATGTCCTTGCGTAATAAAGCGTGTTTTGGTCTACATGGCCGTCTCTACGTTGAGTTCGAAATTAAGAGCAAGGGAACGACTCATTTTCATGTGGACGATTGCCCCGCCAGCTGACCGAGCTCGAGGATCGCTTGGAAGAGCTAGGCGGATGTTAGCGTCGATGGTTGGAAAACCTCAGTTGCGATACAATTGCTTCCATCCAGCTAATATATATACTGATCTGTGTATCCCTCAGTGGTTCCTCGTTCATACCAACGCGCCTTGCTCTCCCTGAAGATTGCCGCCTCCTCAAGGTCATTTGCATAATCCATATACCCGATCTCGAAGTTTCCTTTGAGCTCTCGGACAATCTCGCTTACCACCATCATACCATCGAGCACCTCCTTCAACTCCTTGAGCTCATTCACGGCCTTCTTTTCTCCGTAGGCGCCCACCTCTATCAGCTTCGAAAAGTCCCCTGTCTCTTGCAGCATGTGTGCTAGACCAAGCTTCTTCAACACTCCGAAAACGCGCTTCTTCATCAGAGTCTTGAAACTTTTCAGTGTCTCCAGTACCTTGAATATGTTTTCCTCGTTTTCCTCGTCGAAACATTTGATCTCGCTCAGCTCGCCGGGACCATTCGCCGCGTTGACCTTTTGGAAGAACCCCATCCCCTCGAATACCTTCCACTCTCGACGAAAGTCCCCCGACATAATGGTGAAGCGGTCCAGCCTAACGTTGAAGCGTTTGAGGGTCTCAAGGAGAGGGACGACCTTCCTAAGGTCCTTCAAACTGGACCCGTGTATGGCAAGGTCTTTCAGGGACGGGAGCAGTGCGTGCGTGAAGAAGGAGAATCTAGGATCATGATCGAATGCAAGAACGTCACACAGGCCGAAGCGTTCCAACTTTGGGTGAGTGGCGATCACATCCGAGTCAACGATGATCTCATCCGCGCAAATAAAGAGTTCGACGAGATTAGGGAAGCTACGGAAGAAGGTAGGCAGGTCTAAGTCCAGATGGTAGTTGATCTCGTACGTGAGAGACGTCAGTCTTGGTAACGTGAGGTCGAGCATATCCTTCCAGTCTTCATGATGACTTTTTTGCACGTGAAGATGAGTGAGCTGCGTCCACATCGCAGCATCCGGACAGTCCCTGAAAGCAAAGTCTTCTCCTAGGTAAAGGCGCTCCAAGTTTGTGAATCTCTTCATCCACTCGGCGGCGTTCTGATCCAACCGTTCGTGCCGTTCGGCATCGTAAGGGACGAATAGATCAAGTCCCATTACTTTGCTCTCGATACCGCAAAGAAGCGTGTCGTCCAATCGGCAAGTTTCCAAGAAGTCCGCGTCACGGAGGACGAGAGTAAGAAAGAGTGGTAGATGTTGGGCTCTGTTCGTTGCCTCCAGCTGAGTATTGAGCGTGCGTTCCACGGAAGCCCTATTCCCTTCTATATGCATACCATTCCAGAGCCAGGGGATGTCCACAGCTACGTCACGCCAGTGTCTGCACACCCCAGCCAGCGCAAAGGGCAGCGCAACGTCGTTAACAGACGGGATCGGATCACAGTTAAACATAAATGGGAGACCACGAGAGCTCGGGATAATCTTCAGCAGTAGCTCAGTAGGGAGGCTACTATTTTTAGGCCTTCGTGTCGGCTGGATCGTTTCATCCGCTAGCTGGGCAACGTTTAAAACATGAGACCTTAGATCAATGAAACGTGAATGAAGCAGGGCATGGAACCCATACCATGATGTTTATATCTGGGATAGTATCCAGATATGTAGGAGTGTCTGCCTTGATTCGACTCCGGTAGTCCCGTCTGTGCGTAACGGGCTTGGGCTTGGGCTCGGGAAGGAAAAATAAAATTGGTGTGACAGCAAATGTTGCCATCTTTCGGATCGTGCCGGGCGGAGTCCGAACACCGGTCGCAGAGATGGCTTATAGTACATAACTTGAGCTTGAGTATCGAGATGCCATCGTAAACCGCCAGTTTTGCATTGTCAATTACTGAAAACGAGGAAATCTTTGACGGAGTATAAGGAGGATTATACTGCGGCTTTAATGCTTGCACAACTAGAGTAAGGCTATAAAATAGTTCCAACGACTCCATCGCTTGACCATCGCACTGCTACCCTCGAGCCAACACTCACTGACACGTAACGCTAGTACATAAAGACATTACAAACGGTGAACATAGCTAGTTGGACATCCGAGCCTTACAGGCTTAGGACACTCTCTAAAGTACCGCTACCATCCCGGGGTATGGCTATTATCAAACCAGCTCGCTTTGCTTTCCCTAAAGATCCTCGTCGCGGTGTGATACTCCGAGAAGTCTAAGGTCGCAATGTTAAATTTCACCTTGACACTCTGAATGTCATCCATCAACTCCTTCAAATCCAGCTCCCGCATCTCACAGCAGCATCCCTCGTTCTCGCGGCACTCGCTGGCGTGCCACTGATCCTTCCGCTCCTGGAATCGACCTGCGTGGTTGAATAGGTTGGTGGCTTTCCCCTTCTTAAGCTTCCTGAAAGTAGATGCATCGTTGATTTCGTCGAAGAAGCCCCTCTCCACCAACTCCTCGAATTCTGGCACAAGGTCGTCTGACAAGAGAGTCAGACGCCGAAGGTGCCGTCCGAGTGGCCTGAGACGCCCAAGGAGCGGAGCGACCGTTTTCTCAATGCCATCCAGCTCCAAGACAAAGACGGCTAGATGAGTCAACGCAGGTAAGTTGACTGAGTGGAAGAAGTCGTCACAGGTGAAATCGTAATCATAGATGGTGAGGCGCTCAAGCTTCCTGTGTGTAGCCCTGGTTTGGCTGTCGTCTGGAAGCACCTGGACTCTTGGGACGTATAACAGCAATTCCGTAAGGTTGGGAGCGTTTTGGAAGAATTGATGCAAGTTCACGCAAAAGTCATAATCGGCTTCCACGTTAAGAGACTGTAAGTTTGGAAGATCAAGTTCTGCGACCTTCTCGGCAGTTTCGTCGTCTGGACCCATCTCAACGTGAACATGGGTGAGCCGCCTGAACGAGGGCAGTTCCAAGAATGGCCTTAAATCGGAGAGCTCATACAGATGGAGACGTTCTAGTCCGGTGAACCTGTTGATCCATGTGAGGGCGCGGTTATAGAGATCTAGTTCATGTTGATTGTCGATGGACTCGTCATCCGAGTCCCAGCTGTCTTCATACTGAACCATCGTTTCAAAGCTCAAATCAACTATCAGCCCTTTCACCCGACCCTCGAGCCCGATGACGATAGCACGACACGTCGAGAGAGCAGCTTCGTCTGATAGCTCAATCGTGAAGAATATTGGGACGTGAGTGAGTCTGTGAAGGTGCTGCAACTGTAGCTCGATACAGTTTCCGGGGTGGGTCATGTCTCTAGCCCAATAGAGGTTGTTCCAGAGCCGAGCTGTGCCCCAAGCGATGTGACGCCAGCGTCTGCACACCGCAGTCAAGGTGAAGAACCACATGAATCCGGAATGGTATGGGGTGAAGTAAGGGTAGAAGCGGAAAGGGATGGGAGGTGATAAGATGAGAATTTCCATCAGTATTTCAGTGGGAAGATCATCGATGCCTGCCCGGCTGCGAGCTACTCTAGCATGCTTTGAGGGCGGCATAAGTAGCAAAAAAGGGTCGTATCACTGTAGACATACCACGGCTTTCTTTATACATTTGTTTGAGAAGCTTTCCTTTTCCATCATAGTATGCGTATTTCTTGAATACAGGAATTGGAGTGGACGGTATGGGTGGGGGCCACAGAGGCTGGCCAGGGGAAAGCGCACATACGTACGCTCGGGCTGTCGAAAACTGTCGGGAGTTGCCGCGCGGAGTTTATAAGGGCCCATGCCCAACGCTGTTCGCTCATGGTCAGATGTCAAGGGCTATGTTAACCTCGTTCTATGTTCGTCTAACTTGTCGTACAGCGTACAAAAACATTACTCTGTATCTTCCGAGCCTCTCCCCAACTCAGAGATCCCCAAAATCATACCACCGCTCCTTGCACTCCCTAAAGATTCCCTCATCTGCCAGAAAGTGTACGAATTCTATAGTGCCGATCCTGAAGGCGCTCTTGAGGTTCGCCAGGATATTGACGAGCTTTCGCAGGCTCGGAGTCATCTCCCCATTTCGCCTCAGCGCTGCATGGAGGTCACATCTATCAATGAGGTCTAGCGGATCCTCCAAGCTGGAAAACATCGCGAAGTCTTCAGAGGAGCGAATCGAGTTGAGCGCGCTGAGAAAGTCCATCTCCTCCAGTTTCTTGAACAGGTATGGAAGGTCTGCAGAAATGATGGTGAGCCGTTCCAGACATAGGCACCTCGCCTCCTGCACCCCTCGGACCTCGATTTCGGTGCCAATTTCTAGCCGCTCCAAGAGGGGACAGACATTGTATATCTCCTCGTGCTGGTTAGCAAACAAGGCTAGCTGCTTTACGTTCGGCAGGATAGCGTGTTCAAAGAAGTAGTAAGTGTTCACATCAGGATTTTGACACGTGCATTTCCATGCATTTCCTGGTCTCAAGAGCTGTAAATGTCGTAAAAATGCGAAACCTTGGGAAATGCGCATTGCATCGTCAAGAGTAGGTTCAAAATCGGTAGAGCGTTGCGTGCTTCTGTAGTTGTAAATAGATACATCTCCCAGTGTATTTCCCTTGACTTTCCTGGTATTGTCAAAGCGGCTTATTCGCGATTCATGCACGGGGAATGCAATGCAAATGTATTCATTGCCGGAATGTAGTACGAAACGTGGGGAAAGCCCATGATGTCCATATAAAGCGGAACAGAATATCGCGAACTGTAGGATTAAGAAAAAAACTCGATTAAAAGAGCAGTAGGGCGTGAAAGCGAGATTAATAGAGCAGTCCGATAAATCTATGCGTGCGCGAGGAATGCCGTACGAAGGAGAAAGACGTGGGGGGAAGAGATGCAGAAACAATGATATTATCCACGAGACGACGACCGGACAGAGTTTAATCTGAACGAAACATGAGCACAGAGCAACAGGATTAAACGGACGACTTACAGACAATGCGGCGGTAAGCACGCGCATCAAGCTTGAATGCCTGGGCCGGGCCAGTGCTCGCGGCCTGCTCGCCCGAACTAGCCTTGGGCCGACGAATCGGGGCGCTTGCAAACTGAGATGACATAGCCAACGCCTCGGCGACGCTCGCCTGCGAGCACCGCTCAATGATGAGGTGGCTATAGTTGAACGTCGTTGCCTCGTTGTGATCCTTCGAGAAAGGAGGGATCGAGGGGAGCTCCGTGTCGTCGTCAAGGTCGTCTTCGAGGTGCTCCTCGTCTGGCTCGGGAACGTTGGCAGCCTTCTCCTTCCCTTTGGAAGCCGCATCCTCCCTCGCCTTCTCCCTCTCCTCCCTCTCCTTCTTGATGCGCGCGCGCTCCTTTGCCTTGTAGTTGCTCATGAGCCTCTTTGTCTTGTTGACAGTCGAGAGGTTCAGCGTGCCCTTGGGATCGATGCCCTTGATGTATCCGTTGACGTCTCCGAGAAGCCCATCTTGGGCGAGCTTAAGCGCACGATAAACCTAGAAAAGGGAGTGAGTAGAGTACTAGAGGGGTAGGGGATAGGTAATTACCGCGGCAGCAGCAAGAACAGTGGCTGCATATGGTGCGTAGACAGGTTCCTTCAAGCTGTCATACTGCGGAACATCAACACGGCCGATAATAGCGAGGTGATGGCATGCAAGGACGACAAGGAGGAAGTCGCCTTTGAGCATGCCGGTCGGCCCCTCTAGATCCCTGCCGCTGTTGAGGAACTGGTCCTCACCAAGCAGCTCCGCAACGTAAGCTTGCTGCAACTGGGGCGTGTTGATGCCTTTCTGAGCAAAGGAGGTGACGAGGGTGGCAATGGCAGTGGTGCCAAGGTTGCTCCGCCATTCAATGAGCTTCTTCTTGGCCTATGAATCGATTAGCAACCGGGACGAGACATGCTGATGATAGCTCACCAAGTTGAAGACAGGGCCAGTCACTGCCCTCTCATGCTCCGGAAGAGGGGTCCCATAGACCACCTGCCAGCAGATCATCACATTCTGCATGATCTCCGTGTCGGACCAGTCCCAGACCTTCTTCGAGCCGCCGAAGAAGTAGACCAGGGTCGGGATGAGCTCGTCAGTCCAGGCGTTGCGATCGTGAGCACCTGCGGGAAGGTCGCCAAGCTTCCAGACCAGGCGCTTGCTATCCTCGCTGGTGGTGTCGGAGCTAGCAGCAACCTTGCTGCGCTTTGACACGGGTTTGATGGCGGAGACCTGGGCATCCATCTGTAGCATGTTAGCGGAGCATTATATGAACAAGTGAGCATACCATCTGCGTCGTACGAGGGCCCTTGCCCTGCAGGGCTAGACCCTCGGGTTCTCCATCCACACCCTCAGCCTCGGCCTCAGCATCGTCAATGTCCATCTCCTCCTGCATCCCGTCTTCGTCGTCTTGTTTGGCTGGAACGGGGTCGTCGATGGGGTCGTCACTGTCGAGGGCATTGTAGATACTGATGTAGGGACTCGGGACCTCTTGTGCTTCCTGGAACCAATGCAAGTCGGGGTCGTACACAGGGCCGGGGCTTGAGAGATTAATACCGAGCTGATATACAAGTGTTAATCCAGAGCGTAGCGCCAATAGAAACTAATGACTTACCCAAACTGAGCCCTTCGCAGCATCAGACTGTTCATCAGGCTGCTCGTCGTCCGCCTCAATGGCACTTGCTTTTCGCTTGAGACGACGAGATTGAGTTGTGGATGGCTGAGGCGGCGGAGATGTAGGAGTCTTGCTGAACACGAGGAGGCCCTATAGTTTCTGGGAATCAACCCACAAATAAAATAAAATAAAAATATTGTTACGCTCACCTGCGCCTGTGGGGATCTTCCTGTAAGGGAGTTTCGTTCCCTTGCCACGTCAGCAAGGGTGTCTTCCATATGCAGCCCCATGCCGTCATGGTCGACCTCATCTTGAGCAGCAGTACGCCGTGCGGCCTTATGGGAGGAACTCTTGCTGGACACTGACGTTGTGGTGCTGTTTGACGTCTTCCGCCCGGTTAAGCCAGAGCTAGAGGTGGAAGACGGAATCCGGTGGGCGACACCAGTACTAATTTAAGTCAAGTTTGGTAAGCATGAGAATCACTGATGCAGAAAAGCTCCGACAAATACTCACGCCGGACCACGGGGATTGGTCCCAATTGAGGCAGCTTCTTGATGGCCAAACTCGACCTGGGCAGCATTGCTCGGTGCTTCGTCCTTCATGCTTTGACGTCTCGCCTCTATGTGGTGCCGCATTGTAGCTCTGTCTTTCCTCGCGACGACCTTGACCATGGGTTGAGAGCCATCGGGCTCCGCTTCTGACCAGTACAAGGTGAGATTTATGCCGCTACTACTCAGAAGTTGCACAGCACTGACCTTGAATGATCTGCTTCGAACGTGGATGCTCGGGGTTTGAAGACGCCTTCGCACCTTCGTCCTTGGAGATTGTACCCGCGCTCTTGTGCGCACTTGCAGCTGTTGTTGAGTGGATGACTTTCCGGACCCTCTGAACAGACTTCGGCCGACTGCTTGGCATTGGCTTTGACTGCGTCGCCAGCTGCTGTTGCTGCTGCACTTCGAGTTCGACTGATGCAAGCCGGTCAATGCCAGAGGTGACCAATGCATCCTTCTGGGCGTCGCGTTCAGCCTTACTGACTGGCTTCTTCTTAGCAGGGGCAGCCTTGACCAAAGCCTCAATGGGCCTGGAGCGGGGGCGGAGTGTACGCTGGGTTTTGGGAGACATGGAGGGTGCAGAAAGAGACGCGTGGCTGCAGAAAGGTGGACGTGGATGTTCAACTTCAACAAACGTAAGCTCCCAAGTCGCCGTCTGGCTAACCGGTGGCTCATTGAATTGTATGGCACCAGCCACGTCAGCCCCTTGTCACCTCGTTCAAACGCCCATGTCTCGCAAGCGGCGCCAGTCAAAAAACAGCAAAACCCAGAAACATGCCCTCAAACGTTTGAAATGTCCTCACTGCGAACGCTACTGCGCAAACACTTCCGGCCTTACCCAGCACTACCGCAGTCAACACGCTGGTGACATTGAAGATTATTACTACCATGAACCAGCTCCCCCCACTCCATCGCCCTCACGCTCACCCTCTCTTTCACGTTCACGTTCACGTTCACGCTCTCCCTCTCCTTCACGTTCGCGTTCTCCCTCTCCTTCACGTTCACGCTCTCCTCCTCCTTTGAACTTGCAGTCCTCATTCCAGTCGCCCTCGCATATTCCACTTCACTCACCCTCCCCTGCACTCCCTCACTCTCCATTATTCTTTCCAAGCTCGTCTCCTACACCCAGTCACTATTCCCCATCCTCATCATCCAGCTCGTCATCCTTCGCAAGTCCTCCTCTGCAAGGGCTAGCCCCCTCCCCGGCTCTGGTCCCTGAAGACTTCAGCCTTGATCCCTGTCCACTACCCGAAGACGACTTCTCCCTCGGTCATTCCCCACCACCTCAAGATGAAGACCACCCAGATTTCAGCAACGAGGACCCGTCGGTTGGAGATGCCATCAAGGTGGGATGCCTCACGAGGTATTTTCATAAATTCCTGACAGGTGCGTTATTTTGTATGGTTGTCTAAGGTGCCTCTCTGACAATTTAGTAGGCCGGAAATGTAACGAGTGCGGTGACTTCCTCTCCCCTGGAGAGCCTCCTCCCCCTTCTCCCCCTCGCAACCCCGATGACTGGTCGCCGTTTGGATCCCGCCTGGCCTTCGAGACAGCGGACTTCTTCTTCCGACGCAACCAGATGTCTGCCAGGCACATTGACTTCATGTGCCGGCTGTGGGGCATCTCCCTGGTGAAGCACAAGGATCAAGCACCCTTTCGTGACCACAAGCACCTCTACGACACCATCGACGACGTGAAGGTTGGGGATATTCCATGGCAATCCTTCTCTATCAACTACGGCGGTGCGAGGCCCCCCCGAAGTGTACCACCATGGATGGATGCAAAGTATGACGTGTGGTTCCGTGATCCTCTGGAGGTCGTCAAGAATATCCTCGCCCGCCCGGACTTCAAGGATCAGATGGATTACTCGCCCCACCGTGACTACGACAGCAACGGTGTCCGGCAATATGAAAACCTTTTCTCAGGCGATTGGGCCTGGGAGCAAGCGGTGTGTTCTTTCCATTCTCGAGACTTGCCTATCTACTGACATCTATATATATCTAGGATGAGATTGCACAAGACCCTGCAACGCATGGATCAACATTTGTCCCGGTCATCCTCGGAAGCGACAAAACAACAGTTTCGGTGGCAACCGGCCTGACCGAGTATTATCCCCTATACCTCTCCATCGGCAACGTTCACAACAACACACGGCGGGCACGCCGTAACGCTGTTGTCCTCATTGGTTTCCTGGCCATCCCAAAAAGTACGTTGTTGTTCTGCTCTTGTCCCGGCAAGTATCTAATGTGTCCCTAGCCAACAAGACCTTTAGTGCTGATCCGAAGTTCCGACAGTTCCGACGTCAGCTCTTTCACGCGTCACTCTCAGCGATTCTCCAAGTCCTGAAGCCCGGCATGTCGCAGCCACAAGTCTTGAAATTTGGGGACGGCTACTTCCGACGCGTCATCTTTGGTATCGGCCCGTACATCGCAGACTACCCGGAGCAGGTTTTGTTGACAGGAATTGTCCAGGGATGGTGCCCCCGGTACGTCTATCGTGGCTTCTAGCTTTTTATCACATGCTCAATCAAACAGTTGCCTCGCATTTCCTGACGATCTCGACAGTGGAGCACCGCAACGGTGTCGGCAACATAATGAAGCGCTCGTGGAGACACTGCCATCGGACGTCTTGTGGGATGAGTATGGCATCATCGCCGATGTTGTTGTAAGTCATTACCTCTGCCTGCCAGCCTCAGCACTATGTTGACGGGCGAGCCCAGCCATTCACCAATGATTTTCCCCGTGCCGACATCCATGACCTTATTGCCCCCGACATACTGCACCAGCTCGTCAAGGGAACCTTTAAGGATCACCTTGTCGACTGGGTCGAGCAGTACCTGCACAAGGTCCACCCCAAAGCAGAAGCCCTTCGAATATTGGATGATATTGACCGACGGTATGTTTTCTTGACATGCTTGTGTACGTATCCGGATGCTGACGTGGCACTGTAGTATAGCCGCAGCGCCTCCCTTCGCCGGCCTTCGCCGGTTCCCTCAAGGCCGAGGATTCAAGCAATGGACCGGCGACGATTCAAAGGCCCTCATGAAAGTACGTATGTTTGACGCTCTCAACACCTTTTTATTTACCCGCTTTTGTAGGTCTACTTGCCCGCCATTGAAGCCCACGTCCCCCCCAACGTTGTCCGCGCATTCCGCGCATTTCTGGAATTCACCTACATTGTCCGGCGAAACGTTATCACTGAAGACGACTTTGCCATCCTTGACGACTGCGTCGAACGATTCCATCGATACCGCCAAATCTTTGTTGAGTGCGGCGTCAACATCTCGCTGTCTCTTCCCCGCCAACACTCCCTGCCCCATTACAAGTACCTTATCCGACGTTTTGGCGCCCCAAACGGGCTGTGCTCGTCAATCACGGAATCAAAACACATTGAGGCCGTAAAGGATCCATGGCGGCGGTCGAGTCGGTTCAACGCGCTTGGTCAGATGCTGCGCACCAACTCCCGTCTCGACAAACTCGCAGCATGCCGCGTTGATTTTGATGCCAGAGGAATGCTGGCGGACGATCTGCTAGATGAAGAGCTTGGTTTAGACGAGCAGTGTGCGTTAATATTCACATCCCATTTCCCTTCGTATGCTCATCATCCCCCAGTTCTTGAGGTTGTCGACCACATGCCCGATAACGAACTCCTTGCCATGGGCTATCATCCCAACAATCTCCGAAACCGCGAAGCTCAATCCAAGTCCGTTGCTGCTGACTCTAATGACGAACTCGCGTTGGACGGATCAAGGAGGGTTCGCGTTGTCGGGAAGATTGATGGGAAGGAATTGATGGCGGAGGTGAAGTTAGCAAAATCGAGAGGTGAGCTCAATTCTCTATTCTTCCGGTTACCACGTTGTTGACCTTACCTTGTAATCAGCACGGAAACGCCCTCGCACGCTTCCTAACCTTGCCAAGGAGGTTCGCGAGCCGCAGCTGGTCGAGCAAACCCAACGATTCCTATTCACCATGCTTCACGGCAACGACCCTCGACTCAAGTACAACGTCTTTGTTCCCCTCCACGAGTGCCCCCTGCCTCCAGCAAAGATCACTGTCGTTAATTCGGCAGTGTCAACCTTCCGTGCACCAAGCGACAACTGCGGGACTGGCGGCCTGAAGCGTGAACGCATTCGTTCTACGGCTTCTTGGCGTAATGAAGCGCCACGCTACGACTGCGTTTTCGTCTTGACTGACGAAACTCGGCCCGGGACGCTTGCTATGGACGTCGTGCGTGTCCTCGCGCTGTTCAAGTTCGAGATCGGAAAGGTGGTTTACGAATGCGCCCTCGTCCACTGGTTCGAATACTATAGTGACGAACGCGACGAGGATACCGGCATGTACATCGTCCGCCCGAAGTTCAAAGGTAATACCCGTGATGTCTCCGTGATTGACGTCGATACGATCGTCAGAGCTGCTCATCTGATACCTGTATTTGGTAAACATACAGTTCCAGAGGATTTCAAGTGCCATCAGACCTACGATACGTACGATGCATTCTACATTAATCGTTTCATTGATCACCATGCATTCGAGCTTGCTTGAGCTCTTTTACCCTCAACAAAACTTCTACCTCTGTTCTAGTTACCCTTAATGACATTGTGATATCAATCTCGTGCTCAGTATACGGATCGCGACAAAGTCTGCGCTACACGGTGCGGTGAGTTGGACCCACTGGGTCCAAACTACAAATAGTGCCGAACATCTGTAATAGCCGACCGTCTGTTCTCGTGTTTGCACCACTCTCCGTCATTTCCCAACATTTATAGTAGATTATAGTCTTTCACTGAGCTTTTGTATTTACGTGGGGGAGGCCCGAGCGACAAGGACGGCAAAGTACCGGAAATTAAGGAAATGTTCGCTTCGCTTCCGAAAATGTCGGGAAAGTAACGTGTCACTTTCCTGATGCACTGTGTTGAAATCGTACACGCTGACGCGCTCCAAGCGCTCATGGGTTGCCTCCCCGTCGGCGGCGAGGTTGCCAATGCGCAGAATGAGTTCTATGAGGTTTGGTGCGTTGCTAAAGAGCGTAGGAAGGTCAAGTTGCACACCGTAATCCGAGTTACATTCTACGATGAGAGATATGAGCTTGGGGAAATCAGGTAGGTGGAGGACGTTCTGGGCTTCGGCATTGCTGCTAGTCTGGACGTGCAAGTGCGTCAATCGATCCCAGAGTGGCGATGGTGATCTCGTACTGAAGCGGATATCGCCGATGTAGAGGCGTTCCAGACTCGTGAACCTCTCAAGCCATGCGGTGGCGTTTTTGATAGGTGGCTCGGAGCTGAATACATCGCCGGAAAAGCACAGGTCAAAGATCTTAACAGTGTGCTCCAGAGTTTGGAAGGATGGATGGGTTGTAGTCGGCTGCTCATCATCTTCCAGCTCAATCGTCAGGTGAACCGGGAGGCTTTTGGCCCTGAGCGCCTGCTGGATGCGGAGCTGTGCCCGGTCTTCGTCCCCTGTCAGATAGATTCGACGCCATAACTGCGATGTTTTGAGCGCAACATCCCTCCAATACCTGCATACAGAGGCGACGACTAGCGACCAGGAGTGGCAATCCTTGGATATTCCGTAGGATCGCCCGAGATAGTAGGGTGGTGGCTGATGGGAAAGGAACGCGACGAATATCTTGGCCAGCATCTCTGTGGGGAGGCGATTGACGAAGGCAAGATCGGAAGTGCTGTTGAGAGAAGTCCGAGTCTGTGCATATGTAAGACTGACTGCGCTCCCATCAAGCTAGCAGTAGCGAAACACTGTACGTACTTCTCCTCTACTGACCTGGATCATGTTTGAAAGCAATTCTTGCTCCATGATGCGTTCTTCTTTCGAGACGGATGGCTTACACCAACCTGAGACACGGTGAAGATGAGAGTGGGGGTGAAGAATGAGACTGAGGCGTCACAGCCAAGGTGAGCTGAGGGAAATCAACTGGGCACCGCCGTGCGGAGTCTTAAGATCTAACCATGCATTGGGCTCTGAGAAGGACGAAGCCCGAGTCACACTGCATTATGCTCGCTCAGAGTGGTGATTGGCATGGATTTGGCAGGGCAGATCGATGATGTTGGTGTCTTGAGTTTCCTGTTTCCCTACGAACTTTCCTTGGGTTCAATCTTAGCCATCAGACCTCAGTACCCTAAATCAGGAACTATGGGGTCAGTCTATATAAGCAAATCCGATATAAGATATAATAGCATTCGTGATGGCTTTGCCCTTTCCTAGACGTGCTCCGTGTATGCCTTTTCCACCTCTTTGTGCATGCCACTTCCATCTTCTGCAGCATCCTTGGAGTTCATCGTGTGGTTCGCTTTGAGCCGAACAAAATTTGCCTCCTCATCCCACGCAAACGGACTTTTGCTCGAAAAGAGCATATCAATCTCCTCCAGCGTGCAGTTCGCCGTCTCGGGATAGAATGCCCACACCATGGGGATACTCAGGAAGTTAATCGCGCCAAAGATATACAGCGTGCTGTCAATTTTCGTAAGTGAAAGCCCTCCCACAGACAATGAAAGACGGAATGCACGTACTCTGCCTGAATCGCGTTGAACATGACCGGGTTCAGCAGCGTCAACCACCCATTTCCGATGCTCCACCCGACAACGCTCCACGCGTTCCCCTTTGCGCGGATTCCGAGCGGGAAAATCTCCGTGGGATACACCCATGGTATCGAGAGCCACGTTGCGCCGAACACGGCCGTGAACACGAATATGAAGAACGCGGACCCGCCTCCATACTGTGCCGCATTATCCGGGTGTTCTCTGAGTAGACCTCCCAAAGCACCAGAGAGAATCATAGCGATGCCTTGGCCCACGGATCCCCAGTAGAGTGGGACACGACGGCCCCATCGGTCGATGGTGAGAACGCCGATGAGGGTACTGAGGCAGTAAGTCGTCTGAACTTGCTAAATAAGAACGTCGGAGCGAGAGGACAGAAGTTGCCTACATCGTTGAGCCCAGAGAGCCATTGCGATTTGCGGGCACTATACCCTGCTTGTGCGAAGATAGTTGGGGCCCACATCACGATAGCTGCGATGCCGACCCATCTAATAAGGGGAAGTTACTGCACAGTTATCGATTCGGGTGTGTAAATCACTCACTCTTGCACAACCTGTAACCAAATAACGAGCTGGACACGTCTCGCTATGTGCAGATTGTCCGAGCCTCACCAAAATAAATCAGTATCCGTGCGTTGATATAACAAGTTGCGTCGCTCACCGATGCCCCAGAACATCGCCCAATATGAGTCCCGCTTTGTGTATGCTTTCTCAAGTTTGACGGCCTCGATGATGGCGTGTATTTCAACCTCGAGGTCTGACGTCCCAGCAACTATCTCGTCGCTTCTGATACGGTGTAGTATATCGCGTGCTTCGTCGATGCGGCCGACTTTAAACAGCCAGCCTATCCCGTTGTAGAACGTCAACAGCTTAAACATGATGGACTGTGGTAAAGGAAACGTACGGGGTGATTCTGGCATCCACATGAGAGCAAACTGTAGTAGTTGAGCAAGCTGTCGAACACGTTGGAGGGTGCTATACTCACCATAAACGCAAGCACAGGAATGATTTGGAAAGCAATGGGAAACTGCCATGGAATTTTGTCATGAACCTGCGAGTCTGATCTCATAAGGAAGCAACTCACCCTCCATCGAATTTGCGTGTCCCCATTACCGATGAATCCCATACCAAACTCAAGCCAGTATGCAACGACAACGCCGAAGATGTTGAGCGTGAACTCGGTGGCGATGAACGCGCCGCGCGAAGTGTGTGTCGCCACCTCGGCGCTCCATACCGGCACAATCGCGTTCAAAAAGCCGGTCCCGATGCCGTTGATGAGGCGTGCGCAGAGCATCCTACCCCGTGGAACGTGATGAAATACGTTCTGCGCATGGAAGGTGCATGAAGGAAGCGTACCAAGCGAGGTTTTGGGCAGAGCATTGGAGGGAGGCGCCGAGGAGGACCCAGATGCTGCCCTGCATGTATGGTCATCAAGGGTACCCGGATACTCGGCAGGAATGCGATTCACAATGATCATAGTCTTGATGCGCCCAATTCTAAGAGTACGGGGTCAGAATCGACGAAAGTCAAGGAGGCAGATCTGTGAACGCGGACACACCGGTCACCAATTGCACCAGCCATCAGGGCCCCGATGAGAGTTCCCAGGTAATAGACTAACGGGAGCATACATGTCACAGTTAGCCAGAGCCCTGCGACGAGAGAGATGAAGGAGTGCGCACTGCTGACTATGCCGCCCTGTCTCGTCGGGTTTGTTATCGTTGCAACATACCCCTCCGCCGGGCCCTCGTACGTCGAATAGCCAAGCCCCATTGTCCGCACGTAGTCCGGGGCCGTGTTCACGCCACCCATCATACCTTGGTCATACCCGAAGCTGATGGTCCATGTCGTTATCAGTACGGGATAACGAGGGGAGGCATCGAGCAGATTGGAAATACCCACAAGAAGATGGCAAGTCCAGCAACAAAGTTGATCGTGTAGTAGAGCCGCTTGCCGCCGAGCGAGGCCATGATGCGTTCCGAGAATGCTCTCAAGAACACGGATTATTCAAAGAGTGGATACGGGGCGAGAATGTTTCTGTGGCCTTCACATGCATCATATAAGCCTTCTGCTCCGGCCTGTGGCCGCAAAGAGGCGCTCAGACTCCTCGTGAACGAGGTTAGGTCGGCGGTAGTGACGACATTTGGTGGCTCCGCGCAAAGCTGTGACCAGCTCTGCAGACCCCGGAGAAAAGTCCTCCGCTTGCCTCTGCCTACAGCAATGTGGCATGACCAGGGAGAATGGTCAGGCCGTCAGAGTATGTCTTGAAATACATGGTTAACCTTGCAAATGAAGCATAACTGAGTTAAGCCGCCGGTACGATAAGATGTTGCTCAGATGATGAACGGCAACACAACCTCACAGCCTAATCTTTTGCCCTGCGAAGACGACACGATATGGCATGCGTGTGTGAACAGTAGCCCAGTCGATGGGAAACTCATCTGGACCGAAGGAGCGGGCGGAACGACGGCTTGCCTTCTCATGACCTGCCCTCTCGATTCTCAAACTTAAAGGTCACAGTGGGGTTCCTGTTCCGCGTATCAGACAAACATAGAACTCACCCCATCTATCAAAAGTGTGAATTGAGCATACTCGCCTTGCTTTGTACCAAAGAGTCCTAGGTTGTGTTGTTCTTTCCCTTAAGAAAGGTTAGCAAATGGCCGCAAAAAATAAACGGCGTTGTGTCGTCCGTGGCTTTCAGAACGGCAATTGAAGTCCGACCGGCTGCTCCCGAGAGGCTCCCCTTTCCTCGATGTCTGCTCCATGCTACAAAATCAAAATCAAGCCTACAAGTACTCGCTCCCGAACATGGCCTCACCATTGGGCAACTTCTCGCTCACGAGGGCCTAGAATTTCGACACTTTTCACTTTCGAGGTTTCGAAAAATGGATTGTACCAACATCCCATAAGGCTCTGACGCTCGAACGGATATGCAAGCGGCACTTTCTCTCATCGTCTCTGCCAAAAACCCAAAGTCCTCCGTGTAGTGCAGGGTTCATCCTGGCAGGGTATCTCAGACTCAGCGCCATAATGATAAAACATGTAAGAACACCCTGTCTGTCTCCTTCGTCCCCAGCATTGAGTTCTCAGCGACCAACAGCCTACACCCCGTTTTTGACAGCCAGCCACGACGGCCGGCTTGATATATCCTTCCACCATCTTTTCTCCCCGAATGCGGAATCGGTCTCTCTCAGCAGCACCAAGATACGGATGGGATGTCGACTCACCTCGCGACGTTGGGCCTCGCCTCGGGCTTGAACACGTCCATTTCGAACCGCTCCTCGAGCATCGTGCTTAGGGGGAGGTGGAAGAGGTCTGCGAGCGTGACGTGCTGCAGTCCCCACCACATGGGTACGACCATCCGTCAGCTATCTGGAGAGGGTAAAGGATGCAGGCAGAAGGGAGCGGAGAGTTAGGGAGGTTCATATATGCGCTCACATCGCCAGCAAGGTACGCCTGCTTGCCCAGTATACCCTCGTACACGTCCAACTTCTCCTCCAGCCTCTGTACATTCTCCTGCAATCGCGCTTCGTCTGTCTTCAGACCTCGCCGTCTGTCACCCCTCAGTCAGCCCTGGCACATATACACTCAAGCAAGAGAGCGCACGGACATTTTGAACACTCGCTCCCATGCAACCCCGTACGCCCACGGCTCGAAGCTGCACACCTCGACGTGCGCGGCCTGCTCAAATGCCGCATACGCCGCCATCCTCTCCGCGTCGCGCCCCGTAGTTTCCGGAAGCGCGATAAGGCCCGGTGTACCCTGCGCGGCGTACTTGGCCGCGATGTACCGCGCACACGCGCGGGACTCGTACACGAGGATGCCATTGTCGTCCTGTGTAATCTCTGTCAATACGACGTCTGGCCGTCTATGAAGAAGGGGACGGAAAGGAAAGAACGCACGATAACCGGCAGCTGGCCAAAGGGGTGCCTGGCAATGTTCTCTGGTTGCTTCTGCTCGCCGGCGTTGATATCGACCTGGACGAACTCGAAGGGCACGTCTTTCTCGATGCAGATCTGTGCGACGGAGCGCGTCTTCGTGGACATGTGTTCGCCGTACAGTTTGAGGACCATCTTCCCGTTAAGCGAGGCGGGAGTGTGCTCGTCGTTACATTTGGTAGAGTTCTTGCTTTATACAAGTCTGTTTTATTGGTCAATGGTCTTGTGAGGGTCCAGGTGACTACCCGGGACGAGCTGCGAGGTTATGCGGACCGGCGGTACTAAGCTGGTATAATTGTCTATTCCATGAAGCGGAGCATATAATGATTAGACGTATCGTAGGCTTATAAATAGTAAGAGAGCTGGGTATCGATACAGAGCGCGGGGAAGATACAATGGGCGGGAGTGAAAAGTGAAGTGATACAGCGCGCGATACAGGTCAGTGTAGGGTTAGCCAATCCATAAGTAGGTTACACAATCTAAGACAGTCAGTCCATCCACATCACAGCAGTCCTCTGCTCGCGAGCACAGGCCACGCTCATGCGCCTATACTCGAAAGCACCTTAAACACCTCGTTCTGCCGCTCGCGGAACGCCTTGAGCTTCGTGATGCCCAGCCCCAGTGCATTCACCCTATTCGAAAACTCGACCGCACGGCCCTCGACGCTCCGCCGCCCGTCGCGCTCGCGCTCGCGGTCCGCGCGATTGCCCACGCCGCCCTCGATCATCGCGCGGGCACGTTCGAGGCGCGGCAGCGGGATATCCGCCTCGTCCCCGCGCTGCGCGTACTGCATCGCCGTCTCCGTGTCCTCCTCCTCCATCTCGCGTGCCTTGCGCCCGATCGCGGCGAGCTCACTCATGAACGGCTTCAGCGGCGGGGGACACTCGGCAAGCGTGAGCTCGCGCCCGAGCACGCCGACGACGCTGCCCTCGGACGTGACGCTCGTCGTCGCCACGTCCAGAATGGCGAATGAGACGGCGGCGAAGTAGGCCCGGGATGGGTCGCGCTGCATCATGTCGTGCAGGGGCTTGCTCCGCTCGAGGACGTCCGCGAGCGCGGCGTAGAGCGTCTCGCGGATGAGCTCGATGGCGGGCGCGTCGTCTGGAAGGATCGAGAGAGCGGGGCTCGGGCTCCGAGGGAGAGACATCGTGCTTCCCGTCGGACTCGCCATCTCGTAGCTCGGCGGGGGCACAAAGCTCGCCTTGACCTTGAGCGTGCTGGCACCGCCTGGCGCGCCGGCATCGAGCGCGGCCTGCAGGTCGTCTGCGTACCGGTTCTGGAAGGAGCGGCGCTGGCTGATCTCGATCGCCACGGCGCGTAGGTCGGCTGCGAGCCCGCCGATGGAGTTGTCAAGGGGAGAGGAGATCGGTTGGAGGTTGCAGATGATGCGGGCGAGGTCGTGTTGGTGCTGTGGGGCGAGCGCTTGTATGCGCGGCACAGTGGTGGCCCAGACGCTGAGGAAGCCGAGGAAGGATTCGGGGCAGTTTCCCTCGGCGAGTTCCATAGGAACGGCGGTCTTGGATGTGCGCGGGAGGGGGACGGATGGGGGATTGGTTGTACATCTGAGAGCAGCAAAGTAGAGGCAGAGTGCGGGGCCTGCCAGCGTGAATTAGCAGATGTTGATCGGGTGAAGAGATGGGAAGTAGCACACCCGTTATCATGAGATCGCCCTCTGCACTCGCGAGAATCTCTGGATCGACAAGTTTCTCAATTTTGGCTTGTGTGAGTGAGGAGCGGAGGTATCGATGGAACGCGTCCTGGATGTACTGCTCCGTTAGCTTGTCCTCCGACATCGCGTGCGATATAGACAGAGGAGACGAGATTGAGGTGGTGTTGGTCAAGGGCAGAGATGACAATGAGCTTAGGAAGAAAAGGAGCTGTGTTCTTGCTTATATGGACGCAGCCTCGTCAAGCCGGTGCCTCAAAGCGGCTGACAGCGGTGACGCACCGAATCCGACGCTGCCACTTTCTGTCTCAAATTGCTCCTATTGGGTCCTTCTCGCCCGCGTAAATCCCGGATCTACCGCTTTAGGCATCGCTATCGGACCAAATAGTCAGAATGAACTGCACAGCTCAGGGGCTGTGGCGAGGTCCGATGCCGACTGCGGGCAGCGGCGAGCGCAAGATAGCCGCGGGTGGTCACCGGTCACCATCGGACCAACCCTTGACCAGGACCACCTGTGTCTTCTCGCTATAATGAACACATATTCACACTCACTTATTCTACTCGGGAAAATGCCGCTTGCAGCGGCGGAAACCTTGCTTGACGTTGGAGTCTGCATTGTAAATGATTTGCAAAACCCTGCCTATTCACTATGAAGTCAAAACGTAGACCCTAACAAACTATCAGAGACAATATTAATGTATAATAATGTAGCCAGTCTAAATGACAGCATGAAGCTCGGACGTTTCATATTGGAGGAGTTTACCACTGTGGTGATCTCGAAGGAGCAAGTGCGCTGCACGGATGGAGTATGGAACAATTCCCTCCAGCATATGCGTCACGGTCAGGTCAAAGAGGTACAGTACGTCTCGCATTACCATTATCTCCGCCGTCGCGCAAGGGGCCATGGTGGTCGTCAGGCGTGCATGTGGGTCCATGGGCGTTGATACAAGCTTGAGCTCATCAAAACCGAAACGGCGGACAATGGAGGTGATGTACAACTGCCGGGAGAGGTGGATGGTGCGGGCTGCCCGGTCATGCTTGACTTCAATGCCCAAGAGCTAGTGCAACTCGTTGAGATCAGAAACCTCGACATGCTCGTGCAGCAGGGCCTTAAGGCGGGCAATGAGAGCAAGGGAGGATGTGACAATTGTGCAATCATCGGCATGCACAACGATGATGAAGAGGGTGTTGGCATCCCGACGATAGAACAAGCATGGAGCAGCGATGAAGAGATTTGGGACATGGATAGTATTGTGTATGAAAGGGAAGATGTATTACACTTCTGGACTGCGTCGACGTTGTACTGGTGCTGACTTCGCCTACTTATTACTAGTGTCTAAAGGCTATACTCTACTTACCAACCTGGAATAGTGAGCTTTGTTTGTACTTATGTGGCAGGCGCGACGTTCCCACGCAATAAAGGGGGTGACAGAAACCTTGTCAAGCAAGGTAACTCTCCTTAGTCAAATCCTCGATATCCACACCCGCATTGAGTCTTAGGCTTCGCTCAATCATTGCCTGGCGGACGAGAGCCTCTGACGTCGGTGCTCTATGACTCGAAAATGGGGTTCCTCAGACTGCTCATTGCATCATCCAAAGCAGCATATGGAGGTGGCCATCGCCAGAACCTTTGACCTTGCTGATACAAATGACGGCTGCGTCAGCTATGGGTCAAAGCATACGAGGGCAATCTTGGTGACGTAGGGATCATCAAGCTCGCTGATCCGACGTCCCGACCAAATTTCATTTACATTGTCAATCGCGCTCGGTGAGAGTTGACGCACAATCTGGACTGATGATGGACTTGTGACGCTCGCTGAGCTGGACCCGTGCTGAACACTACTCATCGGTGACTGTTGTGTTCGGCAGGCGCATGATTCAAATTAGCGCTGGAACATGAGGAAAGTAGGGATCTGTTGAGAATCGTGGAATCATCGTAAAAAGTTGAGATGGCACTCTGTACACGGCAAGTTCCTACACGAATTTCCCTCTGGCCACGAAATCATTGGTTTCCTAACTGTGTGTGCTAGGTTTAGATCGCACATTCTGATCTCCGCCAGTACCCAGAGGGGCTCAGCTCACTTTCTCTGCCTCCGTTGGGCAGTTGCTGTATCGCCTACGCCCCTGGGACACATGTTTAACGGATGTCCGTGCAGCGGTCACTTGAGTCGAAAGAAAACGCAGCACAGCTTGAACTCGCACAGTCTCCGGCACTGGCCCTTGGCTTTGGTGGGAGCCAGGGTCGACGCAGCTCAGGTGCTTGTCCAGCACAGCGGCCGTCGGCTGCTCGGTGGAATAGTGATTGAAGTCTACGGTCGGTCGGACTCGACCCGAACCCGCTCGGTCGCGCACGTATGCAAAGAGCTCAGGATGCCATACGAGCTCAACCCTAGCTGTAGGACTGTCGCTACGACAAGCGGCGAGCACCTCTCAACTCACCACGCGTAGCTGGGGATCTGTGACTGAATACTGATCCCCCGAGCCTCAATGCCAAATCCAACATGATGATGCAGGGCCAGCAGGAGATTTGGGATTTTTATTGGATTTGGGGATACCGGACTATGCGCAATTGTCAACGAGGGATTGTTTTCAGTACTTCATAGGTTTAAATTGTTGCATAAAACGATTGTGATGGAGTGCGCGCTTGGTTTATTTATTTACTTTCCACCCCAGCTTTAAAGTCCGCCCGCTTGCTGTTGTCGCGCACGAATGCCGTAACTCCTCGCGACTACTTCGTTTCATCCCCAGAATCACCTTCAGAAACGCTCATGATATCTTTCGAAGAAGCAGCCTCAGAGCTTGACTGTGTTCTGAGACCTTGAAAACTATCACCGGTCTTGTAAGCCACGCATTCTCGGTATCTCTAGTAACCTTTATCTTACGACAAATTTCCTCAGCTCCCTGGAGTCGTCTCTCGTGTCTCTGTGCGTGTAGGAATGATGTTTATGAGTTTTCCCCTAAGCTTCATGACTGTGTCACTACAAGGTTGCTGCACAACACTCGCTCGCATCGTATGCAGGAACGAATTCTGCCCTTAGCGAGAACATGGAAATGCACAAAATCCGATCAATGGTCTCCGTTCTATCGCTAATGATCAAGGACACAAAAACGATATTGAAGACCGTTAACAAGCTACGCGATGTGCTAGACCACACTACAACGGACCATTTGCGTCTTGTGTCTCCCGTATTGCGACTTCCTTTCGAGCTCTTGTCTGAGATCTTCGTTCTCAGCGCTGAGCAAACCGTCCGCACTACTCTTCATAGGAACCACATCCCCTACTTTCATCGCACGTACAGGGTTCAAGCGGAAGCGTCTGGCGCGCTCAATGTCGCCCAGGTCTGTCGGAAGTGGCGGGAGGTGGCGCTATCCACTCCGAGCCTGTGGAACGCAATTCTTCATGCCCCTATCAGTGTCGGCTACGTTCCATTTACCGCCCACAGTATTCCCCTTCCGCTGATTCTGCAGAGAGCGTTGACATCTCCGATTTTCATTTCACTAGACTGCTCTGCGATGGAGGTGGACTCTGACCGAATCATCGGTCCTCTCCCTTGGAACCCCGCATGCGACAGTGTCGTAGGGATCGATCTTCTACGCGGTAATAGGATGTCTTGCCTCCCATTGTTCCATTGGTTCTCTCAGTTCCGGAACCTAACTCGCCTCTACATGAACGATCTGAACTATACGATATTCCGCGACCCCAACATGCGAAACGGGTGTTCTTCGTTCCTAGATCGACTCACTCGTCTTCATCTGTCTTGTTCCTACGCCGCCGGTCAAGCTGCGCTCATAGGCTTTCACACATGGAGTAACCTGGTTTCCCTGACACTGGACCTAAATTGGAGTATTAGTATTAGAGACTTACAAAAGGTCTTCATCCATGCACCAAAACTCACCGAGCTCTTCATCGCCCTCAGCATGAGAGCTGGCAACGAATGGATCACCACGCCCATTTCCTCTCGAAATCTACGTTCATTCTCAGTCGTCACGTACTCAGACTACTACCTCGACGAACACAACACGGAACGCATGTTTAACTCCCTTACTTTTCCTGAGCTCTCTGATCTCGTCGTCACCTGTCCTCCGGATGGAAACGTAGACTTATCTACGGCGCTTCTTGACTCGCTCTGGCTGTCGTCTGCCAAGCCTTGCGTTGATTGACATCCCAGAGTGGATTCTTGGGTACACAGAAGGCGAAGAAGGCGAGGAAGTCGATCCGCTCTCGATTCGGCCAGCAACGGCCAACCTGCGAGAGGAGTTTTCCATCACATCTGTAACATTTCCCCACACTTTGCAAGAAACGCGGGTGTTTCAAGAAGCTAAACACAGATGGTATTCCGGTGCATGAAGTTGTTTAATGAATATGCCTGTTTCATTCGTTCTCTATGTTCATGTTGCCGAACATCGCATGTTCTAGCGTAGCGCATAGTAAACTGTACGCTCTCCTAGAATTGCCGTGTCTGACCCAGTCTGCTGCCGTTAAATTTGCAATGGTCATTGGTACATACGGAATGGATCTCACGGTATGCTGTACCCCGAGTTGGAGAGCGATCATGCCTTAGATTCTCGACAAAATCTCACAGCAATTGTTATCGGAACGCACTCATGCACCTCCGTGGTACTTGAATGTCATACTGCCCGTAGCTTACACCGTTGTTCCACATCCTCATCAGCTCCTAACCACCGCCCATTTATTCTTAGTTCTCCCCACCCATATCACCCAACGCCCTCCTCACGATGTCCTTCGGCACCCTCTGCACAAATCTGACCTTAAACGGCGGCGGCCTCATGACCAACGTATCCTTCCACCCGTCTATATCGTACACCGTGTCCTTGCTCGGGCGCACAACGTCGAATGCCCAGAAGATGAGTGCGAGGTTGAGGAACAGCGAGCGGTTCGCGACGTGCTGCCCGGGGCAGACGCGCCGCCCGAAGCCGTATGTGAAGAAGCGGAGGTCTGTGCGGAGCTTTGGGGAAGAGGGCGGAGAGGTAGTGGGGCTCTCGAGCCACCGGGAGGGGAGGAAGGAGTCGGGATTGGGGTACGCGGTGGAGTCGCGCGAGATGGCCCTATGGAAGAGTGAGGGGTAAGCCAAGTAGTTTGAGATACAGGAAGAGGGACGATGCGAACCAGTGAGAGCCGAGAATCGTCGTGCCCTCCGGAATGACGTAGCCGTTCTATTATTTGTTACATATTAGCTAGGATCACGGAGGAAAAAAACCGGCGGGAATACATACATAATGGACATCTTTGTTCGCACTGTGCGCAATACCGATAGGTACGATAGGGCGCCAGCGGAGCACTTCTTCGATGAACGCCTGTAGGAGCGGGAGGCTGCCCATGTCGTTGAAGCTGGGCGCTATACCGATGCAGTAGATTCAAGGGCTTGCCCATATAGGTAGTACAAAAAACACGTACCTCGTTCCCGCCCAACGACCTTATTGAGCTCCTCATGCACCTTCTTGAGCTCTTCAGGAAACTCGGCCGCCGCGAGGATGGCGAAGTTAAGGCCAACTGTGGTCTGTTAAAAACTGTCAGAACAAACAACTTCACCCCCGGTCAGAAAGGTGGGTTATCAGCGAACGACGCACCGTGTCGCTGCCCGCGCCAAAGAGGATGGACGTGACCTCGGCGAGTTCATAGTCGGGTAGCCTGTGCTCGTCCTGCGTCTCAATCATGTTACGCAGGAAGGACGATGCGGCGGTGCCCTCAGCCTATAAGCAGTTCACCCGTCAATAATTTGGGCTTTCAAACCCGAGCGAATGTTCTGCGCTCACCATCTCCTGTTGCACCCTGCCCATCATCTCGTCTGCCAAGTCCTGCTCTTTCCGCGCCCACCCGGCCATCTCCCACCCGAACGCGCCGAGCACCCTGCCCAGCCACCAAATCCCCGGTGTGTTCTCGAGCGCGTCACAGATGCGCTTCATTCCCCCGAGGCGGTGGAGTGGCTTCAAGACAGGCAGCGCCTCAATTATGAAGCGCCCCGGGATCAAGGAGTTACTGCCGTTTCGCCCATTTTGAAGGATGCGCTGCACTTCTGGTGAGGTGGCGGAGGTTGGTGTGCACTTGCCATACATAATTTGGATGGTCACGGAGGAGGCGTAGCTGTGGGACGATAAGAATGCAGCGAGTGAGCCCTTATAAGAAGATGGACGAAAGAGGCGCACGCACGACTGGAGGTGATCAGCAAACTTGTCTGGGTTATCCATGATGTTCAGGATAACACGGCGAGCATGGTCAATCTGAATTGGCTGGTAGCTCTTCGCCGCTTTAGGCTGCAGTGCGGTATGCACCGCCCTTTCATACTCTCAAGTCAGCACTAAATTCATCAAAAAAACGAATAAAAGTCACCACGTACTTGCGCACGGTTCGGAAATGGTCTCCAGCGCCCTCGAATATTAGACGCCCCGACCGCGCCATGAGCTCACCCCCCACAACCGAACGCGGACGATCAGTGGTCGAGCCCCCAGCTTTCTCCATGATCTCAAGGGCCGCTTCATAGCTCGCCACGACGACGAACTTGTTGTTTCCCGCACTCAAAGTGTAAACGCCACCGTATTGGTCTGCCAATGCGGCGAAGTTACGAGCAACACTAGATCCAAGCAGTCGGGTTGGGACTCGGATAAGCATTGTATTTGAGAATAATGGAGGGTGAAAGGCACGTACTCCCTCTTCGGAAAAGGGTTCTGCCAAAACCACTTCGTCGGTGGGCCAGGAGGTAGAGGGCTCCTCTTCTGGCTGGACGAAGCGGCGTTCTTGATGGAGTACAAGGCGAGGAAAGCGGTGAAGGCGGCGACTGCTCCAGTGACCGGAGTCAGGGAAGTCTGATCGGTGACAGAGAAGGGGAGATGTTCAGCAAGGTGACGGAGGTAATCCATGAGTGATTCCGTTGTGATGGTGCTCAGATTCGTGATATTGAGTGTCTCCGCTGCTCCGACGTGCATATATAGGAGCTCAGAATCCATTACTTACCTGCTTATTCCACGCCTGCGTCAATCGGTGCTGCACAATAATAAGCGTACGGCTTCCGGCACTCAATGGGAATTAGAAGAGCGTCGCGGGATCTACGGGCCCGCTGTGTCTAATGCTCTCCGTGTCATCCATCTCCAGTACGGGCCCAGAGAACCGTCGCCACGAAGGAGCAGCAGCGTAGATAGAGGGCTAGCCCGTTTACGCCGGGTATTGACCTTCATTGGCTCATTGTTGGCGGAATCAATGGGAGGCTGAGGTGAAAGACCGGTTTGCACGGTAAATGCATGCGAAAGCCGAGTAAATGGGTGTTTGTCCTTGTTGAATCCTAAAGGCGTTGCACAACGGAGCCAAATAGATAGGCTCGCGATATCATATCGACTATCCAAGCAGCTACACGTACTACGAAGCTAGTGTAATTACAGTATATATGAGCTCATTCAGGGATGGGGATGCTGTATTTTGGTGACGCTTTGCTTAGACTTATAGACCCTCATACTTGTTGTTACATTAGAAAGATCTAAGTATGTACAGTAGTCCACTCTTTACAATTAATACTAATCTAAAAGCATCGTATCGATGCTTCTGAATCGTTCGTTGCTCTATTGACATGTCTATGTGACCAGCCTACTCGGGCTGTTTGTTATAGGAAGGAATGTGACCTTCAAGTTTCCGTCTATCTCGTCTCCGATTTCTCTCACAGCATCGGCCGATTATTCATACATGCTGACATGAGTATGAAATCAGCAAGTTCTACAGAAACGTTCAGTGGACTTTAGCGGAGGACCCCGCTGGGATGAGCACTAATCAGGTTAACAAGAAGCAACGCGTACGGGTGAGCTAACACAAACCCGCGCAGCTGCGCAGTGTCCTAGATCTCCCTAGTCGTATCTTCCAGGCCTTTTTACCCCGACCTCGTATTCATGTTGCTCAATACGTCTCTTCTGAAGTTTCTCATCCATCGTCCTCAAAGGCCGACTTTTCGTCTTCCCTTTGGTTCCATTCGTAACACGGTACAGCCTTATGACGGCCCCCAACTCCCCAACTTCGAGCTAGCTGGTGACGCGACACTAGTCAATTGATTTTCTGATGGTAACTATCCTTCATCTGAAGCTGCATCGTTGAGTAGACTGCTGCTTTTGTAGGCGGTTCAGAAGCGGTCGATTCAAGAGTGATTTGCTAAGCTTAGCCTGTGCATGGTGGACTCCTACTACTTAGTAGTCTAAGACTGGGTGGCAAGGTAGATCACGTACAACGGGGATTAATGTGCCTGTGCTGTGACCATCATTTCTGGATTGTTTGTTGATGTTGCAGCGAGTAAAAACGAAGAAGATGGCGCCAATGTGGACCAATAACATCTGTTTTCTTGCTCATCGGTCAAGAGCCGGTTCGCAAGCGTTGATTGCAATGTACATAAGGGTCGCTCTCTCGGTCTGACTTGCCTTCAACATTGTGCACACCGCTTTTTTATGATGGTCCAGATTTCGGCTGACCATCTGATCAGCATCTACGTGGGGAGAAAGGAGTAAAAAAGAAGAAAAATACGGGGGAAAGCTGGCACCCAGGGAGCAGTGGATCCACTCCTTGGCGGATTTACATGCTCCGGGCGGTCCACCTTCCTCTAGATGGGATCACTCTCCCCCCGCTCTCTCACGCTGGGGCGTAAACGCTTGACAAATGCAAAGAAAGGCTATCAAGGCAGCTAAACTGAACGGAATCAGAATGACCGCATGTGGGTTCAAAAATGGAAAGATTTAAACCTCGTGCGCAGACTTTCGAAGAGGTGCCGTATACAGTTTTCATCTTTAAACGCCTTGATATGTCTAGATTGAAGTGTGCATCTGGCAAACATAAGTAGGGAGTGCACAACACGTTGAAAATCACAGGAATAAGTTACAAGTAAGAATCGCAGTGGCTCTGCTTGAAATTAAACTTGTGTATTAAATACAAGCCACCATTCTATATGCTGATTGGCAGACCCTCGATGGAATGCGAGCGCCACCGTACGGAGTGGATAGCCGAGCAAACTACTGTTGCACACCACCGTCCGACAAGGCAGACGTCGCTTTCTGCTTGCTCACTTATATCTCTCGAAGTTTGCGTCTCCGTATCTCTCAGCAAGTTGATATGCATGCCAGATCGACTACGAACCGACGTCAACATCATGCCACGCGAAGAGCAAAGTACACCCTTGCCAACACCCACGCGAATAGTTCGAATGTTTTCGTCAACCACGTAGCTCAATCCCGCCAGTCATACCGGCTGAAGATAATGACTGGTGCTGGGTCGCTTCGACAGCGGCTCGCCGCGCTTGTTTTCATTATCGCTGTCCTCTCTATCTCGTTTATCTGCCTTTGGCCTATGCTCACTTCTCCCACAATCATCGAATCCTCCCTGGCTGCTCGATCAACGACTCCATTATTATCAAGTCTTGCTCCTGGTATTCCAACACAAGGTATAGCCCCAATTGGTTCTCCTGGTGCAAACACGGCCAACATCTCTACTTGCGCTCGTACCGGATGCGACAACCCGTCGTTAAAGAGGTTGAAGCATCGTCCCAAGAGAAAACACACATCCGGCCCGATTAGACTTGACCGTTCCATCCTTCCCATCCTCGAATCTCTCCACTCCGATGACCTCGCCTACCGTCTCGCAACATCGCACAAGAAACGTTCAGGCAGAAGCTGGACTCCGTTTGTCGATAGACTCCCCGAAGCACGCTCAGGCTCACATCGGTCCCGCCATTCTCGTCGGGATGACACCCATGACTCCCGTTCTGGTTCTGAAGCTAACCTCGACGCCGGTGTTAAGATGTCCGAATCCGGCGGTGCGACACTAGAGGACCTGGCCGCGTACGACGCTCAGTTCTGTCCCGGACCCGGACCATGTCGTTTCCTCCTCCCTTACCGCATTGGTGAGCAAGAGTCCAAAGCGCGCCAGCACCTCGCACAAGTCGCTCGGCTTGCCGAAGTGCTTAACCGCACTCTCGTTCTTCCGAACGTCGGGCGCAGCAGGGTGGGCGCGTGCGCGAGGTGGCCGTTCGGGGCGTATTATGATGCTGGGCTTCAGTCTCTACCTGGGGGCGAAGGAGAGAGTGGAAAGGGAGAGGAGAACGGGGTATATGCGCGGGGCGTAGACTTGGAGAAGTTCAGAGCGTGGGTGCACGGACGTCCGACAAGACCAGCATTGGGCAGCGTTCAGCTTCAGACTCGTGCGTCTGTCTCGGAGACCGATATCAACATGGACTTGGAGGTCGTTGCTGCCTTGCCCAATGCATCGCCCATGTCATACACACCGTGTCTTCGCAAGCTAGGTCTCGGATCTCTCAGATCCTCCCCCTCGCCCCCTTCATCGCCTTTCGACAACCAGGCTGAGCCAGTATCGGCGGGGATGACCATCCTCGTCGCACAAGACAAGCTCCATCGACCTCCGTACGAACCCTATCCCGGTTCTCGCGTTATCGACCTAATCTTCAAGTCGCCCGCCATAAACAACGCACAGGTCCTCGTGCTCGAGTACGACCTCCGCCATCCTATCTTCTCTCCAGCCGACATCATCATCGACGATCATCTCCGGTATGCACCCTGGCTGCACACACTCGCCCACCGTCTTATCGAGCGAGCGAAGCCGAACATCGGGGTCCATTGGCGCATGGAAGGTGTTCCACCGCAAAACCTTGAGCCGTGCGCACGCGACCTGGTGAACGTCCTGAGCGACCTAGCGCTGGAAGACGGTTCGGAGAGGGGCGTCATCTGGCTCGCGACGGATTATCCAGGGCTCATTCAAGTTGACAACTCCGTATCGATGCCTAGCACTTCGATGAAGTCAACAACCTTCACATCCAATACGAGCGCCGTTGAGCCCGCTCTTGATGTTCTTCGGAGCTCGGTCCGACCCGGAGGGCTCCTAGAGGGCTGGAAGCTGACAGAGCTTGACGAGCAGATTCGCCACGCCGAGCTGGCGGAGAAAATGTCTGAGAAATTAACTGTCGATGAAGGCCTGTTGGAGGATAGCGGTGTTCGTGGAATATTAGATAAGCTGGTTTTGTCTGGAGTGCCCTGGTTTGTCGCAGGCACACCGCGTTGCGCAAGGAAAAGGCAAGCTCTGCGTGAAAGTGATTCGCCGCAATAGTTGACTGACCGTTTTTTTACTCCAGTTCTTTTACGCAACAGGTTGTCGACGCTAGACAGAACCGCTTCATGGCATCAGAGGAACATGACGATAACATCGTTCAGCTCTTCGGAGAGAGCACAGCGTTTGCGGAGTTTCGCAACGGTTAGCAATATCTGAGCTTCAGGGGATCGATAGAGTTAGACACACTGTACAGAGAGAAGCTGAAATATCATAGCATAGAACCGACAAAATAATGATGAAGGGCATGCGGCCTAATCGATGTTCACATACTGTAGCGATAGCAGTAGACATTCAGTCATTTTGGAGCCGCGTCAACATACAATCCACCCCCCTTCCACCGTCCGGCTCTATGCCACCGCCCTGCCTCCACCCAAGCATATATGGCTTGGTACCGCCAAGCGCATTTACTCCCGGGGAGCACCACGGCCCACACCGAAGCTAGGCCTGAAGTCGCTGGGCGCACCTTCCTTCTTGCGGTAGTCCTCGCGGTCGCCGCCACGAGGTGGGCGGTAGGCACCCTCGGCGCCAGGGCCACGGACACCAGCAGGGCGGGGTAGCCGAGCAGCCTTCTTGTGGGTGGAGGGCACGATCTCAGCAGGGAGGTGCAGCCTGCGAGCGAGGCAAATGACGCGCAGAGTCCGGAGCAGGGAAAGGCGGCGAATGAAGGTAGATGACAAAAGGACAGCGTTAAGCACCAGTACGAAAGACAATATAGACAGGTGCGCACCATTCGCGGAGGTAGTCAACACCCTCGGGAGTGAGAATGTAGTAGTACCATTGCCACGAGAACTGGGTCTTGACGAAGCCCTTCGAGGTAAGGCTCTGCATGGCCTTGATAACCTGAAGGTTAGGGACGTCGAGCTCCTCATGCTTGGGTGCGTTGAAATCCTTCTTCGCGACCATCACGCCCTCTGAATTATCCAATCCACCCAGCATATGTGAGTCGAGGTTGTGCAGCAAAAGGTCACGAATAATTATGGGTTAGATCACATCAGCAACATTGGAGGGCGATTCAAGGAGAAGGGGTAGACTAACCCTTGAAGAGGTTCTCGTAGATGACGCGGCGGTTCTGCTTGGTGATGATCATGCTGGGCTATGTGGTTTTATGTCGGAAGCTGTCGGTGGAATTGTAAGCTTTACGCGCGGCTTGATTCTGCTAGATAAGACGTACTGCAACTTGATTGTCGCACTGTGTCCGGCTGAGGAGGAGAACATGGAAATAGCATTAGCAAGCTTCGCCGATGAAGTACATCCACAGAACCGAAGATCCATCCAGCCCAACGAGGCAGTATCCATCCCTCAGGGTCTCGACAAGAGCCTCCCTAGCACTCCCTTGATGTAATCGGCATCATAGATACTCACTGGAAGCGTTGGGGGCGTTGATGCCTTGAGTTTTGAGTCTTGACGTCGAGCGGGACAGCGACGGGCGTGTATACGGGGTGAGCAAGCCTCTGCGGAGCCTCAATGCATCCATATATGGAAGGTGCTACTTCCCCTGACCGAGCCACAGTAGCCGGGATCGGCGTTTCCCGGCCGCCCCAGAGGCGGCGCGTGGCGACGCGCAACAATGAACCGCTTCATCTTCACGACGATCGTAACATTCACCCCGGGGCAGAAATTTTACTTTCTTCCATTTTATGGTCTTGGTGAAACAAAACAAGTGCAATTCTGGACATGACACATTATAGCGTAGAAAGAACGTGATGGCTGCCCGCAGCCCCTTCACTTCAACATCGACGTCTGCCAGAACCCCGAGACCAAATCGACCAAAACAGCGCCGAATCCTCTCCTCGGCCTGCGCGCGTCTGCCTCCCCAATCCCATCAATAACGCCATTGAATAGCCTCTCTCCGGTATCTGCCGTTACGTACGACGCGGTGCTCACCGAAGACGCAATAGACGGACGGGGCGAAGACGGTGCTGTAGCTGCAAGTGGGAGCTGTGCCAGCAGCTGACTGCGCAGTACGCTTTTACTGGTTTCGGGCGACAAGTCTCTGAGCTCGAAAGTTGAGCTGGCCAAAGTAGGAGTGCCGATGGCAGGAGTAACGTCTACGAGACACGTTACTGCCTTCTTCCCCTTCCATAGCAGGGAACTCTGGGTGCTGGATTGCAGGGAGATTATCGACGCCGAGTCGCCAATGTGGAGACCCCCCGGGATAGGGTGCGTAAGCGCGGTTACTCTCTTCTGTTTGAAAGTGGACACCCCTTTGATGCCATCGCAGGTTGGGTTGACTGGGAACACGACGCCGAGTGGAACAATCACGGGTGACATCATTGGGGTGCGGTTCCGAGAAACGTACTTTACCAAGTCGTCAAGGAGCCAGCTTTCCACCCATCGACGAACGTCAAGGGTCTTCAACGCGACTTCGACCTGCGGGAGGGCTGGAAGATGTGCCCCTACGGGACGGAAAACTTGGACCTTGGCTGGGCATAGACGGAATGGGACATGGACGCTATAGCTGGAGCTTGATAGATGCTGGGAAGGAGATGAAATAAGAGCGGAGGAGCTATCGGTGGCCAGCAGCTGCGACGAAGAGGGAACCAGCGACTTGTTGGCTTGCATATCCACTGACCGAAGGGACGAAGCACAGGATCGGCTACAATCAGACGACCCGGGTGGTCCTGCTTGTGCATCCCGAATCGCTAAAAGTGCGTGAGCCAACTTCGGACCTCAGCGTCTCACGACTAACTGACCTTCAGCGAGCGCGGTCTTAAACACTGCCGCTACCCCACGTTCAGATATCGTCGATCTTCGCGCCCTAACAGGGCTCCTACCCGTATCTGGCTCCTCGATCATCATTCGACTCCCCATCATCTCCGGGCTCTCGGCCTCCTTTCCCTCCATACGCGGAGGCGACGGCGACTCAGGAGTCTTCATCACCCGCATCAGGGGACGAACGGGCGAGAGCAACGTCTCGGCGCCATCCCATAGGACTGGCCCATTATTGCAACCAACAGGCGTCTCTGGCAGCGACGGCAGCGACCGCGATGTGGAAAACGCTAACTCGGTTATCGGAGACGTCGCAAGGGTTGGCTCTGGACTTTCCACGACGGGTTGCCAGAACTCCTGCGGGATAGGCAGCCTCACCCGAGCGCGCTTGGCAACAGGTACAAACTCATAAGTCAGGAATTGCTGCGTGTGCCAGTCAGGTATCGGATCTGATGTGAAATGTTCACTCAGCGTTGCTTGGACCAGCTGCTTTGGAGGTTCTGTACGCGATAGGCTTTCATCCGCACGGGCGACGTTAGGCTCGGACACGCTCTGGACGGAAAACGGGAACGGAGCGGGTGGTCTTTCAAGCGGAACTAGCTCAGCGGAGCACCCAACGCTCACACGGAAAGGGATCTGCCACGCCGGGTCGTAGGCATCCTCCGATGCTGCTCCAGACTGGGCATTAGTACACAGAGCGCGATTGTCGAGCGATTGATGCGTCAGCGACGCCGGTGGGAGATGCGCCTCGAGCGTGTTGCTCTTCGGAATTTGGTCTTTTACGCCGTTGTGTCCCCAGAAGTCTGGAATGCTGGGAAGGGAATCGCTCTGGCTGAGGTCTCTCCAAACCCTGGCCTCAGGTCGTGACGGTGAGGGGATGGGAGAAGGGACCGTCCATGCGGGGGAAATCTCGTCCAAAGACGCCGACTTCGATGGGGCTCCCTCTTCTGCGGTGATCTCTACCGTTCCCCCGTCGGGAGCGGCTGTAGGCAAAACACACGCCTGATCTGCACACTCCTCGTCCGAGATTGTTGACATCGAGTGGCACGAGCAGGAAATCAGTAATTCTTCATCGTCCGAATCGATCTCTCCGACCTCTTCCTCTTCCTCCTCAATTACGTCCAGAGTTGCCAAGCTGTGGTCAGAGACAGCGACCTCTAACGGAAGAGCCAGTTCAGCTGTTTCGTCATCTTCGCGATCCAGCGCTTCCGGGTCCTGTTCCGCAGGCGCCGCTGCCGAACAACCCTCGCCGCCTTGCGCCTCCGTCATCTCTGGTATCTCTAGGACAGCTTCGTTCTCCAGATGCATCGTAACAGAAGCACTCCTCTCCCGCGCTTCCGATTGCGGTATGCCAAACCGCCAAAGGCCCTCGATATATGCGCTCCCAATTTCGTCTCTGACGCTTGAGTCTTCCTCCCCTAAGGACGCAGGCGCATGGGAAGCCGTGACAGATTCCCCTCGCGCTCTCCCCTCGCGCTCGGAACACCGTTCTGTGGACATTGGCGTGGTCTCTGCGGTTGGCTTGTCTGTCGCTGACGTCTTGACTGGCTCTTCGTTAACACCTTCGCGACCTTCGTCAACACGCATGCTGGCTGACCTCCGGCGAGGGGGACCGCCGCTCGGGGAGCGCGTGTAGACCAAACAGACCTCGGCAGAAACGCTCGTTGAGGAGTTATCCCCCGTCTCCAGCTCGTCGTTCGCTCTATCGTCGTGCAAAGGAAGGATCATCGATGAAGAGCTCTCGTCGGCAGGGAGTGTGGTCCTGTCTCGCATATCTGCACGCATATAGCCAGGTGCCAGCCCTAGAATAGCTCTTCGTGACCGGATCAAGAGCTTCTTCATCGTCCACTTTGCCAGAGCCGTCTGCAGAACGGCCACAGCGCCGACTGTGCGCGCATACATCCTTCCAACCTGTAAACCAAAGGCGTCCAAGGCAAACGCACGGGATCTGCCCAGCTCTCCCGCCCAAGCAGTTTTCAGCGACGAGCTCTTATCCAGATGCAAGCCCGGAGCTATCGCTAGTAAACGAACGCCGAAACGAGAAAGCGTCTGTGAATGCTGACATATCTTCGTCAGCCAAGCTGGTTCACGATCGACGGAGAAAGCAGCTTACCGAGATGACCAACGCGATGAGCGCCAGCATGTCTATGACGCGATCGAGCATTCTGAAGAAGTCAAAGCTAATGGGCCGTGGCACATAGAGGGCGAGATCTGTCAGAGGCGGAGAGTGGCGGGTTTGGAGGGGGGAATGTGAGGGCGCGTCCAGCGCGTCGTTTGCTGTCTTAGGGAGGGGGACATTTGTGTGTATATCCTTGACAAGCGTCGGACCTGCTACAAGCAAGTTGCGACTTGGCTTACTTGGAAAGCCATGAGCCGTGCCTCGCGAAGCGTTGATTCTAGGATCGCCCGAGACGTAGATGACATGTGGGGGGAACCATGGACCGTAGAGTACCGCCCCCAACACTTCGTTCGCTGGGCTGACGGAGTCCTCCGTCGCAGACTGTTCAATAAGGTTGGACCACCAGGTGCCAGGGATGCTATCGAGTGGAGAAAAGGGGAGGGATAAGCTGAGGGACGAGACGTACTCCCAAGCTGGACTCTCCGCCAACGTAGGGACCGTCTCGTACGGAATAGACATGAGTTTTGATAGAAAGTTTGCATCGTATATCCTGTTGAAAAACGATGCGATTGTAAAGAAAGCGGTGCCAAAGAGTGTTAGGATCATCCTCGAAACGGAGGGGTGAGGGTATCGCGTTGTTAGTTGAGAGATTGAGAAGGTGTCACAGAAATTGAAGATTCAGGTGCGCGTGTGGCTCGAGAGCTCGAGAAAGTGAGACAGGGATACAATGGATAGTAAGAAGTAGAGATAGGAAGGTAGCGCGCAGAGAACAAGTGAGGTGTAGGGAAAGAGACAACTGCTGGCGTTGGATGTAACGCGTTCCAGTCATGTGATGAAAATCAACTCCGGGGCCAACCTTGGCCAACAGAATAGCTTCGGCCGAGTGAAATAGCACTTTATGTTGGCAAGCGAGCGAGCAAAAGTCTGCTGCTACAACGCTCGCAGCAATGACAAGACATATTTTGTAACTAACATCCTACACGTACACTTATTTTGTACAGTATCGTACACGGCAACTCAAACACAACATTGAACATTCAGGTTGCATCCGAATCAGCCTCTGTCATCCGTACCCACATACCTCCCTTGACCCACGCATCAGCACGGCATATCGCGTTGAGGTCACCAGATAGTTAAAGCGCACCTTCGAATAAAGCGTAACATGCGACCGCGGATGGAACTCCTCCGTCGAAGCGCGGCCAGGTATGTCCTTCCAGTGTGCGGGCGGGCGTGACTCCGGAGGCTGCGACTCACGGTCGAGCTCGATGCGCGAAAAGTTTTGTAGTAGGCGTATGAGCATAAAAGACATTTCATTGTACGCAAACTGCGGAAAACGCCAACAGTCGTCAGAAATTGCGTCCTAGAACTGAAAACAGGGCCCATATCACCTGCTGTCCCAAGCATATACGCGGGCCGGCATTGAAGGGGAGGAAGATAAACGGATTTGGCACGAGATATTTCTGCAGACGGTGGTCTATGAAGCGGTCGGGATCGAACTCGAGCGCTGATATATGGGAGGCATTTTGAGAATTGAAACCGAGATGAAGTGCAAAAGTGCCATACCATCAGGACCCCAGAGGTCAGTTCGGCGGTGCATCAGCAAGACCGAGTAGACTAGCCTGTATCAACGCAGGATGACATCAAGAGGGTGCTCGCAGCCACTACGACAGTAAGGACTCACAAGCTCTTGCCGGGGATGAACATGGGCTGGCCTTCAGGAGTAAGCGGTGGGAACGTTGTATCCTCAGCGCTTTGCCTATCGAAAGGTTACACCAACTTCCATTGTATACCGTGGAGATATGACGCACCGAACGTTGAAGGGACTACGGACAAACAAGTAAGCGATAGGAATCTATCAGAGTTATGACAACTTACACAGGAGGAAACAGCCGAAGCGTCTCTAAAGAACACATTGAAATCAGTATGATGGGCAAAACGTCAGGGAGATGAGACTAGCCGTTCAGTACCGCCCGCAAATACTTCATTTCTCTGATATCATCATACGTCGGCCGACGGGACGATCCAACCTTCGTCAGAATCTCTTCGCGAAGACGATCCATGACGCGAGGGTGCCTTGCCAGGAAGTAAATCACCATCGTGAGTGTGGACGCGGTCTGCGGTAGCTTACGTTCGTTAGCCTGCGATTTCTCGAGGGTGATTCTACGACGCACCGTGTCCCTCCCGGCAATCATGATGTTCACTACCTCGTCTCTGATCACGACCATGTCTGCTTCACATCAGCAACCGACTAAACCCCAGGCCAAACTCGCCAACGCACCAGTTGTGAGCCTGACCAAATGGTCCAACAGCGTCTCGCCCTCCTGTACCTGCTTCTCTTCCAACTCTCCGTTTCTCTCCTTCTCTCGGTGTTTCTCAATCGCATCCGCAATAATGGGCTCCAAGTACTCCCTTACAACCTTCATTGGCTTCTCCGAAAGGTCTTCGAAGATCTCCCAGAAGCGCCATGCACCGCCGCGAGCCATACGCATCGCGACAGTTGTCTGTGCATCTGCGAAGGCAGCGGCGAAGCGCTCCGAGGGCATGTACTGGTTCTTGGCTTTTTCTTCGGTAGAGATAGGCGCGTTGTGGGGGTAGGGAAGTGGAGTGAAGAGGGTGTGCACGCAGTTGCCGAAGAGGAACTCAGTCGCAGAGTCGATGGTGAAGCGCGATATGAGGTCCTAGGAGAAACTGAAGTCGTATACTGCGCATATAACAAGACGATAGGGAGGGCTTACTTGGAAGTCGATTGCGTACCCGGTGCGGAGCCTCTCCTTGGCTACAGTTATGGCTTCCTCTGCATGATTGTCGAAGATATCAAAGTGTCCAATGCGGTCATGGGTGAAGAAAGGACGCGTCATGGAGCGATGAAGTCTATCGATGGTGGCCATTTAGAACGGACAACCTTGTATAAGCAGCTTAGAATCCTACGTACTTCCACATGTCACCGTCCGAGTTGAAGACACCTATCCCGAAAACTGAATGCGCCTTCATGTCCCACCTGTGACCTGCAAGGGAGGAACATGAGCGACTGACGATGACATACGAAAGAGCCGTACCTTTCTCCCAGCTATCAAAACTACTTGCTAGGACAGCCTGAAGGTACAATAAGGTGTGATTTTATAGGTAATCAGAACTTGGATTCACCTTGATATGGCTCGGCTCGCAGGTGAAGAACATGTTGTCCCAGCATATGCGTATATTGAGCGTTGGACCATACTGCTTAACGAGCTGCGCGAAGATACCGCCTTGTCAAAGTGAGTTGAGTGCAAAGCACGGGGGTTACGTTGAGCGAACTGACTGCCAATGTAGTCCGTCTCAACCTTGCCAATGATCTCGTGCAGAATGTCGGTGTTGCCGATCTTCTTGCCTTTGACAGCCGGTGGCAAGCAGGCACCTCGCGCGGATGCTCGACGACGGGTTGAAAGGGCAGTAAGTGAATACTTGAGACCGACAACGAGCGGGAGCGCTGGAACCGGGAAGAGGAAGAACCAGTACCATGGAGGTAAAGCGCTAAGCGCGCCTAGCCGATAACCAATTAACGCGACGCCAACACAGGTCGCGATCGACCCGGCTATATAGAGCGCTACGCTCTTTAGCATCTCCAACCCGGGCGTCAGCTTCATGTCGAATAGAACGTTGTCGTTGGCAGGCCCGGAGCTCTCGGGGCAGAAAAGAGGTGAGGTTACGCCCCATTCTCAGGCTCTGGGCTTACTTTATCCTCTGCCAACCTCAGCGCCTACTCTGTCGGTGTTCCACCCGCTGTTAACGTGGACTCTGGTCTGCGACGACGCAATATGCAAGCTTCTATGAGGACCTTGCAAGTATCTCAAACCCCGCACGCGTATATTAACTAGTGTTTAATGTTTATTCATAGCTTGCATGTACGCGCATTTATTTTCTTCAGCTTGCAACTTGTTACATGACTCATCACTTATGTTTTTTCTGGATCCAGATTCATTTCAGGGGCCGTTGGTCATCGTCATCTGACGAACCGCAGCATTGATACTTGTGTGGTGTAATGGTCTCGGGGCCCGCTGATGCTTCGGCACGTCAAAGGTGACGCATACCGCATGCCGGGGGGTTGTCAAACGTGGCCCGGAGAAACCAAATAACCCAATCTATCGCAGTCGTCTGAGAATTTACACGGACCAGCACGGACCCAAGACAACAGATAGCCACCGCGGACGCTTTTGCCATCATCAGCCTGAAACATATGATATCGACCGGCAGCTCCGAGATGCCTCCATGTTGCCGGTTCGCCTACGGTATGTAAATCGTCAACATCTTCTACTTCCCCTGGTCCCCGCTGGCTTACCCCACATTCACGCACCGTCACATCCTCCCATATCCCTGGCGCCAGAGTCGAGAACACCCCGCAGACGACCAATGCAGCCGAAAGCCAGCAAATACCCAGGCGTCGCCCTCCTCGCCCGCTTACTGGGCGGAGGAGCCGCCTTCTATCTTATCGTCACCGCTGCGGTGCGCTTCACTGCGAAAGCCCGCCCTGATACCCCCCTTTGGGCCCTCTATGCTGCTGCTGCCGCAAGCTTGCCCGTTGGCTTCGCCATCCGTCTGAACATACGGGGCTTCATGCTCCGCCGTGCCGCTGCACGGATGGGTGCACGGCCTGTTCCTATCGTTCCCGGCGAGCGCATCGGTAACATCGACTTGCTGTTCCGCCTGCTGGGCGACTTCAAGACGGGGTACCCTGGTACGATAACAGTGGTCTCCATAACGAATCCTATGCTAATCGACTGCAGGTGATGGCATGACTGAGGCCATCGACGCCATGGGAAATACGTTCAACTTCCGTGTTATGTACGACGACCTGCTATTTACCACTGAGCCGCACCATATCAAAACCATCCTCGCAACCGAGTTCGACAACTTTGTCAAGGGAGATAAGTTCCATGCAAACATGCTTAGCGTCCTCGGTACCGGTGTCTTCAACTCAGATGGTGCGTCGTTGCTCAATAACAGGGCTGAGAGCATCACATACTGACCGTCGTTCTCATGCAGGTGACATGTGGAAGTTCCATCGTTCTATGACCCGCCCCTTCTTCACCCATAACCGTATCAGCCATTTCGACATCTTCGACAGGCACGCCGAGCACGCCATGAGCCAGATGAAGCTCCGCCTTCGTGCAGGGTACGCTGTCGACTTCCAGGTAAAGTTCATTAGCTTTATAAGTCGAATCGACACCGAGATCTGTTGAAAACATTAGGACTGGATCTCCCGATTCACCCTCGACTCCGCAACCGAATTCCTCTTTGGCAATAGCGTCGACTCTCTCTCCGCCGGTCTTCCCTATCCATACAGCGTCATCCCTCCTGAAGCGCCCTCAGGGCGCGGCCGCACCGCCGAGGACTTTGCGCGCGCGTTTTCCGAGGCTCAGTTCGTGATCGCACAGCGCCCGCGTAAAGGCTGGGTCTGGCCACTTTTTGAGGTGTTCGGGGACAAGAGCGAACCGGCGATGCGTGTCGTGAACGCGTACATTGAACCTATTCTCCAGGAAGCGATTGAGCGCCAGAAGGCTCTTTCTGCTGTGGAGAAGAAGGCAGATACGGAGGTTGCAGATGACGATACGGTGCTGGATCACTTGGTTAGGCAGACAACAGGTGAGCGTCAGCTAGTCACATCTCGTATTGTAAACTGGAAGGTGACACGATATTTAGATCTAGTCGTGCTCAAGGATGAGATTCTGAATATTATGATCGCTGGGAGAGATACGGTACGCTTTCTTGATCGTCGTTTTTTAATTTCACTCTGACTATCATACCTTTAGACCGCTGCTACGATGACATTCGTCATGTACTTCCTTGCTATGCACCCGGATGTCCTTTCTCGTCTGCGTGAAGAGGTCCTGACCAAGATCGGCCCGAGCAACCGGCCCACCTACGATGGCATTCGCGACATGAAATATCTCCGCGCTGTTATTAACGGTACGCGTCGGTCTATAATATTGGAATGGACGTGTCTAATCGCGAATTCCAGAAACTTTGAGGTTGTACCCTGCCGTGTAAGTACCTAGTGTATGCCCACTCTGCAATTCTTGACGCCATCTATTGCACGCGCTCCCCAGTCCCTTCAATGTTCGGTACGTGTTTCCGTAATGACTTCAAACCTCTTTCACAGGTCTCACCCTTATTTATCGCAGGGAAAGTAAGAAGGCGACAGTATTTGCCGCCTCGAGCGCCACCGAAAAGCCGTTCTATATCCCGCCTAAGACTATGTTAGCCCCCACCATCTGCTTTGTCGTAATTCCACCCTCTAACGTAATACGCGTTTCACCAGGGTATCGTACTCCGTCTTCCTCATGCACCGCCGCAAGGATCTCTGGGGCCCCGATGCAGACAAGTTCGATCCCGATCGGTTCCTCGACGAGCGCCTGCACAAGTATCTCACCCCTAACCCCTTCATCTTCCTTCCCTTTAATGCCGGCCCCCGCATCTGCCTTGGGCAGCAGTTCGCGTACAACGAGATGTCGTTCATGCTCATCCGCCTGCTTCAGAACTTCTCTAAAGTCGATCTGGCGCCTGAGGCACAGAATCCCGAAACGCGGCCACCAGCGCGGTGGCGTGAGCCGGACGAAGCCAAGTGGGATTCCAGGAAGGCTATCGAGGAGTTCTATCCGAAGATGCATCTAACGATGTATGCGCATGTAAGTCTTTACCGGTTTAGTTGGAATGTCATGGCAGCGCTGATGGGGTCTGTTAACAGGGAGGTCTCTGGGTTAAGCTGATGGAGGCCGATCTAGTGGAGGCCCCGCTTGCTGCTTAAGTGATCTATGAAAGTAAAATCCCTAGGATATATAAGTGTGCCTGTAAGATACCTCAGTTTGAAGTGTTGACTTCTTTCTCTCAATGTACCCTGTCCTAACCTTGCCCTACATGATGTACGTTATTCCCGAGGCGAATCGTCGATGTTGAGATCTTGAGAAGCAAAGCGCTGCGGCGAAGCTATCACCCTAGCATCAGCTTCCTGTCTCACGAAGGCAATTTTCGCTCTTTCATCACCATGCTAATGATGAAATCTACACTGGCTGACTGCCACTTTTAAGCCATTGGCTTAGCATATCTGGCGTTTCACGATAACGACACTGCTTTTCACAGGCGCCTGTCTCCGTAGAGGACGGCATTTCCCAACCTACATCAGCTACTAGTCTCTTTATGACTGCTGTATACCTCGAACGTACAAGCGCTGTTGCAGTGGAAACACCGCTGATCGACCTGGCCTGCGGCAGTTACATATACTTTCCTCGAAGCGTACTAGGCATCCAAAAGAAGTAGCGCGATCATGTCCGTGGAGCACTTGGCCGTTCCAGGGAATACTAACGCTGAATCCTGGAATGCACCGCTATCCTTTCGATATATAACACGACCACAGCTCGATGCATTCTCACTACCAGTCTCTCGTTGCCAATCTTGTTTCTCTCTACTAAATACTCTCCCTCATCGCTTCTGTCATCATGTCCATCGAGCTCCACGGACACGCTATCGCCCCTCTCGTGCGCCTCGTTGCGCTCGTATGCAAGGAGAAGGACGTACCGTATAAGCTTGTCAGCGTTGAAGTCTACAAGGGCGAGCAGAAGACACCCGAGTATCGCGCGTTCCAGCCCTTCGGCCAGGTGCCGTATCTGGTGAGCGCCTCCTCCTCGTCCGATCCTCGCCTCCGTTCTCACAGCTTTGGCGCTTATGTGCATGTGAGTAGAACGACAATGGGTTTGTCCTGTATGAATCGCGCGCGATATGCCGGTACATCGCCAAGAAGTACGCCTCGCAGGGTACTCAGGGCCTCGTCCCGTCAGCCAGCGACGCCAAGGCCGAGGCGCTCTTCGAGCAGGCGTGTTCGATCGAGACTGCTAACTTTGACCCATTCGCGACGGGGCTTGCTTTCGAGAAGTTCGTCAAGAAGTATGTCTCTGTCAACTTTCTCGTGAGCTCTGAATCTGACAAAAGCGACGAAACAGACACAAAGGCCTGGAGCCAGACGAGGCGCGAGTCAAGCAGTTCATCGCAACGCTCAACGAAAAACTTGACGCATACGAGGTTATTCTGTCAAAACAGGCTTACCTCGCTGGAGACGTGAGTGGTCTTCCACGCATATTTTAGCGATATTGAGCTTACGGTACATGTCGACCGTGATATCCAGAACGTAACCCTCGCAGACCTGTTCCACCTGCCGTACGGTACGATCATCGAGAAAGTCGGCGGAGACCTGATCTCCTCCAGATCAAACGTGTCTAGGTAAGTCGCATTTACCTCTTTCAAAGTGCTCCCAGTTCCAATTGCTGATGGGGTGCTCTTTCCCTAGGTGGTGGAAGGACATCTCGTCTAGGCCAGCTTGGTTGGCGGTCAAGGACAGCGCGTGAATGCCTTTGCCTATAGCAAGAATAAAGAGCGATCATTGTTGTGCCCATTCCTGCTGATAGCGTACTTTGTACTTTGTAGTTCGTGCGATAGACAGAGAACAGTTTGTATCGAGTGATAGAAGAATGTAGAGATGAATGAAATGAGGTGAAATGCCACTGCGCTTGATATGCGAGATTATACTAAAAATGTGAAAATAATTTGAACACCGATTATGTAATACTTTAGCCTAATAGGGATAGAATTCTAACCCAAACTTCTGATATTGTGCACGGTCCGGCCGGGAGCCACTACTCCGAGCTCCGCCCTAACTGGATGTGCGCATTGCATAATCATTAATAATCGTCGCTTTCTTCCTGACTTTCATCTCTTCGTCACGTATTGCCTCGCTCGCCGGTAAGGTTTACACACTCGTATCATGGGTATGGTAAAAATCTCATCTGGTCAATCTATAAGAACACCTGTGAGTCTGACAGGGACATCGAGAAGTCGACGCTTGAAGCCGGGAGAAATCCCTACTGGACCTTCCGTATACAATCGGGTTGCATACTATCATGTCGTCTGCGGAAGGCGCTAAGAAGCGCAAAGTTCAGCACGCTTGTGTTATGTGCCGTCGCAGGAAGGGTAAGTGTTCTTCCCCTGATTATGCATGCATCCCGTTCATCGTTTTTCATTCAAACGTCGCATCATCCTCAAGTTCAATGTAAGTGGCCATTTTTGACTTCTACTGCAGCGGCTGCACGGACTTGGATATGTCAGGTGATGGCGATAAGAACACGGAAAAGAAATGCTCCACCTGCGTCGCAAACAACTTTGACTGCACCTGGGCCGAGCGGGCTAAACGGGGTAAAAGGGTACGATTAATTCTCCCTAGGGCGGCATATTCTCCCTCAATGCTGAATAAATACTTTTGAAGAGAAGCAGGGTCACGAAAGCGTAAGAGATACGCCGTTACTGACCTTGATAACGCGCTAACACCACTTTGAACAGGTATGTGGAGAGTCTAGAGAGCCGTTTAGAACAAATGGAGAGACTTCTTGCGAATGTAGGAGTGTCTGACTTCTTCATCAGTGCGAAGAAGCTTACCTGGCACACAGGTTTATCCTGGTGGGATCACCTCCCAAGAACTTGATATCCACACCGATCACGGGAACGCGCCGGAGACACATATAACTAGCGTTTCCCCTAGGCCCATCGTTACTAGGAAGGCAATGATCGGTCCAGCGGCCTTGCGCTCAGATGATCCGACATCTCCGTCCAACGGGCCCGAATCGAGCGACGAGGAGGTGGATACTTTCAATCTCAAGCTCTCTGACAGCCTCCGCAACATGACACTTAATCCGGGTCATCACCGCTTCTTTGGTAAATCAAGCGGCCTGGCTTTTGTCCAACAGGCGATAGACCTCAAGACTGAACACACTGGTGAACAAAGGCACAACATGCGGGACATATTCTACCGCCGACGTTCTGAGTTCCTCAATCGCTATCTTGTGAGCCCCTTGGCTTCTGTGCCGTTTATTCACGTCGCCAACGTTTTCGAATGACCAGGAGGATATTCCGAACCAGCCCGATGATCCTCCGTTCACATTTCCAGAACCCGATCTTGCACGTCAACTCATAGACCTATACTTCACATATACCAACTCCGTGTCGCCTCTGCTCCACCAACCCACGTTTGAGCGCAAGTACGCTGACGGATTACACATTCGTGATCCGGCTTTTGGAGCTGTTCTCCTGCTCGTGTGCGCTGTGGCCGCGCCGTGGTGCGAAGACTCCCGGGTACTGTTGCCCGGATCGGGAGCCGAACATCACGCGGGATGGCAGTGGTTCGAGCAGGTCCAGTCAGTGAAGAAGACGTTATTGGGGCCTCCGTGTTTGGAAGACCTGCAGATGCATTGTGTATGTCTTTCTTTCCTGTTACTGCAGTGCGTCAACACCTAATCTGCGTTACCGGTGGAGCTATCCTCCCTGTATCTCCAAGGGACGTCGAGTCCCCAAGCGTGCTGGACTGTTGTAGGAATCGGCATTCGACTCGCTCAAGATGTCGGGGCTCATCGACGGAAGGTATACAATACCAGACTTACCGTCGAGGATGAGCTGTGGAAGCGTGCATTCTGGTGAGCGGCGATAGTTCTTTCGGAACGTTATTGCGACTGCTAACAGGTTTTGAAGGGTTTTGGTCACTCTTGACCGAACGCTCAGTGCTGGTTGGGGCCGACCATGTGCAATACATGACGAAGAGCAAGTCTCCGAACTTATATATGAGCGACATGCCGCTAATTTGATTTTATGAGTCCAGCTTTGACGTCGATCTTCCAGTGGTCTGCGACGACGAGTATTGGGAACATTCAGATCCTGAACAGGCATTCACGCAGCCACCGGAGCATCCATCGACGGCTGCGTTCTTCATTGCTTTTATCAAACTGACTCAGATTCTTGCATTTGCGTTGCGGACCATTGTATGTAATTCTTAATGGCGGTGACCGTTGGCGATGTACATGCTAACGTTGAGTGTTACACTTAGTACTCGATCAACAAGTCTAAGATGTCACTCGGCTTTGTGGGTCAGAAGTGGGAGCAACGTATTGTGTCGGAGCTGGACTCTGCGTTGAATGAGTGGTTTGACTCCTTGCCAGATCATCGTAAGTGTATCTCCTTAACGCGATCCACCTATGATAAATTCCTTCGTGCAGTGCGCTGGGATCCGAACATACAAGATCCAATCTTCCGCCTGCAATCCTGCACGCTTTACGCGAGCTACTCATTTACTCAGATCATTATCCATGGTCCATTCATACCATCCCCTCGCAAACCCTCCTCACTCCCTATTCCGTCGCTTGCTATATGCACGAGTGCCGCACGGTTATGTTGCCATGTCATTGACGAGTATATGCAGAAGGCGGTCGCGAGTAGTTCTGTATCAATGCTTCCCCTTTGGATTCAGGTTAACCGTTTCGATGGTCTCGTGATAATGATATACTCATAAGCTCTATCATCCCGCAGAGAACAACAAGCATGGCAGGCATTATGCTCCTGCTCAATAGCTGGAGCGGAAGACAGTCTGGACTCTTAACTGATGCAGAGAAAAATATGGACGATTTTCGCAAGTGCCTCGCCGCCCTGAAGCAATGGAAGAAAAGGCGAGTCCTTGTCGTGCGATTTACATGTGTGATGGGAAAGCCTGACCTAAGGACCGACAGGTTTTACTCTGCAGGTCGATTTGAGTGCGTGCCTCTTGACCTTCACGCAATTCGCTCCAACGTTTACATGTGATATACCACCGTTTCAGCGTTCTTCTGGGAGATCTTGCATCCCTGGACAACTTCCCGGTGCCAAAAGCAAGGACGTCAGGAACTGCCGAACGCACGCGAGACGGGGGCGTGCCCCATGCACCACTCGTCTCCTCTTCTGACACTGGTGCACCCACTGAAAGGGATGATCTCCATGATTTTAGTGGAATGAGCCGATTTCAGGCGTTGGGTCACGTTGTAGGACCAGGTCGGGACATGCGGGGCGATCCCTTGCAGTCCCAGTCGCAAATTCAGTGGCAGGATCTGCCGCAGCCATCGTCGATCTTTACGCAAGTCTTTGGCGGTCTAGACATCCCGGAGATGTCGTTCGGCCCATGGACAAGCGAGTTCGAGTACCCCCCGATTATCAACCAGAGGACCTCTAGCACATATCCAAGCGGAGATGGGGATATGACCACCGACACGAGCCTGCCTGGTGCCGGGACGGGTGCAGCTCCTCACGTGCCATTTGGGATGGACGACTTTCTCTACCGCCTCATGTCTGGAGACACTGGGGTAGGAAGCGGTGAAGCGGGGGCCGAAATGAACGATCGCATGAATTACCTGGACAACGTCCACAGTGGAGATGAAACACACAGCGCTCCAGGTACGGACACGATGTCAACATGGTCGAACGCACCGCAAAGAATTCAGTGAGTCCCTGCATCTACCGGTTTCTTTTTCGATCCCTTTTTATCCCTGTAAAAGAAGACGCGCTGACCGTCTCTATAACGCAGAACGGATGATTGGGGTCTGCACATAAGCAGTATGTTCGTTGAGAACGACAGTGATGCGCATGATCGCGATACACCTGGACCTGACCCATGTGCATGAGGGCCGGAATGCTGTAAAATAGTTTACCGCTAGCACCCTTACGTAGCTGTATGACAACTACACACCGCATAATAATTAACCCATATGTTATCGTCTCCTCGAACTCCGTAATCCAACAGGATGCGCGTGCAGTGCGATTTTGAATTGATTACTTACAGGGCATCCCAGTCAGTGATCAAAATCTATTTACCATGTGCTAAGGGCAATGATAGTTGCACTGCTCTTACACAGTTGACTTACTAACCAACCAATGCCGAAAATTTCGCTGATCTCGTGGGTACCAGCTCCATGGTACCGCACGGTACTGCAACTACTGGTCTAGTGCGGCTTCACCGGGGATACGAGCGCGCAGTTTAATTAAGCAGTACTAGTGTCAGCAAACATCTGTGACCTGCACCAGTTCGTACCTCTAGTCCATGCTGTCTGATGCGCTTTCCTGAGAGATATCGATAAGCCCTTGCCTTGAGCATGAACAATCCTTGTAGGCGATGAAGCACCCATGAGCAGACTAGCAGAACGATTTCCGAGAACCACGGCCCGGGGATTGTCCGCCGTCCACATACGTAAGCTGTGAGACGCGTCGAGTCGCACGCTGCGCCGGTGCCGCTTTTCTTCTACCACTTGAGCTACTGTTGAGTCATACCCGGCTGTCGAGCATCGTTGCTTTTGACTCAGCTCCCCTGGGATCGGTGTGTAGCTCAAATGTGGTGCTTACATAACAGACTAACTCCGCTGTCTAACTGTCGTCTCGTTGTTTCACTGGAACCTAAGTACTGGAACAGCAGCTCAAAGCATCGGCACTTACAGCGTTGCATCGAGCGTCGACACTTGAAGCTTGACTAGCTTCCATCATCTGCATGATGTCATCCGGGGAAGATGACAACGTCAATCCTCCACATACAAGTCTCAAGAAACGCAGAGTCCAGCGAGCTTGCGATGTCTGCCGTCGTCGGAAAAGTAAGCGTCCACGCTCTCATATTGTATCTCATCCCACTCAAGATTTGCCCTCCTTCAATGGTATGACCGCGATCATAGTTCGCTGTACGTATCTCGTTATCAAGCTACTTGCTAGGCATGCCGTTTTTGATGCAGACATGCCGTAGGTGACGGGAACCGGACACCAGGAAGCAGGTGCACGACCTGTTCTACGAACGACCTTGAGTGCACGTATCTAGAAGCAGAAAGGGTATGTCTTTGTGTACCATTCACCGAGCGTTTCCCATTCTCACGCAATGTAGACACGGCGGGTGTCGAAAGAGTAAGAGATTACTGTCAGTGACTGGCTTATGCACTCAAATCGAATTTGACAGTTACGTTGAAAGTTTGGAGAGCCGACTAGACCAGATGGAGCGACTTTTATCCAAGGTCAGCGCACATCTATCCCTGAGAAGGTAGCGCTCATTATCTGCAGCTCTGTCCCGATGGCAATGTATCCGAAAGGCTCCTTCAAGAGGCCAGTAGCGGCGATACTCGAACCCCGAGTGACGTAGCTCGTTCGATCGCATCGGTTCCCACGGCACAGACACTATACGGAGCCGCCACTTTCGCATCAGAGGCTGAGACTGCAACTCCCGAGGATCCAGTATCCAGCGACGAAGATGTAGATGTACTCGATCTCAAGTTGACCGAAAGCGTCCGCAGTATGGCGATCAACCCGATACGACACCGCTTTTTTGGCAAATCAAGCGGACTTAAGCTTATCCAGCAGGCGCTGGACATCAAGAACGAGCACACCGGGGATCAGGCAGAGAACATGTTCGACATCTTTTATCGGAAGAGGTCTCCATTTACTGGCATTAGTCCGGTGAGTACCTCCATCCCGTTTCCGCTTGGTCTCGTAGCTATGCCGAGTTTTGACCGAGCCGCATTCATCGACGTTTTCTACAACAAGTGGCAAGCTCCAAGCGAGATTAAGATGCCATCATACACATTCCCAGAACACGACCTGTGCTGCAAGCTTATCGATCTCTATTTCATTCACACAAATACCATCGCACCCCTACTGCACCGCCCGACATTCGAGCGGAAGTATGCTGATGGACTGCACCTCCGCGACTCAACGTTCGGGGCTGTCCTACTCATGGTGTGCGCCGTTGCCTCGACAGAATGCGATGACCCTCGTGTGCTTCTTACAGGGATGGGTACAGAGTACTCGGCGGGGTGGAAATACTTCCAACAGGTCCAGACCATGAGCCAGGTCTTTTTAACAGCACCTTGTCTTGAGGATATGCAAATGTGTTGTGTACGTTTTCCCGCAAGTTTCTGCTTGGATTAATGCGCATCCTCTGACGCACGTCGGCCACGCAGCTATCTGCGACATTTCTCCAGGGAACATGGGCGCCCCAAGCGTGCTGGACTATCGTTGGCATCGGTATCAGGTTGGCTCAAGACGTCGGCGCCCACCGGCGGAAGGTGTACAATCGTAAGCCGACAGTAGAGGATGAGCTTTGGAAACGCGCGTTCTGGTGTGTGTCCTCAAGAGTCTCTTGATCAATAATTGATATTTGCTGGAGGATAATGGTCATTCTTGACCGGGGACTCAGCACCGGGTTGGGAAGACCCTGCGCAATGCAAGACACCGAGTAAGTGTACCGAATGTGTATGTGTTCTCGCTGATAACCATTACCCCTTCATGCGCAGCTTTGATCTTGATCTGCCTATTGTCTGTGACGACGAGTATTGGGAGCATCCAGATCCAGAACAAGCATTCAAACAGCCGCCTGGAAACCCATCATATGTCGCATATTTCGTCAGCGCCATCAAGCTCAGCCAGGTTCTGGCTTTTGCTTTACGAACCATCGTAAGTGATAACCTGTGATCGTCGTAGACATCTGTGACCCTCATTATATGGTTTTGATCAGTACTCTATCAATAAGTCTAAGGTTAGGTTTGGTTTCGTTGGACATAAATGGGAGCAGCATATTGTCGCCGAACTAGACTCTGCGTTGAACAAGTGGATCGACACAGTTCCAGATCATCGTTAGTAATCAACATCTTCATCTACTCTACTCACAGCACTCATTCGCTACCACACTGATCCAGTGCGATGGAGCCCAAATATACAAAAACCCATATTCCTCCTTCAATCCTGCACACTCTACACGAGCTACTACCATACACAAATCCTCATCCATCGTCCCTTCATCCCCTCGCCACGCAAACCTTCACCGTTGTCTTATCCTTCGCTTGCGATATGCACCAATGCGGCACGATTGTGCAGTCACGTTATTGATGAGTACGTGCAACGCATGGGTACAGACATGACTCCTCTTCCAGTTGGCCTTCAGGTGAGCTGTATAGTCAAGTGTCAGATGCTGGGGCGTAGCTGCGGGCCAGTCCATGGTTGATAGCTTATAGTAAATGCGCGTTCTATGAGTGCTAGCATTTTCCTGATGCTCAGATCGTTCTCCTCTTATTGATACTGTGTCACTTTGAACTGACGTCAAAGATTTTTTACAGACCGCAGCCATCATGGCAGGAATCATACTGCTAGTCAGCATCTGGGGAAATAAGAAGTCCGGGCTCGCCGTCAACCTTGAGAAGGATATGGCGGACGTGCATAAGTGCATGGATGCGATCAAGCTCGGCGAGAGCCGGTGTGTATTTAGTTTTACCTTCTCTAATACTGATCGTGATAACTTATTAACGTTAGATATCCCTTTGTGGGTCGGTTTTGGTACGTATACTGTATATTTTCGACCCTCCAACCTCATACAACTCCACTTGTGTTACTCATGAGTCGTGCGTTTGGTTTAGGGACCTCTTATACGAACTTGCATCTGTGGGAGATCTCCCACTTCCACAGTCAAAACCAGCAAGAGCAGGCAAGCGCGAGCGGGAAGATGGTGGGTCTTCCGCAGCTTCGGTCCCGCACGCTGGCCAGCCAGAAACTGGGCCCCGTATTATCGCTGGATCGAGCCGGGCTGCAGCGTCATTCAATCAGGCATCGCCGACATCATACCCTCACATGCGGGCGCAGCCGCAGCAAAGCCCACAGCTGCCAATGCCAGGACGAACCGGCTTCGGCATGGCCACGTCGTTCTCGGTGCCGTGGCAGCCGCCACAGGCGTTGAATTGGGGCGATCTCGACCCGTACGGGACTTGGCTCGGCGTTGGTGGTGGTGGCCTAGATCCTTCCACGCTCATGATGGACCACGATGGCTTAAGCCCTGGCGATGCTGGTGACAGCAGCAGTACTCATGCAGAGGTATCCGGAGTCGGAGCTAGCACATCTGCAAACGCAGCTCCGCACGTTCCCTATGGGATGGACGATTTCCTGTTCCACTTGATGCAGTCTCAACAGCAGGAGCAGACAGGTGCCGTGGCAGAGGCCTTCTCCACAACTGAATTTGAGCATATGGGCACAGGTCGGATGATGCCGCTAAACCCTGATTCGTCAGGAAATGGATCGAGCCAAAGCCAGGGCGGGGCGGAGGGACTCCACCAAACCGCCAGTGGAATTGAGGGGATGGATGCTGGTACATCAGCAATATGGTCAGATGCCCCAGGTGGTTTCGAGTACGCTCTCTTAGAAGTCCATTATCGGAAGGCGCGGGGCTGACTGGCGTATTTCAGAGTCAACGACTGGGTTTTATACCCTGGCAATGTGTCCTACGATGGCGGAACACAGCCGCCATGGCAGCATAATCATGGCCCATAGAAGAGGCGTGCGTAAGCGAAATGCTGTCAAGACCTAGGTTGCCGTAGCTCTAGTATGGCGAAACTATTATTAATCTGCCAAATCAACGAGCTATGTATCGCTGTACCTGCTCATAGACGAAAAACAAGTGTGCCCTTTGAGGAAGAAGTCAAACTCTAAGTCTTGGATTCGGACAGTAATCACATTGAAGTCTCCGTTAATGACTCGCAGCATACGACGGCAATGATTGACTGTAAGACACGCACTGCCTTCGTCCAAATTGGCAAAAGAAAGGTCTACCTTCCGTCGCGGTCAAAACAAGATCGAAGCCATAAACAGGTTTCTCTGGCCCAATGAGTCTGAAAATCCTCTCGTAAAACATTCAAGGAGCAGCTTCCGTTGTGAAATTACCAGTACTACTAGTGGTATCTATGTAGCGCTTACACTCCATTTCGCTTCCTCTATAGCATAGTCCCACGCGTACCACTTTGCTCTGAGGTCCTGCAGCTTCTTTGTATCATTCAAGGACGCATTAAGTATACCTCACTTGAGGAACATTCAGCCTCTTGGAGATGTCGCATGCAAGCACCTCCTGGCCTTCGTGGTGGTTTCTGTGATGCATGTTTCCCAATTGGAGGCAAAGAATGAGGCGACATGAACGACGCATCATTCCTTCCAAGGGAGCCTATACCACTCGAGAAAGCATACTCAGTTGCCCATTGATCCCTTTATGAAGGGCTGTCGGTCCGCGCAGATGGATGATGTTCCACAATCACGTCATTCATAAAGCAACGGTACGCCAGCGCCTACAGACCTGTGCCACGTTAAAGTCAACTTGAAATCCCTTTGCAATCATGGGGTGGGTCGATCTTTGGCGAGGGTGAGCCATGAAGTAGAAGATCTTGGTCAAGATCTCGACAGGAAACACGGTCGACGGCAGAGATGAGCCTCGACGGGGTGCGTCTGGCCTCTTCTAGGCTCCTCTTGAGATCTCCTAGATATGACAGCGTATGGTCAAGATCGTCTATCATCGTAGTTGTGTCCTGCACGAAACGGCGAATGTTGGCGGCTTCCTCCATCAAATAAAGGTGCCGGTGTTCTTGTGGTCAAGGGACACATACGCGTCTGTTTCAACGACATGCTGTGCTATCGTTGAACCTGGTGCGCCAGATGATCGAAACCGTGAACTCCTACCTGAACCTTGGCTTCCACCAACGGAAGATGTGTGCGGATGCAGACAGGCCTGGTCAGAGAACATACGGCCATCGACGATGGAATTGATGATACATACGATGCCGACCAGTTCTTCAAAGACTTGAAGAGGTTGATGACCATCGAAAAGGGGATCCGGGGTCAGAGTAATCGAGGATAGCTGAGACTTGGCTGAGACCGGGTTAGGGAACACATCAAGCGTTTTAATGAGCCGAAGGGGTGCGACGTACGTTCAGTTCAATCATGGCTCACTACTTCTGGAGATCTAGCTGAGCCTTAAGCGTCCTTTTATCGAACGACTCGGGGCAGAGAGAAAAAAAGGATGCGTTGGTTGAACAACCAGAACCTTCAATCGCAGGTTCAAACGTGGTGAACGCGAGCAGGCCGATAGCCTGCGCGAACTTAGGGCATTGTTGATCACTACTTCAGAGTGGTGGAAAAGTGATGATCAGATCGTTCGAAGGGTTTCACCTGCAACGCGCGAGGGACGCGGAACGATGTCCGAGAACCACGGAATTGGTAGCCGTGTTCATACGTAAGCAGTTTGCCGCGCGAGACGCGTCAGGCTTGCGATGCACCGGTATCACTTTGGCCACCACATCTCCTCTAGAGTACGTTGACTCCACCTCTCCTGGCGGGTTTGGGCCTACTGGAAACTTGGTTTGCTACTCTGGTGCGTAACCCAAACATCGTAAATCACGAATCACAACCTCGCTCCCCTGTGTAACCGCCAACATGATCTCCATATTTCACCAGAAAGGCAATCATTGACATTTGAAGCACCGGACGTCGAGACTTGAGTAACCTCAGTCATCTGTACGATGTCATTGGAGGAAGACAGCGGTGTCGGTGTTCCGACCACAACTGTGAAGAAACGTAAAGTTCAGAGAGCCTGCGATGTCTGTCGCCGTCGAAAAAGTAGGCATCCACACCTTGACCTTGTATCTTACCGCGCATTTTTCCATTCTTTTCTAATGTTCCCAACCTTCAAAGAGTCCGTTTTGGGTAACGTGGTCAAAAAGATATTCTATGACTCGATTTTGAGCGTATGTATACACCAGGTGACGGAAGTCGGATGTCAGGAAGCAGGTGCACAAACTGTTCAATGAACGGTTTTGAGTGCACATATGTAGAGGCAGGAAAGGTAAGTCTTCTGTCTACCGAGCGTTGGATAAGAACCTTTTGTGTTAACGTAAGATTAGATGCGTCGGGTGTCCAAAGAGTATGAGATTTATCTTCACAACTTACTCAACCTTACCTTCGGCAGATACGTTGAGAGCCTTGAGAACAGATTAGAGCAAATGGAGAGGCTTTTCGCCAAGGTGAGCTTGCCTCCGTTGATGCAAGCTGTGGTACTCATCCATAGGGCATCTTCAGCTCTGTCCCGATGTCGATGTCGCCGAGCAGTTTCGCAAGGAAGCCGGGAACAATGACGCTCGGGCTAGGAATGATGCAACGCAATCGTCTTCATCCTCCCCCACGTCGCAGACGTTATACAGACCACCTGCTCTGGAGTTAGGGTACCAGACGCGGACACCTGATGATCTCCTGTCCAGTGACGAAGAGGTAGACATGCTTGACCTCAAGCTAACGGAAAGTATACGTAAAATGGCGCTCGACCCGACCCGACATCGCTTCTTTGGCAAATCGAGCGGACTGAAGCTTATCCAGCAGGCGCTGGACCTTAAGAAGGAGCACACTGGTGATCAGGCAGAGAACATGCTCAATATCTTTTATCGCAATGAGTCAAAGTTCATCGATACGCACCAGGTGAGTCCCTCTACGGGGATATCTCCGGTGACGTTCGTCGCTCAGCTGTGTTGACTGGGCTCATTTCTGCTTGTCCCCTCCTTGCATTTCAAACAACAAGTGGAAGACTCAAGGCAAGAACGCCGTATATCTTTCCAGAGCCCGACCGTAGCCACAAGCTTATCGATCTGTACTTCACCAACATCAACCTCATCACACCCGTGCTTCACCGCCCGACATTTGAGCGCAAGTACAACGATGGCCTGCACCTTCGCGACTCAGCGTTTGGAGCCGTTGTCCTCCTGGTGTGCGCGGTTGCTTCGCCGGGATGTGATGATCCTCGGGTGCTGCTTCCAGGGATTGATACGGAGCACTCGGCGGGGTGGCAATATTTTGAGCAGGTGCAGATCGTGAAGAAGGCGCTGCTGGCGCCACCTTGTCCAGAGGATGTACAGGTGTATTGTGTAAGTTTTCCCACCGCCTCCTATTCCGAAACCATACGAACGCTAAGGCACGTATTCGTAAAGCTGTCCACGATTTATGTGCAAGGGACGTCGACGCCTCAAGCTTGCTGGACAATCGTCGGGATTGGTATCAGACTGGCCCAAGATGTTGGTGCACATAGGCGGAAGGTGTACAACCGTAAGCCGACAGTCGAGGATGAACTATGGAAACGAGCATTGTGGTATGTGCTCTCAAGTATATGTTCTCCTAATTCACAGTGTTCGACGAAGGATTTGGTCACTCTCGACCGAGCATTTAGCTCCGGCTCAGGCAGACCTTGTGCAATACAAGACACTGAGTAAGCTTTGCACTGAACATGGTTCCGTGCATGATGCTCACGTCTTTGTGCACATTTTTGATCTTGATCTGCCTGTAATCTGTGACGACGAGTACTGGGAGCATCAAGATCCAGAGCAAGCGTTCAAGCAGCCACCTGGCAAACCATCTTACGTCGCATATTTTGTCACCGCTGTAAAGCTCAACCAGATCTTGGCCTTGGCACTGCGGACCATCGTGAGTGATTTGGGTTCGGAGATTTCTGATAGTCTTCGAGGCTAACGAGCATTTGGGGTTATAAGTACTCTATCAACAGGTCCAAGGTTATGTTTGGCTTAACTGGACATAAGTGGGGGCAGCATGCCGTCGCCGAGCTTGACTCCGCGTTAAACAAGTGGATTGACTCAGTTCCAGATCATTGTCAGTGGTCGCCGTTTCCAGCCTCAATCATTTACATCGCTTTGGGAACCGAACATACAAGACCCCGCCTTCTTGCTCCAATCGTGTGCACTATATGCGAGCTATTATAATACGCAGATCATTGTTCATCGTCCGTTTATTCCCTCGCCGAGAAAGCCATCGCCACTGCCATATCCCTCGCTTGCAATATGCACGAATGCGGCACGATCGTGCAGCCATGTCGTCGATGCGTACGTAAAACGAGCTAATACAGACAGACCAATTCTTCCCATTGGAATCCAGGTAAGTCAACTGCCTACAACGTAAGAAACAAGGAGCGGCCGAGTCAATGGGTGTTGCCATGAGCGCTCTCATAATTTCCGTTCTCGGATAATTTCATCTCGTCAGTGTGGTATGTTGTGCAAGTTGACGAAGATGACTCTTTGCAGGCTGCTACCGTCACGGCGGGCATTGTACTGCTTGTCTATATCTGGGGCGGCAAGGCGTCCGGGCTCGTAATCAACCCTGAGAAGGAGATGGCGGATGTGCACAAGTGCATGGCTGCGCTCAAGCTCGGCGAGAAGCGGTATGTACCTGTTTTGGCCTTCGAAACCACTGCTTTTACTAACACTGATAATGGCAGGTACCCCTGAGCGGGCAAAATTTGGTGCGTTTGTGTTGTTCTAGCCTATATAGATTCGCCCACTCATGAGTGATACATTCGTATCAGGGACGTCTTGTACCAACTCGCGTCAGTTGGAGGCCTTCCTCTTCCGCAAACAATGCCAACAGGAACAGGCAAGCGTGAACGGGAAGAGGACACGGCTCCCGTAGATTCTTTGTCGCAGACTGGACAATCCGAATCTGGGCCACGCGCTATCGCAGGGTCGAGCCGCGTTGCGGGAAAGGGTGGCATCCAACAGTTGCCTCAGAGCACTCACCTTCCGCCCGTGTCGTTGAATCAGGATGCACCAGCGGTATACTCTCAAATGCAGCCGCAACAACGAACACACCAGCAGCTCACGCAACTGCCTATGTATGATCAGATGAGCTCTGACGCAGCTGCGTCGTCGGTTCTGCACCCCCCACAATCCCAACATGCCCTTCACCTAAATGGTCTTGACCCCTTTCAAGCGTGGCTCAGTGGTGAGATTAGTAGCCTGGACCTTCCGTCCGTCATGATGGCCTATGATGGCTCGTACATTGGGGCCGCTGAGAGTGGCGGCTTTTCTATGCATGAGTTCGCCGCCGATACTGCATACGTCAATGCGGCCCCGCACATGCCTTATCGAATCGAAGACTTCCTGTTCCACTTGATGCAGTCGCAGCAGCAGCTACCGGGTGCCGAGGCCGAGGGTACGACCGTGGCCGGAGTAGAGAGTATGGATATGGATAGGATGATGATGGCCTCGCAGCCCACGTCGTCAGACGGTATGTTGTCAATGTGGTCGAATGCCTCTAATGGCTTCGAGTATGTTCCCTTTTCCGTCGACCAGCAGAAGATGCAGGACTGACCGGCGTATTTTAGAGTGGACAGTTGGCGCGCGTACCTTAACAGTGTGTCTGGCACGAATTACAACAATGGAACCCAGCCACAGGACCACGGCTCGTAAAGCGGGAGTGCGGAGGCCTTACTTCTGTCAGTCGGATATACTATAGTCCTTGTAATGGCAGTATGCTATTCTTCTGGCAAAGTAACGAGCGGTTTGGTACTATAAGTGCTAATAATAGATAATCTATCTTGGGTTTTGACAAAGTCAAATTCTAAATCCTGCGCCCCCATTAGCACGTAGTCAAACATGCCGTGAGGGTAACTCACCTCGGCAATACTCTCAACATGGGATGACAGTCTCATTAAGCCTGGCTTTGTGTAACATACAAACCCCTGAGCTCGTCTCATCCGAAGTGCCAGCAAGAAGACTTACCTTCCCGCGCGCGGAGAACTGTATAACTGCGAAATTGCCATCCTGAGCCGGTTTCTTCCGCGCGTTAAGCGTGAGCATGAGGGAGTTGCTGTAAAGTCTCCCCAAGCTCAAGTTGATCGCGAAATGACTGAGGGTAATCAGTAAGGCCGGTCACAATCGTAGTCTGTCTCGCTTAACGTACGTGCCGTTCGCCTGTGCCTGTATCAGTTATCGTGCATCTCAAAGCGCGACAATGTGACTTACATATACTACATACAACACTAGGTCCACCAGCGTCCAGGCAGCTGTAATCAGCCCCGTATTGGCGACCACTGGGTATACACCCATTTAGTGCGAGGAATTAAAGCTGAGGGAGTATACTTACAGACAGTGACCTTCCTTATGACGGTGTCGGTATCAGCGAAGCCAGTCTTGTGTGCCCGCTAGTCGACAAGATGAGCAACCGCGTTTTCAGCACATGCATACGCGGAGACAACGCACGAGAGCCTTGATCATTACGAATGTAATGAGGAGATTCCCTAGCACCGCAGAGCCCAGCCACACTACAACGACAGGCTCGAACTGGCGGAAATAGAAGAACGTTCGGACGCGGTCCGTTGCGATGGTTGATCCTATCCCGCCAACTATGGGTTTGATTAGAGAGCGAAGACCTGGGCAGACGCCGAGTGAACTCACGCAAAGACACGAATGCCACGACACCAATGAGCCCAACTACCCAGCGATTTCTGGTCAGGACCTGTATACGCCATGCAAGGAAGCCTTGAACTAGGGTCGAAGTGATGGCCTAATGGCTCAAATCAGTCTCGGACGAAGGAACATTGCAGAGTTCGCGTACGGTAATCGCCGGCACTGATGCGTTTGAACATGTGAGATAATCTCACGTGTGTACGAGTGACATACGCACAGATGAAGAATTCTGGGATACGTCAGACTAAGCAAAAAAGAAAATAGGCTCATAGTACTTACCCCAATTGGACTGCAGAAGTTCGGAAGGTTGCCCTGGGGGACGCTAGTGAGTCGAGATATCGAGTGAGATACAAGGGCATGAGCGTACCAAAGTCGGAGACGAGAGCATTGTACGCGTACAGCGACTCGCATATTGTACTGAAAGTATCCAAGGACAGGATCACTAGAACCTTGGAGGGATCAGAAAGGCAAGATGGCAGGAGGGAGGCGGCACTTACGACCAATGCTATCCATTTGCTGTCGTCATGACTAGGAGCAAGCAACGCGATGAGTACTGCTCCGAGAGCTGCGACACAGGTCAGCACACCTTTTGTACGCGTTGAAGTAGGTGAACACCTGAACAGCCGAGACGCCATAAAGGGCGGCGTTGACGGTGACGCCGATTAAGAGAGCACCATATCTATAGAGGTGTGCATGTGAGCACGGAAGAAGTGCGAAACAAGCTGTGGGAGACGTACGAAAGCCCAGCATGCGCGACCATGCCAGATCAAAGTGAAGGAGGGGAAAGTAAAGACGAATGCGAGGCCAGCGCTCGAGCCCACGCGACATGCAGCCAGGCAGCAAACGCGTGTCGCGGGCCGCGGAAGGCTCAAGGAGTAACCAGCCGATGTGAGAATCCGAGATGAAAATGCCGGATGTATTTACGTCACATTTCTCCGCGGGACCTTCTCGCTTTGCAAAGTCTATCAGAACAACTGTCAACTGTCAAAGAGTTGATTAGTCTCCTCGTGGAGCTGAAATGTTAATGAGGCCTTGAAGGAACCAATTCGCTGTCTGCCCTTCTCAAAGATGTGAAAGAAGACTGCTAGGCTCGAAAGGGACGTTCAACAACTTGCAGGTCAGCTTTCGAAGACTGCCAAGCTAGTGATGGGCTGCGGAACAAAGATTTCTCCTCATTTGTTGACGCAGCCGGAGATGTCGACTCTACAACTCAATTGAAGCTGGAAGATCTCGAGTGCGCCCACAAATCACAATAGCACAGCCTTCCAAGCCGACGCCGTTTCAACCGCGCGTACACATTACGAAGCATCGCGGAACTACAGTCCATCGGTCACCGCCAGTACCTCGGTGCATGTCCGTACACCTTCACCGTTCTTTGTGCTTCGTCCAAGGCCTGCACAACCGCCTCAGGCAGCGGTCCCCGCTCGCAATCTGCGCAGTTCTCCGCTAGCTGAGCCGCGCTACTCGCACCCAGGATCACGCCGTCCTCCGGGCTTAGATCGGAGTGGTGCTGCAACCAACGGAGGGCTATTTCAGTCAGACGGAGGTTGTGAGCATCCTGCATTGAACCAATACGCGTTTGGTCAAGACAACACGGTCAAAGTCGTTGTGGACAACGTACCGCAACGGGTTTGAGGAGCTCCAGTGCGCGGAGGTACCCTTCCTGGACGTACCGTGATCGGTATAGCTGTCCCATTGGCGAGGAGGGATCGAAGCGCCCTCCGTCAGGGGCTGCCCCGCTCAGAGAGACTTTGCCGGCGAACAAACCGCCTCTGTTGCGATTGTCATAGTCAGCGGTCAATATATAAGGTCTTCAGCGAATATAACACGCACGCAAGAGGGTTGTACGTGACGATCCGTAGACCAAATTTCCGACAACAAGGCGCCAACTCGTCCTCCATCTCGCGCGTGATAGCGTTGTACATTCTGAACAAGATGCTTGTCAACTTTGGCGCCACCTAAGGACGGAATTGAACGAGGCACTCACACCTGATACACGCGCGGTTGTACCCAGTTGTTGGCCCGGCAAGTCATGATGATTTCGGCAACCTGTTGATTCACCATGACACCTCAAATTGGACCTGACAAGACGCAAATGAAGGCTATAACACCTACCTCCCATGAAGCGAAGTTGCTCAGGCCGAAGATCTCGCTACAACATGATGAGTTGTTGTCAACGTAACCTCCTTTTGAACAGAAGACTTACAATCGCCCTTCGCTATGTAGTCTATTCACCTCGGCCACGGTCTCCTCAAACGGGACACTCCTATCCGGAGCATGCAAGTAAAACGTCCGTACGCGCTCGCGTCCCAGTGCTTTCAGTGACTGGAGGAACAATCCGCGCAGGTTGGCAGGAGAATGATCGCCAGGCGTGTTTGGGTACACCCTGCCCCCGACTTCCGTCAGAAAGCCCAGAGTGTGCTCGACGTTACATTACATAATAACACATACTTGGTGTCAACCACTGCATCCCTCAAGTCGAGCTTCCCCAGCATCTGCGACAGCCTCAGTCACACCAAGCCAAGGACAGCGATAGCACACACCTCTTCCGTCGTTCCCTCGCCATACGTCCGCGACGTATCCAGCTCCCGATGTCCAGCACCGAAGAACACATCAAGCACGCCCTGGCACTCCCGCTGTTCCGCGATCCGCACACCATTCTTCCCATCCGCACCGAACGTCGCTGTTCCCTGCAGTCGACAAGCATACCGTTAGCAATTCACGATAACAGCTGCCATAGACGTACAAACAATAGAGGGATTCGAGGTGCCATTGTCTGAGTTCAAGTCCGGGTCGGAGGACGTTATCGAATTAGCATCGGACCGTCTTATATCGTCTCCGCCCCACCTCAGAGGCCTCGATCACATGCATCGCTCTCGAGCTCGATGCCCAAGGTCCCCGAGTCCAGGAATAAGCAGCACCGGCCCGAATGACGCTCACCTAATTTTATCCTCGGCCTACATAACAAGCGTCCTTGAGCACAGAAACAGAAATGTATGAGTTCTATGGGACGAGGACGTGCGATCTAGAGAAAGCCATACAGATTACGATGCGATGCAGATATACGTACGTATACAAGGGAGGCAGGATCTCGAAACAGACACCTAGAGATACAACGAGAAGCAGACAGCAAAGCAACTAGGAGCAGAGTGGAGATGTGTAAAAAATGTATTGTAAATGTACGCCGCACCGATAAGTCACCCTCAGACCACCCACCCCGAGTCTAACCACACTATCAGCTCCGCGTTCACCGACCGTGGCCATGACCGTGCTGGTGCTGATGTGGATGCTGATGGTGCGCGCCGCCGTCGTAGTTCATCCCCGACACACTGCTAATATACGATCCCCAGTCGTCCATCCTAGCACACAACACACAGGACACGCCCAGTCAGCATCCCACACGCTAAACACAGCAAAGACACTCACTCAAACCCACTAGGCGCATTCGACCACATCGCAATCGTGTCCGCATCCAACATCCCGTTCATCCCGTTCATCCCGCCATTCATCCCGCCATTCATCCCGCCCATCCCGGACATCGGCGCACCGCCCATACCGTTCATGCCGTTCATAGCACCTTGGCCCTGAGCTTGATTCGCGGGGCTCGTCGGTCCTCCCGGGCCCGACGCGCCGGCCTGCGGACCCATGAGCAGGCCCTCCATGCTCGCGTCGCCGAACCCACCAGGACCCGCCGCAGACGCAGACGGCCCCTGACCGGGCGGCTGCCCCGCCTGCTGCTCCGAGTAGTGTCCTCCGAACATCTGGTGATACAGCAGCTCGTCCACGCCGTACGGCACATGCGGAGCTGCCCCCGCGCTGGCTCCCGGCCCAGGCCCGGACCCAGCACCCGCAGGTCCACCCTGCGTCATCATCGAAGGCGGGCTGTGTTGACCCCCGGCGCCAGGACCAGCCCCGAACCACATACTCGGCGCGTCGAATCCAGACGACCCCCTGGGCGGAGACTGCACATGCCCGTGAGGCGGCAGCGGCGACGGCGGCGCAGCCGCACCGAAGCTCATCTGGCCATGACTGTGCAGCGGCAGCCTGCCCAGATCGTTCGAGTACACGGGAAGCGGCGAGCTCGCCAGCGAGGGCGACGTGACATGCGGCTGCCTTGCTGGCATCGTGGCCAACACCGGTGAATGCTGTGGCATCCCTCCGCGCGATGGCCTTCCGCCGTCTCGCGTGACGCGTCTCGATCCCGCAATATGGCGTTGTCCATGGGCCTGAGCTTCAGGTGTGGGATGGCTGGACGCCGAGCTGGGCGTGGTGTGGTTGGATACAGGCGCGATTGCACTGGCGGGGCTGTCTTCGTCGCGCTCGCGTTTGGCCATCCCTGATGGGCTCGCTTGCGGCAGCGGGAGGTCGCCAACAGATGCGAGTTCGTAGAGAATGTCCCTGTACATATGTTAACCGACCAATGTAGACTGCGGTGAGACAGATCCATACGCACCATAATCGCCCCGCCGAGTGATACCTACAAAACCCTCCTATCAGCGTTGCCTTAGTCGGACAAAAGAAGGAGAAATACAGACCGATTCTCGCACTGCTTGAGCGCAGCCATACACTTATGCACATCCCCCATCTCCTTCACCGGGTCGATCGCCAGACCCGACCGCTTGCCGCCCCAGATATTGAGCAGCAACACAATTCCAGCCGTGAACGCCGCGATCTGCACGCGCTTATCCGTATCAGCAATCCCATCGTGCCATCGAGAGCAAAGCAAAGGGAGGCCCCGCCCCGCCCCGCGCCCGGAGAGATGCCCACCGAAAGAGGGAAAGGAGAAATGTCCGACTCGGCCTTGAGCCGGCTCGCCGCACTTATCCCGCCCGCACCCGCACCCGTACTCAAGCTCACCTGAAGACCGACCGGCACAGAGCTCGGCACAGTGCCCGTCCTCTTCCTGTACCCATCAATAACATGGCTGCACGACCGCGCCGCATTCGTGCATATCGCGAGCGAGGGAAAGGACAGCGGCGACGGCTTGCGCGGCGACGGGATGAACGGGCGGTGGATGATGATCTGCGTGTGGTAGTAGCTCGCGTACAGCGTGCACGACTGCATGAGGAAGGTGAACTTGGGGTTGTTTGGGTCCCACCGCACTGAGTGCGCAGTGGCGATCGTGAGTAAGAGGGGTGAGGACGCGGAAGGGGAGAAGTACTCACGGTGCTCCGGCACCGAGTCGATCCACTTGTTCAGCGCCGAATCCAATTCAGCCACAATGTGCTGTTCCCACTGCTGCCCCACAAATCCCAGCAGCACCTTCGACTTGTTGATGGAGTACTATACAAGGCAAAGCCATCATGAGCATCGGGGGGATCATCAACAGCGGGAGCGGCGACTGATGATGCATGGTGATGGATCATCGTAGTCGGCATGATGGGGGATCACTCACAATGGTTCGCAGCGCAAACGCGAGGATCTGATTGAGCTTGAGGTAGCTGATGAAGAACGCGACGTAAGACGGCTTGTCGGGCGGCTGCTTGAATGCTTGTTCCGGATCCGGGTGTTCCCAGTACTCGTCATCGCATACCACAGGCAGGTCGAGGTCGAAGCTGAGCGCGGAAGAAGCGCCGTTAGAACTGAAATCAGCGCATATATGCGCTCGAAACTCACTCTTCGTCTTGAATAGCGCACGGTCGTCCGAGGGCAGAGCTGAGCGAGCGATCGAGACTGACCAGGATCCTTGAGATGCGTCAGCATTCCACTACTGACCTTCTGTTGATAAGTGTGATTTACATACCAGAATGCGCGTTTCCACAGCTCGTCTTCAACTGTCAAGTCATTGTTGTACACCTTCCGCCTGTGCGCGCCGACGTCCTGAGCGAGCCGAATACCTATGCCCACAATCGTCCAACACGCCTGGGGCGCCGACGTCCCTTGCAAGAACAGAACAGACAGCTATACCACTCGTGAGCAAACCGACTATCTGCGCCGCCTAAGACGACGAAACGACGAAACGAGACAATAACTCACGCAATACACCTGCAAATCCTCCAGACACGGCGGACCCAGCAGCGTCTTGCGCACCATCTGCACCTGCTCAAAGTACTTCCACCCCGCCGAATGTTCGCTCTCGGTGTCGGGCAGCAGCACGCGCTGGTCCTCGCACCACCTCGCTGCGACGGCGCACACGAGGAGCACGACCGAGCCAAAGGCCGAGTCGCGCAGGTGCAGCGCGTCCGCGTACTTGCGCTCGAACGTCGGGTGGTGCAGGAGCGGCGCCATCGGGTTCGAGTACTTGAAATAGAGGTCGATCAGCTCGCGCGCGAGGTCGGCCTCCGGGAAGATGTACGTCGGCTCGTCGATCTTTTTGCCTGCGATTTCCCACTGCGGTCGCAGCATGTCACAGTTAGCCTCCTCCGCGCACACGAATGAGGAGACTCACCGGATGACACACGTCGAACTCGGGTCTCCGTCTCGAGAAGAAGTCCATGCTGTTGATCTGGTCGCCCGTGTACTCGTTCTTGAGGTCGATCGCCTTCTGGATGAGCGTGACGCCGGAGGACTTGCCGAAGAAGCGGTGGCGCATCGGGTCGATCGCCATCTTGCGGATGCTCTCGGTCAGCTTGAGCTCGAGCATGTCCACCTCGTCGTCACTCGAGACCAGGTCCTCGAGCGGTGTCGTCTGCCCGCCATTTGCTGCTGCTCTGCCGTGGCGGGAGGTTGCGGAAGTGGGCGAGGTGTGGCCTGCGGTGGCTGCTGACATGGAAGAGGACTGAGGATCGTTGTTCTTTAGCCAGGCGTCTTTCTTGATGGGGCGGCCGCCAAGCTCTTGAGAGAAGTCGGCATCGGGGCAGACCTGGGTGTATGCGTGTAAATGCGGTCAGAATGACCATGACACGGGCGAGGATACTCACTTTGGAAAGGAGCTTCTCCATCTTCTCGAGCCGGTTCTCCAAGTTCTCGACGTATCTGTGGGACACTGGTTCAGCACACAGAGGTTTGCGCGTCTGTTCAGGAGGTAGTCACCCTTTCGGCGGGCCCCGCTTCTGAGGCAGAGATCAACATGGGGATGAGCTAGGGAGGAAGTGGGATGGGCACCTTTGCAGCCTCGACATAGGAACATTCAAAGTTGTATGCGATGCAATTTGAACATCTGTTGCCAGGCATTTGACCGCCGTCACCTAGCGCATACACACGCTCGTTATGACGGGTGCTTGACGTCTCAAAGGTAGGTCTACTCACATCGAACTAGAGAAATGGTTGGACAGTCGCGTACATCCAGATAAGCGCCAGTTAGGGATGAGGAGATGGATACACACTTTTCTTTCTGCGACATATGTCGCATGCTCGTTGAACTCTACGTTTCTTGGAGCCTCCATGACCGCCATCATGGTCGTTGTAGTCGTCTTCTGCCGACGACATGGATGGTGGCGTAGTGGGTCGGAGTCAGTCAAAGTTGTGTCTGCTTGCTGTGCCTGTGACAGCAGTGGAATGTTGTAGGTGGTAATTGTAAAGCAGCCAGGGGCGTGGATAGAAGAGAGACTGGGAAAGCCGACGGGGAGCATGAGTCAGCCGGCGGGAACGAGGATTGCCTCGGGGTTAACTCACACCGGAAAATCCCAGGCGATCCAAAGGCTGCGCCGTAGTTGAGCGTCGTAAGAGAGTCAGGGATAACCTGGGATAATAGACCAATGAGACCGGCAGCTTGTCTCGGGATGTTATCTCGGTCTGTCCGAGACGCTGACGACTCATCGGCACACCGCTGTCACGACCAGGTCAACCCCTGTCAACAACGATCTTACCCGTCACCCTCGTCACCCTCTTTTACCTAATTCCCGGCTCACCACCTCCGCCTATAATCTTCCTGATTGGTCGGATCTGCACTCTCCTATCTTTGTCTCCTCGGATCGCTCGAACCAGGTCAAACCATCCCACCATCTCACCCCACAGTTGCATCATGAGTTCTATTGCTGGATCGTTCGAGCGCCATATTCATTCCGCCGGAGCGACCGTATTTTAAATATTACTCATTTGCCGTGCACTCGTCAGCTATCGGCCTTTACAGCAGGTAGCCCCCAATTGCGACCTATCCGGGTAACACACGCCAACGATTGGTGAACTTTACTCCCGAACGACATAGCATCTCCTAAATTTACTCGCGTTTTCACGAGCAACGCTCACCCAAAAGTAGCCCACAACGTACGACCCATGCCATGTTCAGCTGATGTTATCGTGCTACACGTAATGTTCCTTCACCATCGGGCATATGGCCTGATCTACCTACCTCAAAGTGGTACCACCTTCATGGTTCAATATCCTACGAAAGACATGTAACGTCGTCAATAGTCCGAATCAAAGGGAAGTGCCGCCAGACTGCATACGCCATCGCTTCAGGCGTCTCTTTACCCCAACCTCACTGGAGCTACCACCAGCCTTGGGCATAATGACAAGTTAAGCATCCGTCCGTAACGCTCGCACCAATCCTAGTCCCCATCATCCGAGCACCCCGAGTCACCATCCTCTACCTCGCCCTCCTCCCCGCGAATCCGTTTAACAGCGCTAAACACACTCTCCCACCACTTCTCGTATCCCCTCGCCGGCGACTGCCACCTATTCCCCATATGAACAGACCACCACGCTCCCAGCTCGCATCCACCCGCAAGGGGCATCGCCTCGCACAGGAACACCGCGACCCCGTCGACGTCCTCGCCGACCTTCGAGTCCAGCAGATTAAGCGCCTCTACGGGGCACACGAGTTCCCCCTCGTCCAGAGACACCGACGGCGGCGGAGTGAGAGTCGCAGCGGTATCGCTGCGCCCGTCTAGCGCGATCGCAATCCGAGTGAGCTTGGGGAGCCGCGCTTTCATAGCTGCGAGCCCGGAGAACGTGGCCTGCGACGTCTTGATCCAGCCCTCGCCGGGGTTGAGCCCGAGCGCCTGGAGCTTGGGCCACGAGCAGGCGATTTGGGCGAGGTCGTCGTCGTCGAGCGAGATCGACCGTTTCAGGTCTAGCTCCAGACTCTCGATGTTTCGGAAGCCCAGGAGCGGACGGAGCGTGTCGATGGTGACGTCAAAGTCTGCGACGTGTTCTATTCTCTGGTCGTCGTACGTTCGATCCTCCGTTATAGAAACGGCTTTGAGCGTGTCGCGGTCGAAGCGGTTACATATAGTTTGAATGAGATCGGGAAGATCCGCAACAACGTTTGCGAGAGAGGGCGTATGCGCTTCGAAACGACGTGCGCGAACACGACCAGGTAGAGAGGTGAGGAAGTTGGTGATGTCTGCATATCCACAACCCCGAGCCTTGAGTCGCAAAGTCTCGAGGCCCGGAAATATATCCCCACATTGATTTTGAGCGAGACTGTGGCCGTTCGAGATGACAAGCGGGACATGAATCCTGAGCTTGCGCAGGGTGCGAAGGCGCATAACATGATCTAGCGCAATATCCGCGAGCATGTCAACGTGCAGATCCTCCAGATAGTGCCACTGGCAGACCGCCCGAGACATGGCGACAGCCGCAGCCGACGAGTGCCACAGGTCAGACCACTTGAAGTTTTTCATTCGAGGGCACATCGTTCCGAGCCCAGCGATCAGCGCGAGCGCTTCAGCCCGTCGCCGCGCTCTCTGGTCTGTGTCTATCCCCGTATCTGCTGCTGCTGCTGCTTCGAGCTCAGTTTCATCGTCGTCATCGATATGTGTATTGCGCAGCTCCAGAGTGGTAAGGGATGGTCCGGCGATCGGTCGCAGGAAGGGGAAGACGTGGAGGGCTGGAATCCCCCATGTGACTTCCTCCAGACGTGGAAAGAGAGGAAGGGCATCAGGTGGTGGATGGGCGAATACAAGGAGCACATCAGGCGACACGTCCGTGGTGTAGGCTTTGGTGCCCCTTCCGATGGACCTGTAGGTCAGAGAGCCAAAAACTCGTCGAACGCGCCTCGAGTACTTGCAGAACATCGCCCAGTCGGAAGTATCCAGTGGCCTCGTGAAGTTATAGAGCTGGTGGTTTGACGTTAGCAAACGAGAGCCTTGGATAAGACGACAGTGTATCGCGTACCATTCTCGGAGGATAACCACGCCGAGTTGGATCTCTCCCATAGGAGACAAGCCCATCGGGGAGACACTTGAGTAGAGGTACGATGTTGTAGATTTCCGCCCAGAGTACGTCCAGAGCAGGGTCACAGAAAGCACGGCATGTCAGCGCCAGCGACTCCAGGTCCTCTGGATCGTCTTCTAGCTGTTGTGCGATCTGGCAGACGATCTCATGGACCTTGAGAGCTGAGTGCATGGTCCTTTCAGGCTGGTTAAAAATAGATTGCGGGTTCGAGGTTATGGTGCGGTCAAGAGCCTCTGCAGACGGGCTGAGGACAACAGTACAAACGATGAAACATCCAATGTCGATTCAGGTCCTTGATGTGGTTGTGGCAGAGGAATGCTTTGACGTCCGATCAGCGACGGCGCGACGCGCGCAGTCCTTGCGCATCTCGCTCCGACGGTAACTTCCGTAGCAATACACTGCGGGACAACCTGCTGGAAATCACAGCTACTGCACCACCACTTTCGAAATCAAGTATCCCGAGACACACATATCTGTCAACGAGCTTTACTCAATGCATTAGTTCTCGTCCTCTGGCTCCTCGCTACTCTCCGTCAGATGTATCCCGTCAACCTCCCCACGAATCCTCCGCACGGCTTTAAACACACTCCCCCACCACTTCTCAGACTCGCTCGCACTCCACCGCTACCTATTTCCCACATGAACCGACTGCCACGCCCAGAGGCTGCATCCTATCCCAAGGATCATCATCTCGCACATGCACTCTGCGACGCTTTCGGCGTCCTCTCCAACTCTCGAGTCAAGGAGGTCGAGTTCCTCTATAAGACATACTCCACTGTCTTGCAGAGACAATACTGGGATATGTGCGCTTTCCATAAAAACACTAGATCCATCTAGCGCGAGCGCGAGCTCGGGCAGCACGGGGAGACGCGTTTTCATGGATGCCAGCCCGGCGAACGTGACACGTGAGGTCTGTATCTACCCCTCGCCGGGATTGAGCCTGAGAGCGCGAAGCTTCGGCCATGACTGTGATGTCTCGAGTAGGTCCTCGTCAACGAGGGAAATCGCCCGCTTGAAGTTCAACTCTGCATTCTCAACATTATGGAAGCCAAGCAGCGGTCGAAGCGTCTCGATGGTGACGCTAAAGGCGGCGATCTGCTCTATCCTCGGGTCTTCGTAAAACCGGTCTCCCGTGATCGTGATACACGCGAGCGTGTCGGAGTCGAGCCTGCGCGATATGGCTTTGATGAGGTCGGGAAGAGTAGTGGCCACATTGGTGGGAGCGGATGTGTGTGCTTCAAAAGTAGAGGCGCGAACGCGACCAGGTAGGGAGTCCAGAAAGCTAGTAATTTCCGCATATCCATAGCTCCTGGCCTTGAGACACAAGCCCTGAAGCCCTGGAAACACATCATTTTCCTGGCGTGGAGCAGGGCCGAGAGTGTTTGAGGCGACGATAGGCAAGTGAGTGTTGAACTTGCGCAGGGTACGAAGGTGCATGGCATGTTCTAGCGCGATGTCCGCGAGCGCATCTACATGCAACGTTTCTAGATGCTGTCACTGGCAAACTGCCTCTGACATGGCGACTGTCGCAGCTGAAGAACGCCATAGGTCGGCCCACTGGAAGCTCTTCATGCGAGGACACATCGCTCCAAGCTGAGCAATGAGTGCGAGCACCTCTGCGCGCCTCTGCGTTGTTGTGTGAGAGTCCGTGTTTGTATTGTCGGGATCGTTTCTGACATCTTTATCAATCTTTGGGACGGATAGATCAAGTGTGGTCAACGATGGCCCAGAGATCACCCGCAAGAAGGAGAAGGCATCAGGGGCTGGAATCCGCCATGTCACTTCTTCGAGGCGCGGGAAGAGGGGAAAAGCATCGGGCGGCGAGTAGGAGAATGCGCAAATGATGTCAGGCGAAACGTCTGCGACACCAGCCTCAGTGCCCCTGCCCCAGAACATGTGATCGAGAAAGCCAAAGAATCTTCGAACGCGTCTCGAGTACTTGCAAAACAGAGCCCAGTCGAATGGAGTAAGCAGCCTCGTGAAATTATATACCTAGGGAATGTGAGTAGACCCGAAATTAGCCTAGGTATAACAACATGGACTATACCTACCATTCGCCGAGGATGATGACGCATCTTGGTATCTCGCTCGTAGGACACTAGCCCTTCTGGAAGAGTTTTGAGGAGGGACATCAGGTTATATTTCTCCGCCCAGATTACATCCAAAGCAGGATCAGAAAAAGCATGACATGTCAGAGTAAGCGACTTCAAGCCTTTCGGGTCACCTTCCAGCTGTAGTGCGATCTGCAGAACGATCTCATGGAGCTGGAGAGCCAGATGCATGATTATTTGATGTTGACGACAAGTAGAGGCTGTGTGGGGTATTGGTATGTGGTTTCGACCGTGGGTTAACGATTTGATCATTATAAGGGTGCCAGGAGTTTAGTATAGTTGTCTTGAAGAACAGTGGACTTGAGAAATACTGACAAGCTATTACTAGGCATGCAAAATTGTGGCCCTAAACCAGGCTTTACTCCGCCAGGGGAAATCAATCGTCAGCGAAAAGAAAAAACGAGATTGAAAAGCAAGTTGAAAAGCGAAGATTACTTATCGCCGAAAGCTTCATGCCATTTCTCACTCCGCCAGTGACTTCCGAGCTCGGCCGAGCCTTTGCCGAACCCCAGGAGTCATGATGACTAATCCCAATCGGCGCGTCCGGCGCGCTTTTGTTAGCTGTAGACGTGACTGGATTCTTTGCCCGTCGACGTCGACGTCGTTCCTTCGTCCTTGTTCTCGGCCACATATCCTTGGTAGTTGTATCACCATGGAAGACGCCAACGCTGAAGACGAGAAGAAGCCCTTCGACGCCGAAGGAGGTCAGGATGGAGACGAAGCCCTGCCAGACCCTGACGAGGATCTCGTCTTAGACAAGGGAAATGGCCGTGTCTGGGTGGTCAAGGTACGCTTTCCAGCCCACCACTCTTTCTTGCCATCCTCTCGCGGCTCTCTTCATTCTAAATCAAGTCCCCTCGATGACTTATGCGAACACCTAGATACCAAAGCACCTCATGCAGCGCTGGCGCAATGTCACCGCCGAGGACGTCCACCTTGCCACCATCCGTGTGTACGACCACGCTGTCTCCCCAACCGGCAAATCCCCGCGCATCTTCCTCTTCCTCCCCCCAGACCCGAACGACCCGACCCCGCGCGACCCGAACCTGCCCGTGTTCGACTCCAACGCCGCCTTCTTCAGCGGTGGTGAAGGCGGTGGCCAGCACGTGGACAGGTACGAGCTCGAGATGGTCAATAGCGAAGTCGACAACCAGCTCGTCGTCGCCGAGCGCCCGAAGGAGCCGCCCCCGCCCAGCGCGGGCAGGCCGCACAATCCAAGGTCACGGACGACGATCGTGACGGGCCGTATACGACACGAGTGCTCGCTCAGACCGATCTTCAACGACTCGTATAGGAAGCATATGCGCGAGCGCACGCGGGTGTACAACACTCCGCAGAGGCAGATACGCATGATCGAGGAAGCGGGCGTGAGGGGTGGGCGTGGAGGGATCAATCAGCTCAGCAGTGGTGTTAACAATTCGGGCTCGTTCTCGGATTTGGTCGTGCGTCGCCTCATTTTCTTCCCTTTTGCGTCGTCGCTCAACGTCGTTTGTGTGTGTGCAGAAATCCAAGAACAGACCCCCAAAAGGCGCATTCGAGCGCATGGCCCGCATGCCGCGCAACCAGCTGCTCGACATGCTCTTTAGCCTCTTTCGCGAACAGCCGCGCTGGCCTATTAAGGGACTTCGCGAACGCACGCAGCAGCCTGAGGTCTATCTGAAGGAAATTCTCAACGAGATTGCGTCGCTCCATCGCAGTGGCGAGCACAACGGCCTCTGGGAGCTCAGCGAGGTGTTCAAGACCGATGGGGTAAGTATTCTCTTCTGGCTGTATGCGATAAATGTGGCATGGTCTGATCATCAATTGCGCTGCCACAGATCAAGGCCGAGAACGTACCGTTGCCCAGCGGATCGCAGGCGGATGTCAAGATGGATGACTACGACGAAGACGAGGACGATGATGAGGATGAAGACATGGAGGAAGTGTCGTAAAAAGCACCACAACATCCGTATGCGCTTCTCATGTAACTTATTGTATGCCACTTTGTATTTTACTAGTTACTGCTTGTATTATTCAGACATGTGTTTTAATGGACTATAGTTCTTTGGTGCGAGTGAAATTTGGATGGTGCTCATCGCGAGGATGAACTTAAGACTCCCACATGCGATGTTGTTGTATTTAGTTTGAATTGATCCCTTGTCAGTGGTACATAATGAGTAGTACATCATTCCCTTTCAGTTGTACATGAATAGCCTATATTCACTTAAAGACCATCCTTGATCGCCTGCCACGACGGCCTGGATGTGATATCATTCCACCACCTCGCGACATTTGGGCGGCTGCTGAACTCATCAATCCCAATGCCCAGGAGGACGCTGCCGTATGGGAGGTGAAACAGGTCTGCGAGAGTGATTTTCTGTTGCATCCGATGGTCAGCCATATAGGAGGATAAGGAAGAAAGACATGATAAACATACATTGCCACCGATATATTTCTGCTGCCCAAGGATCTTGTCGTACGCGTCAAGCTTGGAGCGCCACGTTGCCAGCAGACTCTCTGCGCGCTTCTCGTCCTTCGTCCCGCCGTACATCCTTTCCACGCACGCAGGAATCGTATCAGACAACATCGCAGGCAGACGGAACAGTTGTGGAATGGTACGCACTGCGTGAACTTGTTCTCCCACGCGAGGCCAGACACGAACGGCTCGTAGTCGGTGAGCTCGATGCTCGCGCCCTGCTCGAAGATGGCGCTCTCGCGGAGGTCCTTCGGGATCAGCTGCTCGCCGACGCCGGCGTACTTCGCGGCGATGTAGCGCGCGATCGCGCGGGACTCGTACATCTGGAAGCCGTCGTCTTCCACCTGGGACAAAGCAGCCGGTCATATGCTTCAGTGACCCAGGGGCGTATGAGGATGGACAATAGGGACAGAGGACGCACGATGTAGGGCACCTGGCCAAAGGGTTGGTTCGCGGTGAAGGCGGGAGTCTTGTGTTGTCCGCCGACGAGGTCAACGGGGATGAACTCGAACGGGACGTTCTTCTCCTTCAGGGTCACTGCGACGCGCAGCGTGCAGGTCGAGGTGGGGTAACCGTAGAGCTTGAGGACCATGATCTGTGCTATGAGATGAGAGGGTGCGAGTACTCGAGGGGAACCAAGTGAAGGGCGCTGAAGAATGGAAGACGAGAACGGACCTACCTTTATATCCCATCCATCTGGCTCTGCGAAAGACCTTCCGCAATGCCTCAGGGGCGAAACACCATCGACCTAGACAGTCGAAGGATACTTACCTTGGCCCTTCTGGTCGGGCAGCTATCAATAGCATCCAGAATGCATAAGAAGACAGACTTTGGGCCCGAAAGTTCTCGCGTTGCCAAGCTAATCTCCAGCAACGATCTGAAAGCACCGACATAAGAAGTAAGCTGTCGAGTTCGCAGCTCCAGACGGGTATCGCAGCTGACGAGGGCGAAGACATCCGTGAGAGCAGGGTGCAAGGCCTCCGGTGGCGCCTGAGAGCGGTCGCCAGTGAGGCGCTGTTGTAGCTTAAAGTGCATCTAAGGCAGTCACTCGTTTGGACACAATTAGAGGGTATTTTGTGATGAAGATAAGTCATCGAGCGACTCGGGATGTGACAAAGATTGTGGTCAAACCGTCGCCTTTGCGATGGTGACTTGATGGTGGGTTGCGGCGGATATTTGTCTATGAACTAGTAACCGTGAGCGCTGACCAAGTTAGGACGCTTGGAATAAGCTTTTTTCGGCCACGAAGGGCCAACTGAATCGACTGTCGTGAGTATGGAGTGAATAAGAATGTTTGAGCCTTCGTGGGCCGGGGAACTGAAGACCGCGAGCGAACTGCGTTGTCGCGTTTACCAGGGCCCCGGAAGCTCCCCTCAAGGTTTGTCCGGCCAAAATGGTCGATTTGGGGTCAAAATATACTATAAATTCCCACGATATTATACTATTCCGGACAAACATAGCCCCTATGTCGTGGGATAGTATACTATGTCGGACCAACATATGCACAAGTTCTCACGAAAATATATTATGGCGGACCAACATACAAGGGTATCAGGAAGATTATGGTAAGGTAAACTGCAGCTCTTCATGCATGACCGTATCAATATAGTACCTGAGAACAAAGGCTCTGGAAGCTGCCGGACGAGCACTGGCTATATTAGAATATCCCACCATATAGTACTAACTGGAGGTGTTGACTTGGTGTCGACTCTGAGAGAGAGACAACTATGATTGTCACTAATAGTGCCTCAGGTCCAAGATGGTATACTGCAGTGGAGGCATGCACGTACATATGAACATTCAAGCTATAGGAAAGTACGGCTACCCAGATTCCAGAGCCAATATTAATGTGTCCACGAAAATTTGATGTGTGCTAGCTTATCTTGCTAAGATCATTATCGGAGGATTTCGAGGCAGTGTGAAACAATGTACAAGTAATATGCGCTTTACAACTACAACTACTCGCCGTGCTTTACCTTGGGGAGAGGTTTAGAGCACCTGCCGAAGCAGGTTAAGCAAAATCGCACTCTTGTCGCGCTCGCCCAAACTCTCGAACGCAAACTCCTTTCTGAGCAGGGCCTGAGGTACAAGTAGACAACCATCACATTTGCTATGGCACTGTCCTACAACTCGATGTGACTTGCAGTGTCTTTCGGCATTGCAGATCGACAACCAGCAACTTTTACTCATATGGGAAATATACTATACCGGCCAAACATCGACCCATCAGGGGCCAAGAAATATACTATGTCGGACAAACATATCTGTTCTCACGGGTCAAAAATATACTATGTCGGACAAACATCAGCCCCTCCAGCGTAAAATATACTATTGTGCCGGACAAACCTCCTTACCATATATGGTAATCAAAATATACTATAGCGGACCAACCTTGAGGGGAGCTTCCGGGGCCCTCGTTTACCCATGAGTGAGAAGGTTGCTCGAGAGTTGCTCGAGGGTAATACCACGGGCAAACTGTTATTTTTTGCTGGAGAAAAAAGAGAGAAAATGCGTGGAGCTCGTGAAAACCCCCTTCGCCGAGTTTTCACCGTGAGAAAAGTCAAAGGAAAGATAACCATTGCACCCGAGAGAGCGCCTTTTCCAGGCGAGAAAAGGTTAACGATTTCCCAGAATCGGCACAATTATCAAATTAGGCATCCATAATTGGACATTTATCCTTTTCTCACCCAGAAAAGGCGCTCTCTCGGGCTCAATGATAATCTTTCCTTTGACTTTTCTCGCGGTGAAAACTCAGCGAAAAAGGTTTTCACCTACACGCCTTTTCTCTCTTTTTTCTCCGCCGAAAAACGGCAGTTTGCCCGTAGTGTAAGCACGGCAGATAAACTGTGATTTGTCTGTTACAAAAAGTGATTGAAGAAGGCGAACAGATGAAAGCCTTTTTCACCCATCTTTTTCTGTGCGAAAAGTTGCTGAAAAGTTAATCTTTTGCCTCGGAGTTTGTATATCTGGGCGGACATTAGATAGAAACACATCCAAATCGGGAAGGTGGGGTCCAAATTCGGTAACCCGTCCATTTTACCAGCGCAAAATTGACGCAAATGTCGGCTAAAAGAATACCTTTTCCTGTGCAAAAGGGGGTTCCAAAACTTGGAGGAAAAGGCTTTCATCTCGCCACCTCTTTCTCTCGGTTTCGTCCCGGGTAAAATCGCCGTTTGTCTGCAGTGAAGGTCAGGTGGCGCTGCCGTGGCTGAGTCTGAATTTAGGGGGCAGGGTTTCAATATCGCGCTCAGATGGCGCGTACCGGTTCACTGCAGACAAACAGCGATTTTACTCGGGATGAAACCGAGAGAAAGAGGCGGCGAGATGAAAGCCTTTCCCTCCGAGTTTTGGAACCCCCTTTTGCACAGGAAAAGGTATTCTTTTAGCCGACATTTGCGTCAATTTTGCGCTGGTAAATTTGGCGGGTTACCGAATTTGGACTCCACCTTCCCGATTTGGACGTGTTTCTATCTAATCTCCGCACAGAAATGCAAACTCCGAGGCAAAAGTTCATCTTTTCAGTAACTTTTCGCACAGCAAAAGATGGGTGAAAAAGGCTTTCATCTGTCCGCCTTCTTCACTCACTTTTCGTAACAGAAAGATGACAGTTTGTCTGCAGTGGTTGCGCGTCAGTGCGCGTGTGTTCGGTGCAACGCAAGCAGAGGAGTCGACCATTCAAGCATTCATCGGTGAGTTATGCTCTCGTCTTCTCTCTTTATCCAGCTGTTTTACTTATGGCACAGTGTGCAACTATTCCTTTACCGCCTCCATGCGCTTAACTCCGGATTATATGCCAGTAGCTGACGACCTTCTTTTGACATCTTGCAGCGTCTTGCTTGCGTCTCGCTACCAGGACCTCAGCAGGACTCGCCGAGCGAATCAACTTTATAGCGTCATCGGGCCCCCTCAAGCACTAGACGCAGAAGCTATAAATCTATACTAAACACGAGCATGACCGAGAAAACTGTACGTAACGCGATGCTGGCTCTTGACGCACGTATTTATCAGCGCTTTAGAAGTTAACTACTTCGATGGGCATCGAAGACGAGACATACCGACCTCCTCGGGTCTTTAAAGAACTATCCGACGCTGTATGTCATTCTACATCAAGTATACCACAATGTGTTTGACTGACAGTATCTTAACTCGTTCACGTGTAGCTTCCACCAGTCAAGGCAAAGGTACAGGTACAAGTCGAACCTATAAATACAAATCATCCTATTCTGAACGCACCCGCAGAGCATGATAGATTCAAACCGACTTGCATCCTTCGAAAGCGCCTATCATAACAACACTTGCTCTGTGCAGGAAGTCACCGATATCCGCCGCTTTGTCCTCGACGGGTCTTTGATGATCAGTGATCTGGACTACGTACTCGCATCTTTGAGCAACCTTAGAGCGGAGCTGGCAGAGTCTATGCGCGAGTCGTCGAGGCTTATCTCAGCTGTGAACCGTCTACCGGTCGAGATCCTTACAGAAATCTTCTTCCTCGTTCGTACTCGACCGCGACCATCCCATCCTGCCATTGTCATGGGGTTCAACGTCTCCTTCAACGCTGCTCAGGTCTGCAAACGATGGCGGGACATTGCTCTTGGAACACCACGTTTATGGAGCCTCATTCACGTGAATGGGCCGAGTGCCCTCCGGAAGGGGGTACAGGGGCAGATAGATATGCTTTCCCGAGCGGCGCCCGTTTTCCCCTATCTCATCGTCGATTTCCCGGAAGGACCATCCAAGTTCCTGAGGAAGTTTAGCCGCGGGCTACTATCAGATTGTAGGGCAAGATGCAAAGGCGTGGATTTGTATGATGTGTCCGCCGATAGCATGAAGGCCCCCAGCTTCTTATACAGCAAAGTGCGGAAGCAGCTCTCACGCTTTGGTCAACTGGAGAGGCTTACCATCATAGGGTCCCACCTCAACGTTACCACTGCCGCGTTGCACACGGACTGGCGGAGATTGACACACCTTCGCATAAAGATAATACGGACAAAGGATGTCCACACTTTCTTCTCCGTGTCTGTGCTGCCTAGTCTTGAATCCCTTGTGTTAGAATGTTCAGGATTTCGTCTGAATCCCAACCCACTCCTCAAGAAGTATCCTAACCTCGTCGATTTCTTCGTTCGGGGTCGCATTTACTGGGAGCCTAAACAATTCTCACACGATCGGCTCCGGCGTATTTGTGTTCGGCCCGCTAAGCATCCCGCTGACGGCGCAAGTTTATTGTCGGCAGCCACTCTTCCTGCACTGACCGAGCTTTCGATACCCATCGATGGAAGGACGGAAGCATGCCTGAAGGACCTTTTTCGTCGCTCGGATTGTCACCTAGCACGCCTTTATCTCACTGGCGACCATCGCCAGCTTCATAATGGGAGGGAAGTAGCGAATGCGATAGGGGCGGAGCATTCGATCCCGTGGGTGGAGTTTAGTATTCGTCACGGGCACATGCAGATGATGCGAGAGCTGAGAGCCAGATGGTACGAGCGAGACTATGTTGGAGAAGTCGAGGATGAGAATGATTAGGTATTGCTGCATGAAGCATGTAGAGACCAGAGTTTACACGTTTCCACTAAATTTGAAACCTTCATTCTTGACGAGACCATACATCGAAGATGTCGTTTGGGCGCTCACTTATCTGACCCACAAATGTAGCACTTAATCGATTCAGACAAGGATGCACCCTTCGACCGTGCCAACCACGACACCCCCCTCGGCGCAAGAAACGTTCAACGTTCGTCGTTTCGTGAACGGCACTTCGTTGGCGATTAGTCATTTGAACCACATTACGGCACCAGGCGGAATGTAATGATATTTTATTCATCGTTATAGCTGTGCTATATTCTCTAACTATTTGCAGTTATAGAAGTACGCCCTTTGATAAATCGCAAACTTAATCATAACCGTTGTCGCATCGAGGCCACTTGATTTCTGGCTATCGAAGGATTCTCCGCACCTCCGGTTCATGAGCTACGATCTTGCCGATGCTGCGGCTGTGTCCCATCGCCGTACTTCGTTCCAGAGGCATTGCTAAGGTACGAACCCCAATCGTTCACTCTGAAACCGTCCAGTGAGATCCACGTCTACCATTAAGAGGCATTTGATAGAACATACTGAAAATCCGTCGGGGTGCTCGACCACATCACCGTCCCATTGCCATCCGTGTGGCTCGAACCAATGTCTGACGCGGTCGCCTGCGGAGTCATCGCCATTCCGTTCGTGCCCGTATTCTCGAATCCGGTCATAGCAGAGCCATCTATGCCGATACTTGGGTGCTGCTGCTGCTGCTGCTGCATGAGGTAAAACAAGAAGTGGTCGAATCCATAAGGTACATGCGAGGTCGCAGTTGAGTTGTCGCTACCATCCGCAACAAATTCTTGCGCATGAAAGCCGTTAATTTCACTGGTATCCCCAACATTTGAGGTATCGTAAGCCGCCATGATTGAGGACGGGTCTAGACTAGTGGCGCCAACATCAAGCCACGCTCCAAATGGGTCAAGATCGCCAGAGCGAAGAACGTGTTGCGTTTGAGGGGGCTGCGAGGTCGACAATGCAGTTGCGCCAAGGTTCATTTGATCATTCGCCGTCTGTTGCTGGGACTGATGTTGACGTTGGGGCTGTTCGTTGAAGAGGTGCGTCGTTGACGTAGCCTGAATGAACGATGTTGATGGTGCTTGGATGCTCTGCGTATGCATGTCAGGCTGTACGGTGCTACTCCGCGCAACACGACGCAGCCTTGCGATATTGCGTGGCTCAGATTCAGGCTGTTCAGCTTGCAGGACGGACGCCACAGAGGATAGATCCTCTTCCCGCTCGCGCTTGACCGCTCCCGTCGGCCTTGCTTGCGGAAGCGGAAGGTCGCCCGCGGACGCGAGCTCGTACAAGAGATCCCTACATGAGATGGTTCGCAGATGAGTAAGGCAGGCGGACTTGCACAAGCTAGTCTTAGTTTATACGCACCAAAATTTACCCGCAAAAGGATATCTATTATTATCCGTATAAGCAAAGTCGGTAGTTGGACGCCATAATAGGTACACACCGCCTCTCGCAAAGCTTGAGCACAGCCATGCACTTGTGCACATCCACCATCTCCTTCTCAGGATTGATTACCATTCCGGACCGCTTGCCGCCCCAGATACTGACCAAAAGCACAATACCCGATGTGACGGTTGCGGACTGCAAAGAAAAGTCGCCGTTAGCTCTGAGATATATAAGGGACCAGACAGCAAAAGGTGAGATTGAATGAGAATCGAAGTGGTGCGACGCTCATGATAATGCCCATTGACGTGACCACGTATAAATCCATGAACTACAGCCAGCTGACGTACCTGAATTCCAATGGGGAGCGGGGACATATCCATACCAGCTCGCCGCACGTATCCATCAACGACGTGACAACACGAGCGTGCTGCGTTCGTACATATTGCAAGCGAGGGATAAGATAGCGGCGATGGCTTTCGAGCCGAAGGGATAAATGGACGGTGGACAAGGATCTGCGTATAATAGTAGCCCGCATAAAGTGCACAGGATTGGAGGAGGAAAGTAGGGTCTTGTATGTTTGGGTCCCATCTTACTGTTGGTGACAGGCAGTGAGTGTCGCGAGAGCTTCGTAAAAACGATGATCGCTCACAATGATCTGGGACTGAGTCGATCCACTTGTTCAGCGCAGAATCTAGCTCGGAGACGATATGCTGCTCCCACTTATGTCCGGTAAAGCCAAGCATGACCTTCGACCTGTTGATAGAGTACTTTCGCCCGCTTGCTTATCAGTGCTCCAAGACTACCAGAGCTTTCCAAAGCTTTACTCACGATAGTCCGTAGCGCGAAAGCCAAAACCTGGCCGAGCTCAAGAGCACTGACAAAGTACGCAACGTAAGACGGTTTGCCTGGCGGTTGCTTGAAAGATTGCTCTGGATCTTGATGTTCCCAGTACTCGTCGTCGCAAACAACAGGAAAATCAAGATCATAGCTGCTCGCAAACACGTAAACACAATGTAAGTATCTTCGACGCAAAAGCTTACTCGGTGTCTTGTATCGCACAAGGTCTGCCTAAGCCGGTGCTGTATGCTCGGTCGAGACTAACCAGAATCCTTCACAGAGCACCATAAATATATTAGGGATACGTAGTCACGAGGTCACTTACCAGAAAGCGCGCTTCCAAAGCTCATCCTCAACTGTCGGTTTACGGTTGTACACCTTTCGCCTATGAGCACCAACGTCTTGGGCCAACCTGATGCCGATTCCAACAATTGTCCAACACGCTTGAGGCGTCGACGTCCCCTGTACATAAATCGCGGACAGCTTCACAAATACGTGCCTTAGTATTCGTAGTTCCGGCGTAGGAGTTGGTGGATAAACTTACACAATACACCTGCATATCCTCCAGACACGGTGGTGCCAGCAGCGTCGTTCTCATGATCTGCACCTGCTCAAAATACTGCCGTCCCGCTGAGTGCTCGGTCTCAATCCCCGGAAGCAGCACCCGAGGATCATCACATCCCGGTGAAGCAACCGCGCACACCAGGAGGACGACGGCTCCAAACGCCGAGTCGCGGAGGTGCAACCCATCGGCATATTTGCGCTCGAATGTCGGGCGGTGAAGCACAGGCGTGATAGGATTGTTGTAGGTAAAGTACAGATCGATGAGCTTGCAACACAGGTCGGGCTCTGGGAAGGAGTACTGTGGCTCTTCCATGTTTCTGCCTAGGTTCTCCCACTTGAAACGCAAGGATGGAGTAGATAGAGACGGCCAGTCAACATACAGCAACGCGAAGGATGTCATCGGTAACGTCCGAATGGACTCACCTGACGGGTGCGGAGGAAAGTTGGCTCTTTGCGATAAAAGACATCGAGCATATTCTCTGCTCGATCACCAGTGTGCTCCTTCTTGAGGTCTAGTGCCTGCTGAATGAGCTTTAGTCCGCTCGATTTACCAAAGAACCGATGGCGTGTTGGGTCGATCGCCATTTTGCGGATACTTTCAGTCAGCTTGAGGTCAAGCATATCCACCTCTTCGTCGCTTGACACGGGATCCTCAAGGGTGGGGGACTGATGTCTTGACCCGAGAGTGGATGATCGGTACAGCGGCTGCGACACGGAAGAGGGTGAAGAGGATAGGGCTGTGCCGTGCCCTGTCTGAACGTCATTCCCAGCTTCGTTCCGAAGTTGCTCGGCAACATCGAGATCGGGGCATAACTTCAGATGGTTGAGTCCTACGCTTCCAGCGCTAAAAAAGATGTCACCTTGGAAAACAGTCTCTCCATTTGTTGAAGTCTGCTCTCCAGACTTTCAACGTATCTGCTGTAGGTGAGCTAAACGCACGCGCTTATCACTGAGAATGAATTTCTTACTCTTTCGATACTCGACGTATCTACCATGCATGATAGTAGGCAAGTGATAATAGTAAGTGTTGAATAGACAAAACTTACCTTTCCTGCCTCTACATACGTACACTCCAAATCGTTCATGGAACAGGTCGTGCACTTGCTTCCTAGCATCCGATCTCCGTCACCTAGCATATATATGCGTCTAAAACTGGGGATATCATACACAAACTTCAACTGGGGCACGTACAGCGACCTATGATGGTGTTTGCGTCATTGGAGGAAAATTGGTAAGTGCGGTGAGGTGTAAGATAAGAGTCCCGATGCTTACTCTTCCTGCGCCGACAGACATCACAAGCTCGCTGAACTCTGCGTTTCTTGGCGCTTGTGTGGGACGAAATAGCGGCACTGGTTTCTTCCTCGGACGATGTCATGCGGGTGATGCAGAATAGTCAAAGTTCGATGTTTAGTGCTCCCTGCGGTGTCATTAACTAGGTCAATGATTGCCTTTCGAATGAAATATGCAGACCGCGGATGCGCAGGGGAGCAGCTTTGTGACTCACGAAGCATGTACTGGTAATCAAGGAATAACACTCAGCGTTTCAAGCCTTGAAGTCGTCTGGGGATGTTGAACCAAAGGTTGACCAAAGGCAGAATGGAGGTGGGAGTTACGGTGGTGCCGGCACACAGCACAAGACCTGACGCGTCTCGCGGCAAGAGATTACGTATGCGGATGGCAATCCCGTCTTCTTCGGATATCTTTCGGCGCCTCCGGTGGCAAATCCCGACCCAATCATCTGCGTAGTCCAGTCTGACGCGTCTGCTACGAGTCTTTGCCAGCGAGGGGCTACCACTGCTAAGAACGGAAAACGTACCTATTGCAGGTGAAGACAAACTATCCGTCCCGTTTTTCGTAACGTTCCTTTAGACTGCTGATTGACGATCTCTCATTTTCAAGTTAGAGTAGCGGTTTATTCATATTGGCGCCTTTGGCTGTTCTATCAGCACGTACCCCGCCTCACCTCTGGACTCCCTCGCACAACTACATTTCTCGCTCTCCCCCTTCGTTCTCTAGTACACGTCAAACGCTGCTACCGAAGGAAGCGGTCGCTTGCGGCATTCCCGGCCGCCTTGAGATGCTGGCTAGGATGTCTTTTGCTCCCTCATACCTAGGCCGTCTACATTCACGCAGCGAATCATCGCTTCATGGTAGCGTGCAAAAAGGGTTTCATATCTGCTTTCGAGCAGAAATGTAAGGGGCTCGACGTCCATGTCATGCGCAATGACAGGAAGAACCACTACAGCTATTGTTACAGCAAGATTGCAGAATGGATTCCTCGTTTCAGCAAGCTTGAAAGGCTAACACTCATGGATTCTCATCTCGACGTCCAAGTCTCTACCCTATGGGCCCACTGGAACAGACTTACACACCTTCATATTCAGTTACGGACCTTCCAAGATAGGGAAAAGTTCTACTCCCTCCCAGCGTTACCGACCATGAATGTACTTGTTGCGGAAGAACTTGTTCTCCCTCGAGATACGGAAAGCTTCTTCTTGAAATCCCCTACCCTTACCGACTTCTTCGCCCGACAACCCTGTTCTACGTGGCCTCTTCAACCATTCTCTCATCCCAAGCTCGAACGCGTAGCAGTGCACTGTTCCTCGGCTTATGTCGCCGATTTTATGTCCGCAACGACCTTGCCATCTCTCACGGATCTCGCTGTTTCCAGTATATCATACCATGACTCAAAGATGGAAGACGTACTTAACGGCCTCGTCCATCGCTCGGGGTGCCGGTTGAGACGGCTTAACATCCTCAATGGGTGGTCTCACGAGAAACGGCTATTGGAACAGCACAAGATCAGCAAAGCGTTGGCGATCCCGGTCGTGAACTGTGAACTTGACTGGGACAACATGACGATGATGCACGAGCTGAAGACCGAGTGGTACGAGCGGGAGTATTTCGTGGAACCTAAGCCCTAGAATATCGAAGAATCGGGCGAAGAATGACGTTAACTACTTTACAGTTACGGCGGTTAGAACGACCACTTCCAGTCGAGAGGGTTGTTGTGATAATATTGGATCAATATCTATGTAATTCTGTTGGAGTATCTTGAGGAGACGTCCTTGAGTTGAACTGTCGTTCGCGTGAGATGAGACCGGGTGGTGGTGAAATACAGCATGTGCACCCCGTCCCATGCATATGTCTCAACAGGAGATAGTATAGGACCACGCTGGCTTGCTTCCACGATTTCGAAAAAAGAAGGATTCAACCCGACGGTGAAGCCCAAACCAAACTGCCCTGGTGAAAGACTTATCAATAGCACCAAAGCTACATAGAGGGACATTCAAAGCGGGGCCCCTTGGTGAATCTCCGCTAGCGGTTTCCAAAATCGCCCCAAACTTGGACGCGCTCGACTGATGGCAAGCCTACTCACGGCCCAAGGGCGGTCATCAACTCTTTGATCACATAGCAAAAATATAAAAGGGCTATGGTGTAGCCGAATGACAAGAGTATGGCCTCCACGCCTCCGCTTTACGATTCGCGATCCTGCTGTTGCCATGGCTGGGTTCCGTCATTGTAGTTCGTGCCAGACACACTCCTGAGGTATGCACTCCAGTTGTCCACTCTAGAGCACCCGAATTAGCTCTACGTTCTCTACCAGTGAACGGAAAAGAGAACGTACTCAAAGCCATCAGGGGCATTCGACCATATTGACATCATATCATCGGACGACATGGACTGTGAGGCCTCCATCGCCCTATTCATGCCCACACTCTCATATCCGCCCACAGCAGAGCCCTCGGCCCCGGAAGCTAGTGGCGGCTGAGGCTGCTGCTGCTGCATCAACTGCAACAAGAAGTCATCGATTCCATAAGGCGTATGCGGCGCTTCATTGGAGGATGCAGCATCACCAGCGTTGAGGTCGTGCGTAGAAGGGTCGCCAGCGTTTACTGTCCCAGCGTGCAAGCTATCGTAGGCCGCCATAATAGTTGAAAGGTCTATGCCACTAATATCACCATCGGGCCACGCTTGAAAGCGGTCGTGTCCATTTAAATGAAGGGCGAGTTGCGGTTGCTGAGGTTGTAAAACCGAGGACGCAGCTGTGTCAGATCCCATCTGATCATGTATCGGCAGTGGTATAGAGTGCTGTTGTGTCTGCTGTTGCGACTGCATTTGAGAGTATGCCGTTGGTATAGTCTGACTCCATGAAACGTGCGAGGCTTGGGTGCCCTGTGCCAACACGTGTTGCACACTACCATCACCCGCGACGCGGCTCGAGCCAGCGATAGCGCGTGGCTCAAATTCAAGTTGTCCAGACTGTGGAAGAAGAGCTGCGGAAGGCGTGTCGTCTTCTCGTTCACGCTTGCCTGTTCCTGCCGGCCTTGCTTTTGGAAGCGGAAGATCACCGGCAGACGCAAGCTTGTACAAGACGTCCCTGAAACAAGCACGGAAGTCATGATTAACACGAGCGGGCTTGTATATGCCGTAATAACATTTACGCACCAGCTGTTTCCCGCCCATGGGTACCTAAGTTTATCCGTGTGAGCAGGATTTGTTTAAAAAGTCAAAACAAACACACACCGCCTTTCGCAAAGCTTAAGCATAGCCATGCACTTGTGCACATCCGCCATTTCTTTCTCAGGGTTGATTATAAGCCCGGTCCGCTTCCCGCCCCAGATATTCACCAGCAGTACAATACCTGCTGTGATTGCTGCGGCCTGCAAAGAACAACATTCGTTAGCTGACATAGTATGACACATGAAAAGGTGAAGCTATTCGTGAACAGAAATGCGACCATGACGGTCCATGGCAACACCCGTTGACATGAAGTTCTTCTGCTATAGCCAGCCGACGTACCTGGACTCCAGAGGGGACAAAGAGCATATCTGTATCAGCGCGTCGTACACACGCATCAACGACATGGCTGCATGAGCGTGCCGCGTTCGTGCATATTGCAAGCGAAGGGTATGATAGCGGCGATGGCTTTCGCGGCAAGGGGATAAATGGACGGTGAACAATGATCTGCGTATGATAATAGCTCGCATAGAGTGCACACGATTGGATCAAGAAGATGGGATCTTGTATGTTCGGGTTCCATCGTACTGCGTTCGGGTAACAGAGGATAAGCGATAAGAACAATGGGGCTAGCAACGGCGGACACTGACAATGTTCTGGAACTGAATCAATCCAACTGTTCAACGCAGAGTCAAGCTCGGCGACGATATGCTGCTCCCACTTGTGTCCAACAAAGCCAAGTAAAATCTTGGACCTATTGATAGAGTACTTATCACCGCGACCATTCATTAGCTCCATGCTGTCAATAATTCCCGGAACCATTTCACTCACAATGGTCCGTAGCGCAAAGGCCAATATCTGACTGAGCTTCAGAGCACTGACAAAATATGCGACGGAAGATGGTTTGCCAGGTGGCTGCTTGAACGCTTGATCTGAATTGGCGTGTTCCCAGTACTCGTCGTCACAGACGACGGGAAGATCGACATCAAAACTGCACACAAACGGGTAAGGGTTGTAAAGGTAGCTTAGGCGAGATCTTACTCAGTGTCTTGTATCGCACAAGGCCTGCCTAAGGCGGAGCTATATGCTCGATCGAGACTGACTAGAATCCTTTACAGAACGCCGTTAATGAGGAAAACGTAGACTCGAGGGAACGTACCAGAATGCTCGCTTCCATAGCTCATCCTCGACTGTTGGTCTACGACCGTAAACCTTTCGTCTATGAGCACCGACCTCCTGGGCCAGCCTGATACCAACCCCGACGATTGTCCAGCACGATTGAGGCGTCCACGTCCCTTGTACATAAAATGCGGACAACTTTACGAACGCATGTCTGAGTGAGTATACTGGTTTATTATAGAGGTTAGCGGAGAAGCTTACACAATACACCTGCATATCCTCTAGGCAAGGTGGCCCCAACAGCGCCTTCTTCATAATCTGCACCTGCTCAAAGTATTGCCACCCTGCCGAGTATTCGATAGGAGATCCGGGCGGTAGTACCCGAGGGTCATCGCAGCCCGGTGCGGCAACCGCGCATACCAGGAGGACAACAGCTCCAAATGCCGTGTCACGAAGGTGCAAGCCACTGGCATACTTGCGCTCGAATGTCGGGCGGTGGAGCACAGGTGCGATGAGGTTATTATGGGTAAAGTACAGATCGACAAGCGTTCGGCACAGATCGGGCTCTGGGAAGGTATACGACGCAGCTTCCCTATTCTTGCCTTGTGTGTGCCGCTTGGTGTTTGAAGTGGGAACGAAGCATGTAGAAAGGGGCCTAGTCAACACGTACCGTAGATATCGGCGGAGGATAACGCACCTGGGGGGTATCGATGGACTTCGGTACATCGCGATAGAAAATGTCGAGCATATTCTCTGCCTGATCACCTGTATGCTCGTTCTTGAGGTCCAACGCCTGCTGGATAAGCGTTATTCCGCTCGATTTACCAAAGAAGCGATGTCGGGTCGGGTCGATTGTCATTTTCCGGATACTTTCGCTCAGCTTCAGTTCAAATTTATCCACCTCTTCGTCGCTGGACACGGGCTCTTCGGGTGTCGGGGTCTGGTTTCCCGAGCCGAGAGTGGGTGATCTGTACAACATATGCGAAGCGAGGGCGGATGAGGACGAATGAGATGCGTCATGCCTCGTCGGTGCGTCATTGTTATCGCCTTCCTTCAGAAGCAACTCGGCGATGTTGACATCGGGACAGAACTTTTCGCGAGTGAATACCACATACTGCATCCATTGAAGCCGAGCTCACCTGGGAGAAAAGTCTTTCCATCTGTTCTAATCTCTTCTCCAGGCTTTCAACGTATCTAAATCGAAGGTGAGATCGGGCTAGCCAACGCGCGCAAGTCGATCTTACTCTCTTGAGATTCGGCGTATCTATGTTATACATCAGGAGAGTGCGCATTGAGCATCCGGTAACCAGGAGTCTCACCTTTCCTGCTTCTACATATGTGCACTCAAAGTCGTTCGTTGAACAGACTGTGCATTTGCGTCCTGACAGTCGATCTCCGTCACCTTGTGCATATATGCGCTTGAATGATGGGTACTGAGAGAACGTTGCAAACAGGATACTTACAGCGATCTGTGAAAATAGTTATATCATCAGAATGAAATGAATAGATATCGATACGGCGATATAGGATCGAGGGTCAAATGCCTACTTTTTCGTCGACGACAGACATCGCAAGCTCTTTGAAGTCTGGGTTTCTTGCCTGTGCGCGAGTTAGCGATATAGACATCTTCTCCCGTTGACATTGTGTGTTGAATGAGTCTAGTTCAAGTCTCGAGGTTTGATGTTTCAAGCGTTGATGTTTGCCTTTTCGATGATTTGAGATTTGTGGAAGGTTGATTGAGAGAGCGAGGATGTGATTAGATGTGACTTATCACGTTTGATTTACACATCAAAGCGCAACACGCTAAATTTCCTAGTCTCGAAGCCGCCAAGAGGGGTTGAGTCAAAGGTCGAAGGGAAGTGACAGTTGTAACAAGCCCGACGCGGACGCGTCTTGCAGCAAGTAGCTTATGACTCAGCGCGACGGACCAACCCAGACTTCTCGGACTCGGATATCGTACCGGTAGCGCCGGTTGTCTCTACGCCCGAAGGGCGCATCTGAGTGGCCTACAATACATTGGTTCGTGTTCATAATCGGTAAAGCGTTGGCGGTGCCGGTAGTGAAACCTGGCGATGTAGCACGAGGCAAAGACTGTCTAGTATGAGCGGGAGTACATATCCTATATTATATGTGCTAGATCCTGATTTCAAGTTTCAACCACTGATACTAACAGCTTTCACGACTACGGGCAGTGCATTTGAACATCTACCTCCAGCCTGAAGGATTGTTGTGAGTTTGAAGGACTCCAAGGATAGTCAGAAAACGAGGTTCTTGAGTTGAATTATCAATTACGTGCGATGAACCAGGCGACGTTAGCTTTAGGCTAAGAGGTATGTGCAGGTCTCGACTCTCGCAGCACGCGCACCTAGGCCAACGCGTGGTTTCAGGAGATAACGTGAGATCACACTGGTCTACTCTCATGCTTTCGAAGGAAGAACAATTCGACCTAACCGTGATCAATCAAACAACATGTCAGAAACATGAGAGTTGCACAGAGGAGAAGCCAGCGCGTGTGGAGCCTGTATTGAATCTCCGTCGGGAGTTTCCGGAATCACACAACACAAACGCGCCTTGAATTGGTGATGCGCCTACTCTGGTCTCCCAATAGCGGCCGTCAACTGTTTGTTCACATCCCATAACAGATGCTGTCTTTTGCGACCGTGTCCGTGAAAGAGAATAGCGAAAACGCTAGACTGCGTAACATTGCACGATGAATGGGGTGTTCTGGACATCCAGCCGCAACGTGTCACATAAATCCGCGGCTAACCATATGCGCCTCGCAACATAAGTACGTGCGCGTTCGCTCTTCTTTTTGTCAATCCCTTGACCTCCACCTACTCGAAATATCTCCCCAATATCTGCAGGCTATGTCACTTACCTCCACTATTGTCCGCAGAGAAGAAAACACCTCTGGAACGAGCAGACCCACAATCGGAAAGGACGTAGGTCGCACACTATCTTTGCCGTTCATATCGCGTTCTCATAAGCACCAACGGCTCTTCAGGTCTCCGCCACAGCATCCAGTTTGGATCCCGAAATCACTCGAAGCAATGTTTTCAAAGCGCTCATCGATTCTGTAGGCGTCGATCATTGTCAGGCTATGAGGTATTTTCTGACCGGGGCACCATGTTTGCGGCCGTATTTAGCTTCCATCGGTTAGACAAAAGATACATGTGAGGCGCATCAACCTTTTGCCCTACGCATCAAGCTTATGTCTTCGGCGTTATGCGCCTCGCAGCATGCACTCAGCTCTCATGCCGCCGCGTCCCTTGAGGCTGGTGACCTCCGCCGCTTCTTGAATGACGCGTCTCTCATGATCAGGGACATGGAATACGCTGTTTCGTCACTGAATGGCCTCGAGGACTCAGGACACACCTCCACACGCTACCTTTCTGCTGTGGGACGCGTTCCCGTCGAAATCTTGACCGAGATCTTTCTCTTGGCGCGGACCCGTCCGCAGTTGTCACACCCTGCAGTAAAGCAGGGATTTCACGCCTCTTGGAACGTGGCACAGGTGTGCAGGTACTGGCGGGACATTGCATTGGACATGCCGCAGCTATGGAACATTGTGCACGTTCGAGGGACATCGGAGACACTCGGCTGGGGCAGGCGGGGACCGGACGAGATGCTTTCTAGGACGCGTTCCGCAATTCCACATCTCGTCGTTGACCTTCGGCAAGCACCGACGGAGCTCTTGCAGAGGTGCATCTCGGGAAGGTTGTCTGCGTTTGAGTCAAGGTGTAGAGGTGTTGATCTCTGCGCCTTCTCCGGCGACCTGAGCAATCGCACCTCTTTCCGGTATAGCAACGCGCGTGTATGGCTCGCACGGTTCAGGCAGCTGGAGCGGCTCACGTTGGTAGGCTGCCAGTTGGACGTAGACCCCGTTTGTCTGTCCGTAGACTGGCAGAGGCTGACGCACCTCCACGTACACCTGCAAGCAGGCAGAGATGTGAACACCTTCCTCTCGGTTTCTCAGCTGCCGAACTTGTGTGTCCTCGTCCTCGACTGCTATGGCGTGTTTCTGGACGGCCCGTCCCTCTTCGCCAACTACCCCAACCTCGCCGACTTCTTCCTGTACGGCGCCGTTTTTTGGCACTCACGTCAGTTCACACACGAGCGTCTCGAGCGCGTATGCATCGACCCGTCGCGTTATGGTTCTGACCGCCACGCCGGAGGCTTCTTGGACGTGGCGACACTCCCTTCTCTCACCGAGCTCGCTATACCGTATAATAGTACTGCAGAAGGGCATTTGACGGGTCTGCTACGCCGTTCGGAGTGTCAGCTGAATCGGCTACAACTCATAGGCAGCAGCGAACAAGAGGACGAATGCTGCGAGACACCAGCAAGGGAGATGGGAGAGAGGTTGAAGATTCCTGAAGTCGAGTACGACGTTCGGTGTGGAGACACGGAGATGATGCGAGAGCTGAGGGCCAAGTGGTACGAACGTGAGTACGAGTTATTGGACGATGAGCTCTGATTACTTTAGAATGGTCATAATCATAGATACCATAGATGAGTCATAGTCTTCGATGTGCTGCTGCCCACGGGGGTCCTACAGCCTGCCATGCGTTAATCACAGATGCCTCCGCTCGATTCTATTTATTAAATGCGTACTAGTTCGGATAGCACATGCACCGAGTTGATATACAGCGCATGTACAGTACTTGGTCCTTGATGTGGGATATAAATGAAGTCTCTTTCTCCAACGTGTAGTTAGCAAACGCTGGATGATACACGACGTCACCTACTCGGGGTTCGGTCTTGAAAACATAGGCCTAACTGCCGCTGTCCTGGTGAGGTGACATAGTATCTACTACTCAATTGGCATTTAGGTCAGCCAACGCCCCTTCACCGTTTGCATGGAGCTATGGGTAAGCCTTGACAGGCCTGTTCCTTAGACTATTTTTTGTTGGTATTATGGCAGGAGACGCAACACATGACCTCATAATGAGGTTTTAGAAGGTAAACGCACCATATGTCGATGCTATTCTGTGGGTGCAGTCCTTCCAGTACTCATCATTGCTTCATTGCTCACGACATCTAAGCCTAGGCCGTAGCCTGGCTTTTACCTTCGGCTGACGCAGAAATTCCTTACAGAGCCCAGATGCTGAGGTTATCGATGGAGGTGCCTCAGATTCGGACTGTCCACAGAGTAATCGAGTCACAGTATGTGCTCATCGCCTTCTATTTAGTTCATCATTGCATAACCCTTGAAAGGCTGGTGTCAGACATGACGTCACGGGCTGGGACCCAGAGCAACTTTATACCGAGATTCGTGTTGATATGACCCAGATATACTACGAGCTACTGACGGATTTCCTACGTAAGTGGCAGCATGCGATCCTTCAGTTCCATATATCAAATTTCACGCGGACGACGCGATAAGCCTGAGTGTCGCAAGTGGACAAGTCGTGCATGTGTATACCGGCAGGCGCCATATGCATCGCAATCCTTCGATGAGTACCCGGATAGGACTTAACAAGTCTTCTCAGGCAGTGTGCGAATAAACGAGGATAAGTACAACCTAGGACTTATCCGGCGCTTATCAGGAGAGGTTGTCAAATATGGACCCATGCGGCTGAAACAGCGGCTGGGATTGCCCAAAAAATACGCGCCAGTGTGGACTGCACACTGAAACTGTACTACCGATATCAGCGAAGTGCCAGACAGCGGCGTACCTGGCTCCGCTTGATGAACTGAGATACTACTGCTTTGATCTTTGTGGCTGCGTTTCTCGTTCTCTGTTTTTGCTCATGTTTCATTGTTGCGATCATGATGGAACCGAACTATGGCGCCGTGCACCATACGCTTTTTGTCGAAGTGTACTCCAACGCTTCTCTAGTAGAGTTAAGCACAATAAGGCAAAACTTGGGCAAAGCCGACATTACTGTATCAACGTGTCGTGCGAGTCCCATTGCCATGAGACTCGTGTCCACTAATCCGTTGGGGATCCACCACTGGGGGTCGCCGGAACCAGCAGCACCGTGGCAGACCGTGGCACGGTTTCCACACCGCATGTCAGGTCCGCGGCATGTTGACAGTTGCGTCGGGACCAAAATCCAAAACTCAAAAGTGTGGGGCCCCGCATGCAGAAGCGTATTTAGCTGATGGGCCGATCATTCCCCACGGTTCGTTCCGCGTGGATGTCAGTGCGGAGTCCCTGCTCCGTCCCAGCGCTGTCACTTCGCCCTGCTTCTTCGGAGTGTCCGCAACAGTTCCGAGGTCAAGGAAGGGACGTAACGTGATGAGCTAGGGCGAGCTGCACGACAGACATGGCATGCTAAGCTAACTTACCAGCAGAAACACAGGAAGAGACGGTTCAGCAACGCATTAGCGCAAGGCCGTGGGCTCCTTAATGTCCATACGCATTAATGGACGTTCACCGCTCCAAAATGCAGGTCCAATGACCGAGGATTAAAAGTAGGCACGGAGCACGGTTGCCTACCCTACATCCAGACGCTTCATGTATGTTCCGAAGTCTTCGGCTGTGCTGGCAGACAACGTGAAACGACCAACGTGTGCATCCTTACGAAAGGTGCTAGACGAACGTTATACACCTCCTGCTGCATTGCCCCTTTGATAGAGGTGACGCTTAACAATGGGGTATATCGACACATATCGTACTAAGCAGGCTTTTGGCTCGGTTGCAGGTCTCTGCCCTCTCTCGCATGCATGTTACATACAACGGGCGCCTTGAGATACGTTACTCGTGGTCGCTGACAGGGCGATGTGGCGTTGAGCTTGAGCGCGCCAACCCATCCAATCAAGTGGCCACGGTATTAGCCGCTCCATTTCGACAAGGAGCGAATTAGAAGGTGGCGGTTTCACTTATGGAACTCGCCGGATGTGCTCCAGATCCAATTGCAACTTACAGCGAAGCCGCGCCCATGTGGTTGGTGTTCGCCGATATGAACCTCGATCGAAGACCGCCCCACCAAGATGTGCATTCCTTTTCATCCTCCTTTGTGCGTAGCGTATCTCTGGTGCTAAAGGAAACTTGGTTTCTAATAAATCTGGGGTTGGATTCCAAACGCGTAGTTGATCCGCTGAGCATTGCATCGGGTTACTTGTGGCGGAGGACGATCATCGTGGCTTCTTCGATAATTCTGGCCCTGTTTGCGAACTTCCCTCTCTGGCTTCGGAGCAGCCGACTTCGATGCTCGAGCCTCTGGTTGTTATTTCGAAGCCGCGAAGGTGCAAAGCGGGATGCTCGGCTGGGTTTGACATTCTATAAAACGTGCTGCAGGACAGCGCTGGTCCGCCTTTCGTCCATCTGGACGTTACGTTCCTCTCTGCGGGGAGCTCCAGACCCGTTTCAAAACCCAAAATTTCCTGCATTCATTTGTGCTCGGGCGAAACTCCCAACCGCCAGGACACGTTTTCTCAAGTGGCGACGTACGTAAATTATCGAGGCGTCATGGAGACCTTGGAATACTTTGAATGGACGAGTGAATGCCAGAACGATGGTTTGTTATCATTTTGGTGTGGTGCGTGTATTCGTGTTGGAGTTGACCCGTAGATGCGGCTCCGGTTTACAGGAGGCTTTCATCACGATGTGGTCACGGCCGATAATATTCACCGCTGCCAGCAAGAGGCGTTTTCTGCTCGTCCTAGCTGGGATGATCATACACCATGCGATAGTCCCGCATATGAACGAGACCTAGTTGGTGACCTTTGTCACCTCGATAACGCTAGCATTGTGCTAACAAAAACGTCATACGAACGCATTGCAGTGCTCCAATTACGCTTGCTGTGGTCTCGCCCTAGCAGACCTGCACCAGCTGATCGATCACTTCGAGGCGGCGCACGTCCTTGTGATCGATGCAGAGGGGCAACCGATACACCCAGTAGAACCTATTGCTTCTGGGCGCTCGCTCTTGTTTCCTGGCCCACCCGTGAACGCTACATGTTCCGCCGTGGACAGCGCGGCCCCGGATTTAACAGCGTCGGCGGAGGTCTCTCCATCTGTTCCTGTTCCTGCGTCTTTGTCTGGGACTCGTGACGTCGACGGCCTCCATCGCGGACACAAGAGAACGCAGTATGATTCAGGTACGGACAGTGGGACCTCGACTCCTGCGGATGGCTGGGCCTGTCAGTGGACGCCGCAAGGTCATTGGTCGGGCTCGGATGCGGCTCCGAGTCCTGAGGGGACGACGGGGACGGAAGCAAATTTTGTCGACGTCGGCCAATCGCCAAGCTGTCTGCCGCCCGCGCTTACGACGCGGATCGCCGGACGGCGACAGCGCGATGTCGGCAGCATCAGCAAGCCTGTTGCTCGTGGTCATGGTCATGCACCGTCACGCATGTCCGGTTCTCGCGCCGGTGACGAGCGAGCACGTCAGCGCGCACGCCAGAAGATCGGGAAAGACAAGGTGTATAGGTGTCCGGTGAGTTTGGTCGATACGTTATTCGGAGGCTGGCTCACGAATGAGGCTTTTGGCTTTGCGTCGGCGTAGCACCCGGGATGCACAAAGGTGAGTTTCCAGGATGCATGGCCGTGCTTCTAACCAGTAGTTCTTTGCTTTTCTGTAGGTATACGCCAATCCGGGTGGACTGAAATATCATCTCGAGCGAGGCAGGTGTCAACTCGAGACGTTTCCTCAAATGTGCCAGCGAGCGTCGAGCGAACTTGAGACGTGTCAGCAGCGCCTCACGACGAGAACAAGGTCGATTGAAGTGAGGGGCTAAGTTGTAACGGTCTGTCGCAGGTGATGGGGCGCGTAATTGAGAGGCAAGGCGAGCTTGGCGGGAGGCGATGATATGACTGTCATGGTGAACCTTGTGTCTGACAGGCGGCGTCAATCCGGGGGAGATGACCAAGGCACGAGACATGGGTCCGCGGCGGCTGATTATAAGACGTTCTATGTAAGAAGGCCAGGGCGAGCCAAAGGGAGTTTAGAGGTCTCGCTGGTGAATAGCAGCTTATGGTAGATTTGACACACGCGCAGGAGGTTTATACAGTTCTTTCCACGGCTGTGGGTGATAAGTACGCAAAACGGAAAGCCGCGAGGAGATCCGAACGGCGGTCGAGGCGTATGTGTCATATTTTACCTTGCTGGACAATCAGCAGGAACGTACGGGTCTCCGAGATGAAAGTGAAGAGAACAAGAAAAGATATATTTTAAATATGATTGGTGGGGTGTATCGGGCGGAAATGATGTTTCATCTGACAAGGACAGAGGCCGGGGCCAGACGAACGGGCAGCAGGGCTGGCGAGGACGTTGTTGGATAACAAGGCGCATGTATGGTGCATGTGATCAACTGGATACCGATGCGGTGCTAGACTTTTTATGTGTATTTGGTTCCGTTATCGAGGGTGCCGAGGGTGCCGATGGGTTGCGAATGTTGGAGGTAAATCATGGGCGAGGGGGTATAAGTTTGAGACGAGTGGGTGCTGCGGAATCTGGGTGAATCTTGGAATTGGCCAGTAAGAAGAGGGCCAACGCATGGTGCGGGGGAGGACGGTGTTGCTAAGCCGGTAAATCGGGAGGAACAGGGACCGGGGAAGGGGGGAATTATGTAATTGAAGGAGCGTTAGTGGGGCAGGGCGGGTGGGTAATAAATGCGATATAGTGAAAATAATTATGTAATTGTTCGTGTTGAGATCGGGCCGGGTGAGATTGACGGGGCTGGTGGTTGGTCACGTCGAGCAACAGACGGCCTTTGGCTCTTCTCCCATCCCCTCCTCGCACAGGCGAGTGAAATCCACTCCCTTGCCCGTCCCTCCCCTCGCGCTACCTCTGTGTCGCGCCCAGCAACAGCGGTCTTACGCACCGCCCCTGTTAGGCGTGGTCGGCGAGGAACAAGAGCGAGCGCGGCGCTATCGCAGGAGACACTGCCCGTCACAGACCTGGGCTCTTGACCTCCGATCGTGCTTCTTTGCCATCCCCAGCGGACCCGACTTTGCTCCCATCCTTCTGTGATCCCCTTACCCCGCAGTGGCGCGGCCTCTTCCCTTTTATTTCCTATCCGCCAGCCTCTCTCTTCTTGACACCTCCCCCGCGAACACGCCATGCTGGCGAATTTCCCCGCACCTGTCTTGGCCGTCGCTGCCGACGCTGTCCGCGACCTCGAGGGCCAGGACGCCCTCTGCTCCCTCTGGTCACGTACGTTTTTTCGCTCCCTTTTCGTTCTGAGTGACAAACTCATTGTTATGGACAGTGTTCACGAGATGCAAAGACTCCCTCCAAGACGGTCGACGCCTCGAAAACCTCTCTTGGCGGATATGGTACCGCGAGCTCTCCCAAGCCCACCCCTCCTACGCTCCTCTCACCCCGGACTCGCCACCACCGTACGCTTCCTCTAGCCGCAAGTCTGCCTCCCCGTTTTTCGCCGTGGTCAACGGCAGTGATCCTGAGAAGAAGGCACTTGCCGAAGGTGCGTTGCTCAGACCTGCCTCGTCACCCGTCGGCGGTTACTTACTGTTCCTCGCTATCTACAGAGCTCGCATCATCCCGGCGATTCCCTCCCTCGCCGACGCTGACAGCTGAACCCCACGAAGACGCCGATCGATCGCCGATCTCACCCCTCCGTGCCCGTGGTGGTGCTCAGTCCGCCGCTTCTTTGACGTCGGACCAGCTGTCTTACGGCGCCACTGCCTCCATCCCTCACCCCGCTTCCCCCTCGGCATCTGGCCCTGGCCGGCCTCCCCGCGTGGGCTCATTCGTTGGCAGCATCCTCATTGATATGCTGCCCAATACTGTAACCCTACCCCCAAAGCCCTCTCCCGCTTTCCTCTCCTCGTCCAAATTCCACACACGCAAGTCCTCGGCAGAGACCAGCGCCCCATCATGCAGCCCACCTACCCCGCCTCCCCAAATCGATATCCCCGAGATGCCCATCGTGCAGCTTCCTTCGACACCGAGCTCGGATACCGATACGACCATGGCATTCCCCAAGGTCGTCGTCGTTAACCCGACGCCCCATCCAACACCACCAATGACGCCTATTCTGCGGAGTGATGATAACCCGAACGCTCCGGCGCCACCACAGTCCACGTTCCTCCTCCCACCATCCCCCGCAGCCGCACTATCCGCTTCAAAGATAGCCCCTTCCGCGGAGCGCTCGGACGCGATCTCCTCCCGGCCTTCGCACCAGCCACATCAGGCCCAGGGTTCTCGAGAGCCCGCCCAGCAGCAAAAAAGTCAACCGCATGCGCAGTTACATCCGCTATCGACGCTCTCGCCTGCCCAGGCGCCAGAGTCGTTGTCGCGCTTGGACGCGGGGCGCTCTCCGGGCCTCTTTTTCCTCAAGCACTCGCCTGACGACGTCTCGCCTGACCGGGAGAGTTCGACGACGAGCAAGTCGCCTTCGGACAGATACGAGGCGAGTAGCGGAGGCTCGGGGTCGAGCGCGATCATGATGCAGCGGCACGCTGCTTCTATGGCCGCCAAAGATATGGCGGTGGTTGCACCCGACGTGCCGCTTCACGACGAGCCGGAGACGATGGAGGAGGATGCCGACGATAACGATGACGCGGTGTCGGTCGCTGCGTCCAACGCACCGTCGAGGGGGCCGTCGAGAGCCGGTGGACGGATACGCAAAGCAGGTGGAGGGAAGGCGGGCATTGTGAGGCCGGCGATGGCGCGGAGGGCGCACTCGTCGCGCTTCATACCTCCGAGCTTGCAGCGGAGATCGTCGACACATTCGGAGACGGCGGTGGTGGCGAAGCAGGAGAAGGAGAAGGAGAAGGAGAAGGAGGGCAGGACAACACCCCGGGCGGCATCGAGCAGCAATCTCGTCGCGAACGATTTCAAGGCGCCGCAGATGAAGAGAGCCGCACAGTCGTCGATGCAGCTCGCACCGAAGCTATCGGCATTGACGATGACGGCGCCCAACGCATCGACAACAACGTCGGGGCCGTCGGCTGCGAAGCCCATCGAGCCCTCCCCATTGGCCGTCCTTCCTCCTGTCGTTGTTGCCCCTGAACCTCCAACACTCGTCGAAACCCCACCCCTATCTCAACCTCCGCCCGTCGCTCAACCTGCTGCCGTTGATGACGCAACAGCCCAGGTACAGGTACAGGCCCAGGCACCCAACGGTCTCCAGGGCCGGAGGGTTGTAGTCGCCCAGACTTCTTCGGAAGACTACGAGACCACCACAGACGTGGAGGAGTCCGACTGGGCGTCGGACGAGGTCGAGGTGGACGGCGACGCCGATATCCCCGTCGTAGCAGCCGCGCCTGCTATCGTCCGGTCGACATCGCGGGGTGGCAGGTCGAACAGGCTCGCTGAGCAGTTCAGGATGACGCGTGCAGCGGAGCGAGAGAAGGCAGAACGGGCGCGTGCGGAGGAGACGCGGCTGCGCGAGGCGGCCCTCGAAGCGCAGCGACAGCGGGAGATGTTCCAGAAGGTGCCGAAACGGTCGTACTCGAACCTCAACCGGTCGAGGTCGGGCTTGCTCTCGCAGCTAATGAACCCGGACCCGACGATCTTCCCGCCGAGCCATCCGTACCGCCAGAGTCGGTCTGCGCAAGACATGTCGAAGATGCGGAGCGGACTTCAGCCGATGACTGCGCACACTTCAGCGCAGGCCAACGGGCGTGCACCGCAGACACCGAGTGGGAGTGGCTTGCAAGCTGGTGCTGTACCTGCACCGTCGCGGATGCAGACGAGCAAGAGCGCTGCGGCGGTGCCGACGCAGGTGAACGCGACTGTCACGGTCAAGTCACCGCTTTCGAACGGCATCGTCGCGGGGGTGCCCGAGAAGCCCGCCCCGCCGCGAAATGCACAGGCACAGCCGCTCGACAAGCTACGGGAGAAGGAGCGGGAGAAGGCCGCTGCGGGCGGGTATCGGCCCAAGGGTCGGCCAACGGAGGTCGAGATGGAGATGGAGGAGTCGGACGACGAGGATGCGCAGGGTCAAGACGACAAGATTCAGATGTCGGAGAGCATCGCGCAACAAAAACTCGCTGCTCTTGCCTCGAAGCGCGCGCCTGGGCCCAAGACGGGTAACACCTCCACGAACCACCGGCAACATGCCACGGACGGTGCGGGTGCAAAGCGCGCGACGCCATCGCTCGCGCAGCAGGTTGCCCAGGCCGCGATGCCCATGTTCGCGATGCAGAAGGCGACCGCGTCCGCTGCGCAGCCCACCGCCGGGACGACACACACGACCGCGACGGCGGTGCCGGTGCCGCAGCCGATCCCCATGGGCCACCCGTACAATTTCCCGGTGTACGCGCTGCCGATGACGCCGCGCACGACGCGTCGCCAGATGCTCAAGACGGAGTTGTCGGAGTCACTTCGCCGCCAGCTGCTCTGGGAGCGGCAGGTGAGCAACCAGAATCTGGTTGGCGCGCGCCGGTCGAGTCATAATGGCGCGCTCGGGGGCGGGGTTGCGCCGATGACGGCGGTGAGGTCGGAGGGGCAGGTGCAGGCTCGGGGCCAGGGCCAGGGCCAGGGCCAGAGTCAAGCTCAAGGCCAAGTTCAAGGTCAGAACCAGCAGCGGCAGGGCGGTGGTCAGGGCCAGACGGGGCAGGGAGAGGGCGCGGCGAGGAGTGCAGAGGAGGAGAGTCGGGAGGCGAGGAGGCGGGCTGCGTTCGCGCGGAATAGGAGTTGGGCGAACGATTACCACTATGCGGGGTGGTGATCGTCGTTGAGCGTTTTGCGATTCTCTCTCCCTTGCTCTCGCGGTCCTCTGTTGTTGGTTCGTGACGTCGGCGGTGGTGGTAATGGTGGATGTGCCGGAGGCCGCGATTCGAAAAGGGGAGGGGAGGAGGAGGAAGTGTTTGCGCATTGGTGTGCGGCTAGTTTTTTTTTCTCGTGTTGCTGCTGTTGCGGATCAACGTTTTCTGGCTCTCATGCACGGGTTGTGTTGCATATGTTATCGGGTTTGCTATCCATCCATCCCATTCCGTTCCTTTTCCCGTCTCGTTTTCTCTCCCTCCGTTTTCACTTATGTCTTGCTCTTTCTTTGCTCTTTTCTCTGTGTCATATGTCTGTATTAGCGTTGTCGCCGAGTGCTCTCCGGAGTATGGTGGGTTCAGCATGCATGCAAGGCACCGCCTACTCGGTATTGCCATGTCCGGGCCTGGAGCGCCGATCGTCAAATTTCGCCATCGGATTCGTCTATTCACCCTGGTCGTTACTGCCGACATCATCGCCTCGCAGGAACGTTCTCGCTTGATGCTTTATCCCCGGTCCACTTGCGTGCACGCACCTCATACCATCATCTCATCCCGAGCTCATCCTCCACTGTCACCACCCACCTTACGTGCCTTTAATCCACGTTACTCTGCTGTGTACACAATCCTCGACTGCCGATGCCCACGGCACGGGCACGGCATCTTCCAATACCCTCTCGTCGTCTTTTTTTCCTCGTTCATTGTCATATTGCGTCCCGTCTGCCCGTATTACGCTCTGTACCACCACCCATCACCACTGCCCGTCTGTTGCATTAGCTAGTACATAACACCCATAATGTCTTTCTGTTTGTCTGTCTCGTCGCGCACTCGCACTCGCATTCGCATTCGCATCATCTTGCTTGTCTTGCATCGTATCCGCAGTACCGGTCCGCATGTTCAAGTACTTTGGCTTTGTCTTGTGTTGTGTTGCTGCTCGTGTGTCTGTCTGTCTGCCCATTTCATCATGCATTGTCACTTGTTATTGGTAGTTTGCGTCTAATACTTTTCCTCATTGTACGAGCGTCTGCTTGCCTTGTGGATATGGTCAATGAGAGTTGACTGTTGTACATTTGTATTATTTATGTCATCGTGTTTGTTGTCCGGTTGGACAATGTTTTTGTGTGTGCGTAGATTTTAATGTGACGTGCCAGCTGTGTGGTTAGGATGCGTGAACTTCAAATGTATGCTTTACGACTCGTTTCATTGAACGAAGCGACGCTGCGTTGGCTACCTGGCTCGAAGTTGTTAACTTATACCATCTATTCATCAACGTCTTCAACCTCCATAGCATAGTCCCATTCATACCACTCAGCTCTCATTTCCCGCACCATCTTTGAGTCCTCAAAAAAGGTGTCATACCTCACTTCCGGGACCCCGAGCCTTTGTCCGACTTTGTGAACGAGAGCAAAGTCTCTCTGGCGCGTGTGGTCCTGGTCATAAATGGTCCCAGCGGAATGGAGAAAGGTTAAGCGGCAGTTTGAACGACGCAATAGTCCTTCTAGGTGGGGCACCATTTTTTCGTCAAGCTGTACGGCCAGCCCGGTCAGGGAAGGAAGCGTAGCCGCGGACAAGAACGTCTCGTTGTCTCTCCGCGCAAAGCGGGAGGAAAGACCAATGCACACACGTTTGAGCTGATCATGCGAGAAAGGAATCTGCGTCCAAACGACGTTACCAATAAGGAAAAAATCGGTGAGGTTTGGGAGCCTTGAGAAGAAAGTCTTGGGGTTTAACTCGGTATGAGAGCCATACCACGCGAAAAAGAGGACCTTCAAGGTGGGGATGGATACGGAGAGGAAGTTTGTCGTTGACCCTCCCACTTCTGTTTGGAGGTGCAAATGCGTCAAGTTGCGCCACTCGGTACACAGGTCTGCGGGCGGGATGCTGATTTCACAGTTTCTGAGCGTGAGCCGTTCTAGTTGGCTAAAGCGTGCCAGAAACCCGCTGCTAATCGTGCAGAAGACGTGTTCGTAGTACTTGTACTCCACAGGCGCGTAAATGTCCAGGCCTTTACACCTTGATTCGAAAGCTGAAAGCCTCCCTTTCTTGCATTCTTGTAGGAACGGATTTCCTTCATCTGAGAGACCGATAACGAGATAGGGTGACAAAGGAGCCGCCCGAGACAACATCTCCAGCTGCTCGTCGATCCCTTGATCAAAAGCCGTTTTCCCGTGAAAATGAATGATATTCCATAGTCGCGGCATACCCAGAGCAATGTCCCGCCAGCGCCGGCAGACCTGCGCCACGTTAAAGTAGACATGGAAACCGGCTGCAACCAAGGCGCTGGCCAGTCGTTTGCGAGGCCGAGCTAGGTAGAAGATTTTGGATAGGATCTCGGTAGGCATGCGGCCGACGGCGGAGATGAGCCTCGATGGAGTGCGTCTGGCATCCTCTAGGTGATTCTTGAGGTCGGCCAGATAAGCTAGCGTGTAATCTAGATCGCTGATCATCGAAGTCGTGTCCTGAACAAAATGACAAATGTTGGTGGTCTCCTCCATCGAGAAGGTGCCAGAGTTTTTGCGATCAAGGGACGCATACGCATTTGTTTCGACGACACGCTGTGCTATCGTTCAACCGGGTGCGCCAGATGATCGAAACCTTGAACTCCTACCTGAACCTTGGCTTTAACCAACGGAAGCTATGTGCGGATACAGATAAGCCAGGTCAGAGAACACACAACCATCGACGATGGAACGAAGGGTACATACGATGTTAGCTAGTTCTCCAAAAACCTGAATAGGTTGATGACCATCGCAAAGGGGATCCAGACTCAGAGTGAGTGACGAGGATAGCTGAGACCGGGTTTGGGAACACATCAAGCGGTGTAATGAGCCGAAGGGGCGCGACGTACGTTCAGTTCAGTCATGGCTCACTACTTCCGGAGATCTATCTGAGTCTTAAGAGTGTTCGTATCGAACGGAGGGGCAGAGAGAAAAGTGCGATGGTGGATGATGGACGCGACGCGTGGGAGACACGGAACATTATCCGAGAACCACGGAATTGGTAGCCGTGTTCATACGTAAGCAGTTTGCCGAGACGCGTCAGGTTTGCGCTGCACTGGTTATCACTTTGACTACCACTTCCCCTCTACCTTGGCTCCACCTCTCCTGGCGCAGTTGAGCCTACTGGAACCTTGATTTGCTGTTCTGGTGCGTGAATCAAACGTCGTGTATCACGAATAACAATCTCGCTTCCCTGTGTTACCGCCATTTCCATATTTCACCGGAAAGGCAATCATACCGAACGTCAAGCCTCACTTTAACTTCAGTCATCTGCACAATGTCATCGGATGAAGATAATGGCGTCGGGGTTTCAACCACGTATGTGAAGAAACGTAAAGTTCAGAGAGCTTGCGATGTCTGTCGCCGTCGAAAAAGTAGGCATTCAGACTCTGACTTTGTATCTTACCGCGCATATATTCATTGTTGCCTAACGTGCCCTACATTGATAACAGTCCGCTGTACGTATCCTGGTTCAAATTTCATCTACCACCCGTTTTTGACCTCATGTATGCGCTAGGTGACGGAAGTCGGATGTCAGGAAGCAAGTGCACAAACTGCTCAATGAACGGTTTTAAGTGTACATATGTAGAGGCAGGAAAGGTGAGTCTTATGTCTACCGGATCTTGCATGGGTACCTTTCATGCTCACGTGAAATATAGATGCGACGGGTGTCGAAAGAGTAGGAGAGCTGTTTTCATCGCCTAACTCGTCCTCACCTTCGGTAGGTACGTTGAAAGCCTGGAGAACAGATTAGAACAAATGGAGAGGCTTTTCGCGAAGGTGAGCTCGCCTTCGTTGATGCAGACTGTAGTACTCACTCATTGGCAGTTCTGTCCCGATATCAATGTCGCCGAGGAGATTCGGAAAGAAGCTAGTAACACTGACGCTCCGACGAAGAATCACACAACCCAACCATTCCCACCCTCCCCCACGTCACAGACGTTATCCAGACGGCTCGCTCTGAAATTAGGGTATGAGACGCAGTCGACGCCTGATGATCCCGTGTCCAGCGACGAGGAGGCGGATTTGCTTGAACTGAAGCTCAGCGAAAGTATCCGCAAAATGGCGATCGACCCGACCCGACATCGCTTCTTTGGTAAATCGAGCGGAATCAAGCTTATCCAACAGGCGTTGGACCTCAAGAGCGAGCATACGGGTGACCAGGCAGAAAACATGCTCGACATCTTTTATCGCGAAGGGACGGAGTCCGTCGGTACCCATCAGGTGAGTCCCCCCACGCGAAGATCTCAGATATGTTTTGATTGGACCCATTTCTGCTTGACCCGTTCCCGCATTCAAATAACAAGTGGCAAAGTCAAGGCAAGAATGGAAAAGAGCCGCCGCATTCCTTCCCGGAGCCCGACCTGTGCCGCAAGCTCATCGATTCATACTTTACCAGCAACAACCCTATCACACCTGTGCTTCATCGTCCGACATTCGAGCGCAAGTACGCTGATGGGCTGCACCTTCGTGACACGGCGTTTGGAGCTGTTCTCCTCTTGGTATGCGCGGTTGCCGCACCGGGCTGCGATGACCCTCGGGTACTACTTCCCGGAGCTCCTGCCGAGTACTCGGCAGGGTGGCAATACTTTGAACAAGTGCAGATTATGAAGAAGGCGTTGCTGGCGCCACCTTGCCTGGAGGATATACAGGTGTATTGTGTAAGTCTCTCCACCGGCTTCTATACCGAACCCACACAAACACTAAGACACGTCTTCGTGGAGCTGTCCGCGATTTATGCACAGGGGACGACGGCACCTCAAGCATGCTGGACGATCGTCGGGATTGGTATCAGGCTAGCCCAAGACGTCGGTGCCCATAGGCGAAAGGTCTACAACCGTAAGCCGACAGTCGAGGATGAACTTTGGAAGCGCGCTTTCTGGTGAGTGTCTTCATGACTATGTCTTCCTGGTTAATGACGTTCTGTGAAGGATTTTGGTCACTCTCGACCGATCATTTAGCTCAGGCTTAGGCAGGCCTTGCGCAATACAAGACTCTGAGTAAGATTTGCGCAAAACACACCTTTTCAATGACCCTTACAGCCTTGTGCGCAGTTTTGATCTTGATCTACCGATTGTCTGTGACGACGAGTACTGGGAACATCAAGATCCAGAGCGAGCGTTCAAGCAACCTCCTGGAAAACCATCTTACGTCGCATATTTTGTCAGTGTTGTGAAGCTCAGTCAGATATTGGCGTTGGCACTGCGGACCATCGTAAGTATATTCGTCCCGTGAATGTTTTACTAGCATTCGAGGCTAACGAGCAGCGGTTTTAAGTACCCTATTAACAGGTCCAAAATTGTGTTTGGCTTGATCGGACATAAGTGGGAGCAACATGCCGTCGCCGAGCTTGACTCTGCGCTAAACAAGTGGATCGATTCGGTCCCAGATCACTGTCAGTGCCCGCCTTCTTCAGCCCGATTTACTCTCATCACTTACTTTCCGTTACCCCGATATAGTAAGGTGGGATCCGAACATACAAGACCCCATCTTCTTGCTCCAATCGTGTGCACTCTATGCGAGCTATTATCACACGCAGATCCTTGTTCACCGTCCATTTATCCCCACACCACGGAAGCCATCGCCGCTATCGTACCCTTCGCTTGCAATATGCACGAACGCGGCACGCTCATGCAGTCATGTCGTTGATGCGTACGTACAGCGTGCTGATACGGATAAGCCACTTCTCCCCCTTGGAATCCAGGTAAGTCGACTGTCTACATGTCAGAAACACGGACTAGCCAACGAGTGTTGCCATAAGCGCTCTCATAGTTTCAGTTCTCTAATAATTTCACCTCTTCCTCTTCGGTGTGGTATGTTACGTGATGTAGACTAACGAGGATGATTCTTTGCAGGCTGCAACGGTCACAGCGGGTATTGTGCTGTTGGTCAATATCTGGGGCGGCAAGAAGTCCGGGCTTGTACTCAACCCCGAGAAGGAGATGGCAGATGTGCACAAATGCATGGCTGCGCTTAAGACTAGCGAGAGGCGGTATGCACCTGTTTTTGGCTTTCAACTCCACTGACTTTGCTAATCCGGATAATGGTAGATACCCTTGTGCGGGTAAAATTTGGTGCGCATTTACTCATACAGCCCGTAAGGTTGGCCTGTGTTACTCATGAATACTGCGCTCTTTTCAGGGACGTCTTGTACCAACTTGCGTCTGTCGGTGATCTCCCGCTCCCGCAAGTAACGTCAACGGGAACAGGCAAGCGCGAGCGAGAAGACGATCTACCTCCCGCAGCTCCTCTTCCACAGACCGAACAACCTGAATCTGGGCCACGCGCTATCGCTGGCTCGAGCCGCGTCGCGGGTGACGGTAGCGTGCAGCAGTTGTTGTCGCAGCGCACCCAATCCTCGCACGTCTCGCTGAATCAGGCTGCTCCGACGGCGTATTCTCAACTGCAACCACAACAGCAGCCACAACAACACTTTACACAGCTGCCGATGCATGCTCAGATGGGATCTGACGCAACCGCATCGTCGGTTCTACAGCCCCCACAACCACAACACACCCTTCACGGTCTCGACCCCTTTCAAGCGTGGCTCAATGGTGAGGCTAGTAACCTAGACCCATCCTCTATCATGATGGCCTACGATAGCTCGTTCAACGGGACTGCTGAAAGTGGCGGCTCTTCCATGCACGAGTTCAACGCTGGTGGTGCTACACGCGTCAATGCGGCCCCGCGCATGCCTTATGGAATCGATGAGTTCTTGTTCAATTTGATGCACCCGCTGCCGCCGCAACCGGATGCCGTTCTCGAGGACTCTACCGTAGCTGGAGTTGGGAGTATGGGCATGGATGGGATAATGATGGCCTCGCAGCTCACACCGTCAGATAACATGATGTCAATGTGGTCGAATGCTCCTGCTGGCTTTGTCCCTGATGGCTTCGAGTACGTTTTCTTTCCCGTCGATTTACAGAGGATGCAGGACTGACCGGCGCGTTTCAGAGTGGATAACTGGAGTGCATATCTCAACAGCGTGTCTGGCACGAATTACAACAGTGGAACACAGCCACAGCAGCAGCAAGATCACGGCTCGTAGAGTGGAAGCGTGGAGGCCTTACTTCTGTTAGTCGGATACCATAGTCCTTGTAATAGCAGTGTATTATTCTTCTGGTAAAGTAACGAGCGGTTTGGTACTATAAGTGCTAGAACAGAAACTCTACCTTGGGCTCAGTTGACAAAGTCAAATCCTAAATCCTGTGTCCCAGTCACCAAGGTCGCATTGTTAGTTACTTGCGGACTCGGAGGCGTCTCTCGGGCACAAAGATAATCGGTGCCACGGTACTATATCCGAGAAGTCCGGGTTTATCCGCCACGTTGAGTCGTAAGCTACTTGCCGCGAGACACGTCAGGCTTGTTACACCTGTCACTTTCCTTCGGCCGTTAACCCAACCCTTCTCGGCGGCTTCGAGACTAGGAACTTGGTGTGTTGCTCTTTGATGTGACAATCAAACGTGATGAGTCACATCCTCGCTCTCTCAATTGACCTTTCCACAAATCTCAGATGATCGAAAAGGCACACATCGACCCTTGAGCTTGAAACATCAAACCTCGAGACTTGAACTAGATCCATTCACATACAATGTCAACGGGAGAAGACGCCTATACCGCTAACTCGCGCACAGGGTTCAAAAAACCCAGACTTCAAAGAGCTTGCGATGTCTGTCGTCGACGAAAAAGTAGGCATCTGATTCTCGATCGTATATCGTATTGCAAATCGACTCTATTCATTTCATTCTGATGATGCAACGATCTTCGCAGATCGCTGTAAGTATCCTGTTTGCAACGTTCTCCCAGTACCCATCATTCAAGCGCATATATGCGCTAGGTGACGGAGATCGACTGTCAGGACGCAAATGCACAGTCTGTTCAACGAACGACTTTGAGTGCACATATGTAGAAGCAGGAAAGGTGAGACTCCTGGTTACCGGACGCTCAATGCGCACTCTCCTGATGTATAACATAGATACGTCGGATCTCAAGAGAGTAAGATCGACTTGTGCGCGTTGGCCAGCCCGATCTCACCTTCGACAGATACGTTGAAAGCCTGGAGAAGAGATTAGAACAGATGGAGAGACTTTTCTCCCAGGTGAGCTCGGCTTCAATGGATGCAGTATGTGATACTCACCCATTGAAAGTTCTGTCCCGATGTCAACATCGCCGAGTTGCTTCTGAAGGAAGGCGATAACAATGACGCACCGACGAGGCATGACGCATCTCATTCGTCCTCATCCGCCCTCGCTTCGCATATGTTATACAGATCACCCACTCTCGGCTCGGGAAACCAGACCCCGACACCCGAAGAGCCCGTGTCCAGCGACGAAGAGGTAGATATGCTTGAACTGAAGCTGAGCGAAAGTATCCGGAAAATGACAATTGACCCGACCCGACATCGCTTCTTTGGTAAATCGAGCGGAATAACGCTGATCCAGCAGGCGTTGGACCTCAAGAACGAGCATACAGGTGATCAGGCAGAGAATATGCTCGACATTTTCTATCGCGATGTACCGAAGTCCGTCGGTATCCACCAGGTTTGTTTCTCTCCGCGGATATCTCCCGTGTGTACTAACTAGGCCCTGTTATACATGCTCCATTATCAATGCAAACAACAGTGCGATACGCAAGGCAATAGGGGCGAAAACCCGCCATATATCTTCCCAGAGCCCGACCTATCTCGCAAGCTTATAGATCTGTACTTTATTCATAATAACCCCATGGTGCCCTTACTTCACCGCCCGACATTCGAGCGCAAGTATGCTGACGGATCGCACCTTCGCAACACGGCCTTTGGAGCCGTCGTCCTCCTAGTATGCGCGGTTGCCGCACCGGGCTGCGATGACCCTCGGGTACGACCTCCCGGAGCTCCTACCGAATACTCGGCGGGGTGGCAGTACTTTGATCAGGTGCAGATTATGAAGAAGGCGCTGCTGGCGCCACCTTGCCTGGAGGATATGCAGATGTACTGTGTAAGTTTCTCCGCCAGCCCCTATAAGAAATAACCATACTCACTCAGATGCACGTGTCCGTCAAGTTGTCCGCAATTTATGTACAAGGGACGCGGACACCTCAGGCATGCTGGACAATCGTCGGGATTGGTATCAGGCTCGCCCTGGAGGTCGGTGCCCATAGGCAAAAGGTTTACAATCGTAAGCCAACCGTCGAAGACGAGCTATGGAAGAGGGCATTTTGGTACGTTCCCTCAAGTCTACGTTTTCCTCATTAACGGTGTTCTGTGAAGGGTTCTAGTCAGTCTCGATCGAGCATATAGCTCCTCCTTAGGCAGACCATGCGCAATACACGACACTGAGTAAGATCTCGCCGAAGACACCTTCAATGACCCTGACGCGTTTGTGTGTAGTTTTGATCTTGATTTGCCTACTGTCTGTGACGACGAGTACTGGGAACATCAAGATCCAGAGCAACAGTTCAAGCAGCCTCCTGGCACACCATCCTATGTCGCATATTTTGTCAGTGCTCTAAAACTCAGTCAGATATTGGCCTTTGCACTGCGAACCATTGTGAGCGACATTATTCCGGGACTGTCGACAGCATGGGGCTGATAATTGGCTGCGGTGATCAGTATTCTATCAAGAGGTCCAAGGTTTTACTTGGCTTTGTTGGACATAAGTGGGAGCAGCATATCGTCGCCGAGCTTGACTCTGCGTTGAACGAATGGATCGACTCAGTTCCAGAACATAGTCAGTGCCCGCCATTTCTAGTCCCATTTATCCACGTCACTTATTTTCCGTTACCCTGCCACAGTACGATGGAACCCGAACATACAAGATCCCACCTTCTTGCTCCAATCGTGTGCACTCTATGCGAGCTATTATCACACGCAGATCATTGTTCACCGTCCATTTATCCCCTCGCCGCGAAAGCCATCGCCGCTATCATACCCATCGCTTGCAATATGCACGAACGCGGCACGCTCATGCAGTCATGTTATTGATACGTGCGCGCAGCGTGCTGATACAGATAGGCCATTCGTCCCTGCTGGAATCCAGGTATGTCGGCTGGCTACAGCATCATCTGAAATACGAGATAGCCACGTCAATGGATGTGGCCATGGGCCCTCATACTTTCGGTCCTTGAATAAAAATTCACCTTTACATGTATCATACTATGCAAGCTAACGAACACTGTTCTTTGCAGGCCGCAGCGATCATGGCTGGCATTATACTGCTGGTCAATATCTGGGGCGGGAAGCGGACCGGGCTTATAATCCACCCTGAGAAAGAAATGGCGGATGTGCACAAGTGCATGGCTATGCTTAAGCTTTACGAGAGGCGGTATGTGTCTGTTCTTGCCTTTTAAACGTACTCTGCTGACTTGGATAAACGTAGATATCCATGGGCGCGAAAAGGCTGGTGCGTAAATACCGATCTAGCATATATACACTCGTGGACTGTGTTACTCATGAGCTACGCGCTTGTTTTAGGGACGTCTTGTACAAGCTTGCGTCGGTCGGCAAACTTCCTCTTCCGCAAGCAAGGCCGGCAAGAACAGGCAAGCGTGAACGAGAAGAGGATGCGCCTTCCACAATTTCTGTTCCGCAGATCGGACAGCCTGAATCTAGGCCGCGCGATATTGCAGGACCGAGCCGCCTCGCGGGCGACGGTAGTGCACAACATTTGCTGCCACAGGGTATCCAAACCCCTCCGGTATTGATGAATCAGCCTTCACAAACGACATGCTCTCAAATGCAGTCGCAACAGCAGACACGACAACACTTCGCACAGCCGCCAACTCACGGTCCGATGGGATCTGACTCAGCTGCGTCGTCGGTTTTACAGCGCCCGCAGCCGCAACTCGACCTTCATCTAGATGGTTCCGACCCCTTTCGAGTGTGGCCCAGTGGTGAGGTTAGTGGCCTAGACCTTTCATCTATTATGATGGCCTACGATAGTTTGTACGCCGGGGCTGTCGAAGCTGGTGGCTCTTCTACGCACGACCTCAACGCGGGTGACGCTACATCCGCCAATGAAGCGCCGCACACGCCTAATGGGATCGACGACTTCTTATTGCAGTTGATGCGGCAGCCGCAGCCGCAGAAGCCACTAGCTTCCGGGGCCGATGGCTCTGCTGTGGGCGGATATGAGAGTGTGGGCATGAATAGGGCGATGGAGGCCTCACAGTCCATGTCGTCCGATGATATGATGTCAATATGGTCGAATGCCCCTGATGGCTTTGAGTACGTTCTCTTTTCCGTTCACTGGTAGAGAACGTAGGGCTAATTCGGGTGCTCTAGAGTGGACAACTGGAGTGCATACCTCAGGAGTGTGTCTGGCACGAACTACAATGACGGAACCCAGCCGTGGCAGCAGCAGGATGGCGAATCGTAAAACGTAGGTGTGGAGGCCATACTCTAGTCATTCGGATATAGCGTAGTCCATCTACAGTTTTGCTATGTGATCAAAGATTCGATAACCGTTCTTGGCGCGTAAGTAGGCTTGTCATCAGTTCGAGCGCGCCCAAATTTGAGGCGAGTTTGGAAGCCGCTAGCGGAGGTTCGCTACGGAGACCCCGCTTTGAATTTCCCTCTGTGCAACTTTGTTGCTCTTGATAAGTCTTTCACCAGGGCAATTTGGTTTAGGCTTCACCGTCGGGTTGAATCCTTCTTTTTTCGAAATCGTGGAAGCAAGCCAGCGTGGTCCTACATTATCTCTTGCTGAGAAATGTGCATGGGATGGGGTGCACATGCTGTATTTCACCACCACCCGGTCTCATCTCACGCGAACGATAGTTCAACTCGGGGACGTCTCTCTTCAAGGCAATCCAACAAAGACATCGAGTCAATATCATCACAATAGCCCTCTCGATTGGAAGTGTTCATTCCACCCGTATCCGGTAAAAGTAGCTAACGTCATTCTTCACCCGACTCTTCGAGACTCTAGGACTTAGGTTCCACGAAATACTCCCGCTCGTACCAGTTGGTCTTCAGCTCACGCATCATCGTCATGTTGTCCCAGTCAAGTTCACAGTGAACGATCGGGATCGCCAACGCTTTGCTGATCTTGTGCTGTTCCAATAGCCGTTTCTCGTGAGACCACCCATTGAGGATGTTAAGCCGTCTCAACTGGCACCCCGAGCGATGGACGAGGTCGGTAAGTAAGTCTTCCACCTTTGAGTCATGGTATGATATACTGGAAACAGCGAGATCCGTGAGGGATGGCAAGGTCGCTGCGGACATAAAATCGGCGACATAAGCCGAGGAACAGTACACTGCTACACGTTCGAGCTTGGAATGAGAGAATGGTTGAAGAGGCCACGTAGAACAGGGTTGCTGGGCGAAGAAGTCGGTAAGGTTAGGGAATTTCAAGAAGAAGCTTTCCGTATCTCGAGGAAGGGTGAGTTCTTCCGCAACAAGTACTTTCATGGTCGGTAACGCTGGGAGGGAGTAGAACTTTCCCCTATCTTCGAAGGTCCGTAACTGAATATGAAGGTGTGTAAGTTTGTTCCAGTGCGCCCATAGGGTAGAGATTTGGACGTCGAGATGACAATCCATGAGTGCTAGCCTTTCAAGCTTGCTGAAACGAGGAAGCCATTCTGCAATCTTGCTGTAACAATAGCTGTAGTGGTTCTTCCTGTCATTGCGCATGACATGGACGTCGAGCCCCTTACATTTCTGCTCGAAAGCAGATATGAAACCCTTTTTGCACGCTACCATGAAGCGATGATTCGCTGCGTGAAGGTAGACGACTAGGTATGAGGGAGCAAAAGACGTCCTAGCCAGCATCTCGAGGGGGCCGGGAATGCCGCAAGCGACCACTTCCTTGGCACCCGAAAGGTGGATAGGGCTCCAAAGTCGGGGGGTGTTCAGCGCGACGCTTCTCCAGCGTCTGGATACTTGGGCGGCGTTGAACGACACTTTCAATCCTGGGCGTATGACAGTAGATGAGGTCCCCTTAATGCCTAGGCAGCGACTCGGAGGGCGGGCTAACACGAAAATTTCGACCAAGATTTCAACTGGGATGCGTCCGATCGCAGAAGTAGATCGAGAACAAGCGCTCATAGATTGCTCTAATCTCTCCTTGAGACGACTGAACGTGGAGATAGAATGCTCTAGGTCATGTACCATGCTAGATGCGTCGGCCATGAAGCGATGGATGTCGGCAAGTTCTTGAGTGCAGATGGAGCTGTAGTTGGCGTCTTCGAACGGAGCCAGAACGCTCGCTTTGATGGCTCGCTAAGCAGTGTGAGCTGATGCAATACCATAACACTATCTGAGTATAAACTTACGTTGACTTTGTTTGTAACTGAGGGGACCTTCAAGATGGAGTAGATGAGCGAGGCCTGAACATCTCGGTCTGCAGAAGGGGGTAGACGCACAACAGCCGCAAGTTCCTCAAAGTATTTGATCGGTTTTTCTTCTGTTTCTGCCGAAATCATGCTGGAGCCCTGTCATCCGACAAAAGCTGGTCAGCGGATTGTGGTCAATGTGGGTGGGCCATTAACGCACCATGGTGTCGACCGTCACACGGTGTGCCTGGTGCTTCTTGCAGGTGGTCATGGGTAACATGAGGTCTCTCAGGTTGATATTATAGTTATAGGTCCGAGAAATGAACTGACAGAAAACGGCGGATGGGATCGAAGATATGAGCGCGAGTCAAGGTCGCGTCGGGTGTTGACCGCAAATTGACGCGACGCGTGTAACCCTAACCTTAGCTTGAAAAGCTAGGGGCTTCGCAGTATGGATCATGAGTTTGTCGTCAAAAGAGTCCATCGACACTGGCGACACTTGTACAACGTGAACTACACAAAGACAACTATGATAACATTTAAAAGTGCTGGTATTGTATCGAAAGTGCTTCTAACTCGCATTACCCGTCGTTATAACTCGGATCCTCCCCAGGTGGCGGCAATCGGACATCCCTACCATGCTGCGAATACCAATCGACACGCATCTCCTTGTACACCGACCAGTCGACAAGCGACCCTATCTCGTAGCGCCTGGACGGCACATAGTCGAACAGCGCCGGCGAGTCCACCAAAAAGTGCTCCAGCTTCATATTGGGCCGCGAACGCGTAACGAGGCGAGAAACAGCCTCGACAGGGCTGAAGACCGACCCGGGATAGAGGTCGCCCTCGGTCAACGGCGGAACGTTGATCGCCAAAGCGACGTCCGTGAGGGAGGGGAGAGCGAGACCGTCCAGCAGGTCGGGAATGACTTGGTATGCGCTGGCCGACATCCACTGGAAGCTGAAATCCAGCCCGAGTGTCCGCAAGTGAGGGAGAGTCAAGCCGTCTGGCGTCGGTTCTCCGGCGGTCATGTTGTGGTCAACGAGTCGGAGCATGAGCTGCTCGAGGGTCGGGAAGCCTTGCGCCAAACTATGGAAGTTAAGATGAAAACTGTCCTCAATGAACATGACGAGAACACGGAGGCGTGGCCACTGTGCGGAGAACATTTGGTCGGCAATGGCGGCTTCTTTTGGCTCCAGGACGAGGTGGAAATGTGTGAGGCGTTCGCTAAAAAGCCGAACGACGTCTTTGAGGACACTCTTGGTAGAAACGCTATCGAGAGTGAGACGCTCGAGACGTTCAAAGGACTCCAAAGAGGGCGCAGTACTAAAATATCCCATTGCAAAACATTCAATGTCCAGCGTTGCAATATGAGCTCGAGGGTTGCCAATGTCATCGCAAAGAAGAGAGGCAGAAGAGTTGTACATCGAAACACACGTTGACGAGTCGCCGCATCGACTTAGAAGCTCATTGGCTTGGCGAACGCCGTATTTAGCTGGGCTTGGATGATGCGTGGGTTTAGATTCAATGTACACCAGGTTCCAGAGCGTAGGAGTGGCAAGGGCAATCTCGCGCCAGCGACGGCAGACGTGTGCGACATTGAAAGAAATAGTCCGACCTGTACTAAGTGTGTAAACATGGTTGGTATTGCTGCGCAGATAGACATCTGGGAGAGCAGCGATGAATATGAGACGAAGAAGCTCGAAAGGAGAGCTGCAGGCGGGGGAAAGCAGGTTATGATACTCGAGCTTCCGCTGCGAAACAGTATGTCGGAGGGACCGAAGTGTGCCTGTGATGGAGTCAAACTCATTGACGAGGTGCTCCATCGACGTCAAGGTATGATCACGACCTCGTAGATCTGGGGCATGCAGCACGGAGACACTCTCTGTGAGGTTGGGCAGCTATGAATCATGATATCGGGAGGGGAACATCAATTGAGAAACATGGACGTACAAGTGCTGTTATCTGCTGTAGCGAGTTTGAGATCCCTTCTAGCGTTGACGCTGCCATTACTTGAGAGGAGACTTGGTGAGTGTCAAGGGGCGTAACTTGGAGGCGTTGCGCCTTTACTTGTTTGTTGCTGTTTAGCGAGACGACAATGACATCAGGGGCTAATTCGACCACTCCATCGGTTTACGAGAAATCCAGCCATAGCCAGCATTTCATAGCGAAAACAACTCTGTACACTAATACATGTACAAGGACGGCAAAATCAGGCATCGAACGAGAGGCCCACACCGGACATGAGAAAGACAGGGGGTATCCAAAGATTAAACGAGCGAGGTTCCGTAGGGTGTTAGCGATACATATATAAAAAGACGAGAGGTGAGGGTGAAGATGTTCGTAGGCGTCATGGCAATGATATCCCAATACAAAGAACAGAGCGAAAGTAGACCTCATCAAGGCGCAGACATGACTATAGTGCAACACCAACAGGCGTAACAGCTCCGCTCCCGGACGGCGCAGATGATTCTCTTCTCGATGTCGACGCCGTCGCGGGCTGAAGCTCAGAAGAGCTCGCCGCAGCCTCGTAACGAGGCGGATGCGACATGTCCAGCGACGGTTCAGGGACGCTGGGCGTCAGCGGGCTCATCGGCGGCAGACCCAAGCTCTCCTTCGAGACCGCGGCGGTCGTCGCCGTCGGCGAGAAGGGCGGCAGGTCTTTCTTGAAATCGCTGTCGAGGTACCCGCCAACGTCACCGAGGTAGATATCGGATCCGAATGAAGCCATCGAGGCACGCGTACCCCGACGCGTGGTCTTGGTCGTCGTGAACGCGGGGACAGTACCGTTCTTGGAGTCGTACGTCATATCGCTATAAACGACAAATCAGTCAAAACGGCAGAAAAGAGCTGTGGGCAACACATACAAGTCGTTTCCCCACGAAGCCGTCGACACTCCGAGCGTCTTCGCAGCCGACGTGAGCGCGATCTTGTAGTGCTTCCGCGCCTCGTCCGCGAAGCCAAAGAACGCAAAGAAGATGAGCGCGCACACGACGACGATCCACCTGCTCAGCTCGATCGAGTTCTCGCCGAGGGTGGAGGAGCGCCAGACGATGGACGGGTACTGCCGCACGCGCGAGAAGTTGCTGTGCACGTTCTCCCAGCTTATCCACGGCTCGATTTGCTCCGCGGACGCGTTCAGGTAGATGGAGTAGCACCCGATTGGCACGGTACCCAGGATTTCGACGCCCGCGAGGCCCATGAGACGGAAATAGCGTCCCGAGCTGAGGTTCTGGTTTGCGGAAAGGAGTTCCTTGAACTGTGCACGGCGTTGAGCGAGTTCTCGTATAGTGAGGGCTGGAAGTGACAAAATGTAAGTGGACGAATAGGAGTGATGGGACAAAGTGCGTACCGCAGTAAACCGCCGAAACACATCCTATTGCAACTGGCCATGCAAACACCAACGGGTACGCCGGAGGTGTGTTGTAGGTAAATGGATAGCAACCGACCTCCTCGTAAATATTGAAGCGATGCCCCTGGACGACATATTCTAGCGGACGAGAGGTTGAGTCTGAGAAGAAAGGGGCAAATGTTTAAAAGACTCACGAAGAACCATCTCTAGAATTGGGATACCCAAGCCAATGGACAGATCCACCATAATATCTCGCCGGCGCTGGGCGCGCGTCTTCATCACCGTCGAGACGGACGCGATATGGTATAGACGCCGGTTAATGCACAGAGACGCTGCGGGGATCGCGACCGCTGAGCCGATCATGAAGCGCGTAGCTGGACATGGAAGCCAACAGTCAGACAATGAAACGTGGAGATGAATATTGATTAGCGCACATATGTCGCACCAAACGGGTGCCTTGTCGAGCACATCATGACTCCAGACGACCGAGTTGATGAACAGGTTGAGGCAGGCGAGACCCGTCCAGATCATGTACATGCATGTCCCGACATTCCAAGCTGAGTGATAATTCAGTTCAGGGTTAAGCCAAAGCAGCGACAAAGCAGCGCTCACATTCCATGTGCCATGGGAGAGGAACAGTGACGCACGCGAAGCCGATGAATGCGAACATGCTGAAGACCCAGGTAGGCGCTGCCATGATGATGCTGATCCCGATGGTGCGAGGTGGGAGAACGCTTTGGAAGTTTCAGGGGCAGTCGAACGATTTGGTCGTCAATGTGTGATTGAACCCCTGGCCAGGGCGGCGGGAGGGAGATGGCGATCGCTGGAGGGTTTCGCGCGGCCACGGAGAAACTCAGAGCCTGGAGGCGGAGGCGACGGAGGGAAAGGCAGAAACCACGGCTTGAACGCTCTCCCCTGGAATAAGTATACATTGCGCACAGAGGCGTCCCGAGGAACCGGATGGAGGGCTCCCCGCGGTGGTCCATTGACCTCACGGATTGGGCAGTCCCCTTGTGGTCGATGATAGGCGACACTCGGTTCGGCGGAGGTATTTTGACATGAATCGTCTTTCTCTGCAAAGCGGACGGTTCTGAATGAGGATATGGTCATCTCGGGAGAGGATGGGATAGAGGTGAACAAGCTAGCGTCCATATATGGAGGGATGTGTATGTGGGCGCAAATGAAGCGTCAGCGCTTCAGCGCCACTCTTCCACGCTTATCTCCCGGGCGGGGGCTGAGTATAAGAACACGCGACAGCACACAAGGTGCGCGGCGAACTCACCGAGGCCTTTCTATCATCATTCTTGTTCTTCGAGGCGGCGCGACAGTCCCGACGTTGTCTTCGTATACAAAAAGAGCTGCAGGCAAGACGAGTAGGACAAGAAAGCGAGTTCACACGCGAGGAGCACGCGCTGTCAAGACAGTCGACGCGTAGACTCGGGGAAGATGGGAAGCCGCCAGGTGGGACGATAATTCAAGTCGTCTCGATCGATGAGAAAGAATGGAGAGACGAGCCAGAACGTTGACACACCATCGCCGTTCTCAAAGCTTTTCGTAATGAGGTGAACTGATAGAAAGAGTTCGGCAACTGCCGCAAGGATGCAGATGCCCCTATCGCTTCTAGCCCTACATTCAGTTCTCCTTTAACATCGCTTCACTCCAGCGCTCAACTTCTTCTCTCAAGCAGACATCATGACGTCCTCGAAGGTATTGTTCCAAGGTAATCAACTTACGCTCGAGGCATCAAGCAACCCGAAGACTACACGTACATTCACTTTCCGCGAGACGCATTTAACATACAGTCCAGAACATACTCGTACAAATCGAATTATATGACTCTTCTTCTTCTTTTCCATCTTTCTCTCCTGTCTGTCGGCGACGACAGTGCCATCTGGCTTTTGCGTCTAAGCGGCACCGGTGTGCTCGACCTGGCGGAGGAACACATCGGCCCGGACGTAGTTGTTGTAGATCTCGTTCGACGTCAGCAGCGTGTCCGTGCTCGTCGTGGTCGGGTACTTGAACGCCGCGAGGGGCTCGTGGAACTCGATGAACGTCGCCGCTGTTGCAGAACGGGATTGCGTCAGCTACGAGTGCGAGTGCGAAGGAGATGGAACGGGGGGGAAGCTTACATTGTTTCCTGTACCCGTCGCCCTTCTCGCCTGTGCCGCCGTGGATCTTTTTCCGGTACCCCTTCTCGTTCGAGAAATTGTTCGTGTAGAACATCAGACCGTCCTCTGCCATCCAGCGTTATGGTTAACCACACGCACTCGAGGGAACCGAAGAGATAAAAACTCACGGTTCGAGTCAAACTTGACGGCCAACCCCGACTTCTCCGACGACAGCTCCAGCACATTCTCGTTTGGGCGCTCAAAAATGTCCTTGACGACGTTGAGCGACGGACCAAACTCGGAGGTCTTAATACGGTGGGGCGACTGCCTGGTGGTGCGTTCCGAGAGAACGTAGTAGTCATCTATTCATCAATCCTCAGGGTTCAGAAATGAAGGCTCTGCGGAAGAGAAGCGAGACACACCATAGCCAGCCCCCGAGGGCCAGTTGTCCCCGACCCGCTTCCCGTCATGCACATGCGCGAGGCTGCCGTTGTCCGCCTCCGCGACGGGGATGAAGTTACCCGTCGGGAGGAAGTTGGCGTGCCGGTCAGCGATGTGGCTCGCCTTGAGGGTGACGCGGTGGTTGAGGATCGACTGGGCTTCGGGGTCGTCTTTGAGCGAAGCGTCGAGGTTGAAGCCCCAGTGCTGCGTGCACACAGTCGTGTTGTTAGATTCGCATGCACCTCATAATGAAGTGGGAGGGGCGCACCTGAGTGAGGTTGATCGGCGTGACCTTGTCCTTCTCCTGCAGCCTCGACCTGTACACGATCACGACGCTCCCCACTGCATGCTCTGCGGGCCCGGACGCGACCCCGCGCGGCCCAACCAATGCGACAAGCGTCTCGGTGAGGAGCGTGCCTTCGTAGCCCTCCTCGCCGTCGGGAGAGGTGTAGTGGAAGATGGCGGCGCTCGCGTCACCCGGGGCAGCCTGGGTGATCGTCTCGACTTCGGACTTGGTGAAGAGGGTGGCGTCCGAGAGAGTGTCATATTTTGACCAGATAGCAAAGTCCCAGCCTTTGAGACCGCCATGCAGCGATACTTCCGGTGACTCTGAGAGTTAGAGCGAATCGTGAGCAAGAATGGTGATGGATGACAACTAGTGCGCACCATTGGTGACAGTGGTGAACGATCCCTGAATGCCGTCCTTGGAGACGTTGTGGGTACCGACGGGAACACGGTTGGCGTATCGGCCGATGACGGTGTTGACGTATTTGACTTCGGTGTGTCCCTGGGGATCTTCCGGGCCGATCACAATGTCGTGTGTCTGTCCGGGTTCACGGGACGAGCAAGCGGATGGATGAGAATACGACAATGGTCTATAGATATGTCACGTACTTTTCCATCTGCCTGGACGTATACTCTGTGGATCGTCAAGCCAAAGGGCAGGACCTGTTCCACAAGTCAGCCTCACTAAATTGTTTGCCTTGAATGAGAATGACGCACCTCGACGGCAAGCGGGGGAGTGAGCGAAGGGAGAGTGAGCAGAACAGGCTTGAACTCGGCCATGGTGGATTGGTAGGCAGGAGAGAGTGGGAGATGTGTGTTGGGTTGCGCAACTTTATAGGGTGGCGGCGCTTGGGAAGGAAAGATGTGGTGGACGCGCCGTGTGACTTGAAATATTCTACCACTTCCTCCGTCCTATCTTATCTTATCATCTCCCCTTTCCTCTCATCCTGCCCAGCGCTTTCAGGCGGTGACAGACGCTGTAAAACGAAATTCCTGCTTTCTACTCGATAGATCTGTATGTTTTCCGCTCCACGGAGAAAGACAACCTCCCAGATGAGGGTAAATTTTAGGAGAACGCGACCATCCCGGGTGACACTCTCATGGACCGAAAGCAGCTAGCTCCGAGCACCGTGTCCTCATCCCGGCGTTTTTGCGCATGACACAGGACACATATTTCTTAGCCTATGACGTCCCGCAACGGCTCGGAACGGCATCCCTGTCGCCCCACCTCTCGGTCCGCGACTGTCCCGGTCCTCGCCCACAACTTGACAAAAGAAACGGAGCACAGCGGCATCGCAGGCAGATATTTCTACATACACATAATGTTACTCTTATAGATAGTTCGAATGGAAATCTCCGTCCCTTTCCGATGAGTACCTCACCAGACAACAGTCCTCGTTCTCTATACGAGCACTTTGCAACCAGTGACATCTTCGCTCGAACCTTTCACTCGGTGAACTTGTACACTAAAACAGCCAAGTAAATCATTAGCAAACCAACACCCTCAACCTTGACCACGAGGGTACTCACCGCAGGCACCACTGCTCGGCTTAGTGGCAAAGATGACGTCCCTGAGCGCACCCCCCTCGAGGTTCTTGTACGGCCCATACGCAGCCTTAACCTTTGCGATGAATTCGTCGACCTTGTCCTCGTCCACGAGCGAGACCGTGCATCCGCCCCAGCCAGCGCCCGTCACGCGGCTGCCGTATGCGCCCGCCTTGAGCGCGATCGCGGTGAGCTCGTCCAGCTCGGGACACGAGCACTCGCACATCGACGAGCAGGACACATGCGAGGTGCTCATTAGATCGCCGAGCTGCTGGAACACTGTTGGGCCGGCCGTCCCGCTCGAGGCGGCGGCAAGGCAGACATCGCGGAACTGGAGTACGCGGAGGGCTTCTTCGTAGACGTGTTTAGCGCGCTTGTACAGCTGGAAATGTGTCGCTTCGACTGGTGGATGGGGTAGTTGTGCGTCAGCATCGGCAATGATGAAAAAGATGATTGGAGTTAGCGTACCTTCGACCCAAGAGAGATAAACCTGCTCGAATGCTACCTTGTCCAACCCACTCCACTCGACCATCGTCTCCATCGTCACGCCCAGCTCCTCCCCGTCCTTCTTCCCTTCGGGCCTCAAGCACTCCACTTCCTTTGCCATCCTCTCCAGTCCCTTTCTATACACCTCCACGTCCTCGCTCTGCGCATCCTCGGGCTCGCCCAAGAGCCTTGCCATGACAGTGCGTAGGGTGATCTTCTCGCTGGGGCCGACCTTGACGCCGAGACGGCGGGCGAGAATGCGCGCAGCTGCGAGCGTTTCCACGACGCGGAGATTGTACCGCGTCTTGGCGTGCACGGCCTTGTCCGACACGACGAGCGAGTTGGCGCAGATGAAGACGGCGCCGCCTTTGCCCGATGTCGAGGATCCGGGGAGGGGAATCGTCTCTGCAGCGAGCTTAGGGAAGAAGGAGATGTAGAGGGCGGAGTTGGCGAGCGCGATGACGGAGGCGGCCTGGTCCATTCTGTTCGTATGGTGTCAGTATTGTGGAATAGACGAACGGATGAGCACGCACCCTCCAGAGTTGACGCCGACCCGCTTCTCGTTCTCCATCGCCATCTCGACGAGCGATCCCTTGTTCAGAGGAGCCGTTGCCCTTGCGCGCGAAGAGGAATCGTCGACGAGCCCGTTAACAGCGAGGAACGCGAGTGTTGACCCGACGACCATCGCGGCGCTGCTCGAAAGGCCCGAGCCAGGAGGAACGGAGCCGGTGACGAGCAGATCGACGGGAATCGGCTGCTCGGTCTCGCCAGGCGCGAAGTAATGGTTCAAGACCCCCTGAACACATCGATAACGTTAGCATGCGGTTCGAAACCAGAACATATAGTGAACGCACGTAGTACCCGGCCTTGACGTAACTCTCCCACCTCAGCTCCGACCTGTTGATATCCAAGTGCCATTCTTCGACATGCACGGCGTCCTTTGGGACATCTTCGGTACCTACAGCGCCGAGGGTGGGACGACGAACAGGGGCGAACCCTTGGCGGGTGTATTTGGGGTACAGGTTCTCGGCGACGACGTCGCCGTGGCTATTGCCAGTGGGAGAACGGGGGGCGCAGGCGATGAGGATGTCGTGCTCGATGGCGGCGGGGAAGCATCCGAAAAGCTGGTAGTCGATGTGCTCCCCTGGGACGCGGGTGAGCTCGGAAGGGAATGTCGATAGGAGGACGGGAAGACGTACCGATGAGGCTGGGAAGAGGATGAGCAAGTGTTCATGTAGCATATAGAGAATAAAACGCACTTGACACGGCCGGGCGCACGAGCGATGTATGCAGGCGCCCTGCCAAACCTCGCCTTGAACTCTTTCGAGAGATTATCCCAGCGCTCTCTATATCGGTTGGGCGGTATGTGTTCGCGAGATGGGCGTCAGACGCACGTGGGGGAGAAGGAGTAATGAAGTGAGATCAATTCGCGATTCACGAGATGAACAAAAGACTGCCGATGACTCACGCGTGGTTGAGGGACGTGCCGAGGTTTTGGTAGAGGTCCTCGAGGTTGGTGAAGACTGGGATCGGGAGCGACGCCGCCATAGTTTGTGTTAACTCTCCAAGTACTGAGGTGTCGAGTCGACGTCCGGCGGGTTAAAATCCTGTCGGGTGAGCAATGATCAGATTACTGGCCACGATGGGATAGGATACGATGAACTGACAGCGGAGGTATGCTGGATGGGTCAAACGGGAGGAGTTATCAGATGGCCCGTAGACTCATCCCGCCATGTGATCGACCGGTATGACGCGCCGGGCCCTGGTGGATGAGAGAAAACGGTACGCCTTCATTTATCAACACTGAACCTTGCGATTGAGCGTCGAGCAGGCGAGGGTATGATCGACGAGACCATTCACGTTCATGTTCGCTTGTGGTGGTCATGACGGAAAACATCAAACGACACGCGTCCGCACTGTCTGCCTCAGGGGCAGCCACTTCCACGTTTCACGATTTCTGTCCTTGTCGGAACTATACACTACTCGTAGTACACGACAATGAAGTTAAATCACCAATAAAAGATCGTCGTACCGAAATCCATGTCCTCCAGCGCAATAACATCGTCTCCTGCAACCAGCTCACAGTCGTCAATGCACAGCCGCTCGAGCTGCGCCGGTATAAACGCCTCATAATTTGGAGCCTCCACTTTCGGCGCATCTACTGGAGGAATGGACATACTGTAGTTTTTCGACCTTAAGTTCGGTCCCCTGTCCACCCCCCCTCACGAACCGAACTTCCGCATCAGGAAAGGCGAAAATTCGGCTGTAGATGGGCCATTCCCACGTCACCGGGATAGCGCTGTCATGAGCGACGTGTCAATCGGGCAATCATCCTGACAGGATTCACCGAGGTTGATGATGTCAATGTTCGGCCTCTATATCATTTGACGTGGACAGAGGCTGGGCCGCCGCCGTCAACGTTGCACTGTGACAAGGGAGGTTGACTGGTTGCATCTGCTGCAGCTATTGCTCAAAGTCAATCACGCCTTAACGTCCGTCAGAGGTGGAGGCGTGTAAATCGTCCGTTCGTCGTTGTAACATGTTAAACTAGCTAACTACTGATGAGTTCTCAAACCAAATACTTTACAGTACGCTTCGTAGTCCTCGTACATAGCTGTGTCAATATATTTGTTGAGAAGGTATTCGTTAGCGGAGGAACCTCCTCCGTGAAGCCATACTCTCGGAATAGGTCCAGTACCAAAGTAAGGAATCATATGGCACGGACGTACCACTTGCGACAGTCGGATGACCTCAGAGTAAGGTTCAGTCTGACGCGTGGCCCGAGCAAGCTTGAACATCATTGTAGACAGATCGATGGCTTTGACCTTGAGCTCACGAAACCAGTGGACATAGGCCAAAGGCTCGCGGACGTCACCGAGATGGGTCGGCATGTTGAATATCACCCGAACCTCAGCAACGCGTAAACCTGGGCGTGTTCAATCGGATCGACAGTGAAAATAGATCAAGAGTTGTATCACTCACCGAACAGGCCACCTAGCCGTTTATGAGCCTCCCGGTTTACCTCAACAAGGACAGTGTCCCATCGTGCAGCAGTCGAACCTTTGCGGGGGCCAAGGAGCTTTGCTGGAGCTGCGTAAATGCGACAGTCGAGCTTGTTTGCATTGAAAAAAGGCTGATGCTTCATATGGACCACCGCGCTGCTGAAAACGTCGTATGTATCAAAATCTCGCGGAGTGAAACCTTCCTGATAGATGCTGTTATCTTTGAGGAACTTCGTCACAGCGTCGGTGAATCGCAGCACGCCGTGATGCTCTTCAAGCGTCGAGACCCATGTCCTAGGGAAGTGCGGCTTTTGAGCCACTGTGGACTCGCGCACGATTGACGCGGACATAACGGGCGGGGTGGTGGCTGTCTGAGATGCAGCATGGAGCCTCGGGGAAGCGGCTTGATCGCGAGAAGCATTCGACGTCGAGGCAGTCTCGGAGTGGTAAGCCGCAGGGATTGGCGTTGTTGGCAGGAGCGTGGCTGAGCATTGCGATGTCTGCGAGACGACTAATAATCTTATACCGCTCGTAAGGGCTAATCTGGACGGTCGCCTGGTCGCCGGATGGTTTCTAGGGAGCTGGGGACCCTGATTTCTGCACACAGCAGGGTAAACCATACCCAAATATGGTAACTTTAAAATCCCAGCCCAATCGGGTAATTTTTATCGGCGACCATGGGCGACCGCTCAGCCATCTATGGTCGCCGGACAGTGTTGGGTGGTGAACCTTCTGGGAAGGGAAGTGGCTGTATAAGGCAAGTGTGATGACTAATGGAGCCAAACTAGGGTATCCACAGCCACATACATGTTAGTCATCCATCTGTACAGCCACTGGATAGTGCCAATCACCCAT